TTAAAGTAACGAGTTGGTGGATCTTCCCCATTACTCTGCTCAAACTGATGGATGCTTTTAGACTGAGGAGATAAACCTTGAAGCAGCAAAGCTACAGAAAACATCATTTTTTTTACTCACAGACCTTTCCTTATCAAAGCGGAGTCTTGCGGTGGGAGTATCGGGTGCTGAGGCTGCTTTTGCGGGCTATCTAGTTTCTGTGTGACTGAAGAAAAAGTTGTCTTTGCATCCTCAAAACAAAGTTGGGTTGGGGACTTCATGGACAGGCGCTACCATCCTTATTTTGTCTTTTTAATTTCAGGTAATGTGGAAGGTGAAGTTTTCGATTTACCGGTCCATCTACGTTCCTACCCTCACCTATGGTTCACGAGCTTTGGGTAATGACTGAAAAATGAGATCACAGGTACAAGCGGCCGAAATGAGTTTTCTCCGCAGGGTGGCTGGGCTCGACCTTAGAGATAGGGTGAGAAGCTCAGTCCTCCGGGAGGGGCTCGGAGTAGACCTGCTGCTCCTCCACACTGAGAGGAGCCAGTTGAGGTGGTTCGGGCATCTAGTTAGGATGCCTCCTGGACACCCCCTGGAGAGTTTTCCAGGCCAATCCAACCAGGAGGAGACTCAAAGGAAGACCCAGGACACGTTGGAGGGACTATGTTTCTCGGTGGGCATGGAACGCCTTAGGATGCCCCCGAAGGAGCTGGCCCAAGTAGCTGGAGAGAGAGAAGTCTGGGCCTCCTTGCTTAGGCTGCCCCCCCACCACACACACACACACACACACACACACACCCAACCCGACTCTGGATAAGCGGATGAAAATGGATGGATGGATGGATGGATAATGTGGTTCCATGGATAACTTCAAGCCATGACCTTCAGCATGCACTGGGCTGGTTTGCAGCCGAGTGTGGAAACTCTTCCAAGTTGGATGGATTGATGGATAGGTTGTCTTATCTTATCACTCCATAAAGTCTGGCTGTGTGGAGTGCTAAATGGTGCAAACTTTTTTCACCAGCATCTCCACAGTAAAGCATGGTGGTGGCAGCATGATGGTGTGGCTATGTCTTTCATCAGGTTAGACTGTTGCTAAAAAAAACACCTCATAAACATTTCATCCCTTTATTTTGAAGCAGAGAAGGATCTTACAGAAAGGGGCATCTCTGACTGAATCGCATCGCTCCAGGTCACTAGGAGAACTCCTCCAGCTCAAACGGGGATTAGATGAAAACCCAGCTGTGAGCATGAGTCCGGTTTACAAAGACATTTTAGGTGAAAAGGGCAGGAGGGATGTTGGACACGTGTTGATAAAATCATACAAACGTTATAAAAATCCAAACCTCTATTTACTGAGTGATTCTGTTTGTGGTTTACGCACTGACTCTTGTGATTGGTGTTCTCAGCTGATTGGGAGGAGATGTGGAGCTGAGGCTCCCTGACACAGAGCTGTTCTACCTCACACAGACAGGTGGGCAGAAGTCCTGCAGGAGAAGTGTCAGCATCAGAGAGCCTGTGTGAAGCCTTCTGAGGACAAACCAACTCTCTCTGTGGATGCTGACCACTGGTCATGTATGCAGTCTGCAAACGAACTGGAGCGGAGTGCACACACTCGTTCATCTGTGTGCTCGGAGTAAACACGCTGTCAAACGTGTTTTATGGACAAAAATTAGTCCAGCTGATCAAAAACAAAATATATTTAGCATTTTTTGGTGAACAATAATTTAATCTTACAAATGGTGATGTTTTAATAATAGCACACTGGGTGTAGTGGATGTCTAAATGGGTTCATTGTCCTTTAGCACAGAATCACCTGCTGTCAGCTAAATGATGATTGATGTTTAATGAAGCCCACATGACCTGTGGGGCCATTTTGTGCATGTGGAAACAACACAAAGAGTTTTTATGTGTATTTTTGTTTTCACCCTGCCTCTGCACCTTGGTGTGTCCGTGCACTGTAACCAGCATGTCATTGTTGGATCGATGATGTCATTTTGATGCACAAATGGGTAGAAAAGAGCTTTCCATCATGTTTTCTGCACAACGAAGAGCTAATCTGCAGAGTGTTCTCATTTTAGGCACACTGTTTTGTTCCTGAGCATCGTTGGGGGTCAGGATGACATCATCACTAACACTGATGTCACTGGGAGTCATGGATAAAGGGGTGTGTGTGTGTGTGTGTGTGTGTGTGTGTGTGTGTGTGTGTGTGTGTGTGTGTGTGTGTGGGCCTGCTCTCGTCTTCCTCCGTCTGACTAATGACCTACGCCCACATCACCCTCCCAAGGCGTCAAGGACTGTGTGAGTGAGGAGAAGGAAGGTTTGGTGGGGGAGGGGGAGACAAGACCGACCTCAGATCTGTGGATCATCTGCATCAATGAGCAGACACACACACACACACACACACACACACACACACACACACAAAGGAGGGGCTCTGAGGTCATCAGGATGGCTAAATGCTATTGGTCAGCTGGACACTTACACAGCCCTCCTTTCCTTCCTTCCTTAGTGCCCCCCTCCCCGCGCGCGCACACACACACACACACACACACACACACACACACACACACACACATCTCTCTTCCACCTGACACTGCAACTCTTCAATAAAAATCGATAGTTTCTGCAGCCAGTCGATACAATCTGGAGACCAGAGCTGACATTTGAAGGCAAAGCCCTCAAATCTCTTCCTGTCTAATACTTTTTGTCAGCGTTAAAGTTCATGCACTTGTTTTTAGAAGCCTCTCAGTGTCTGTGACGTACAAGTCACATCTCATTATTCTCTTGTCTTTGCTCCTTTGAAGGTGTTTTGCATATTATGGCAGGAGATGACACCAAAAACCAGGAGCTCAGGAGGAGGTCAGCCTCTCTGATGGGAGGTGTGAGAGTGTCGTAAAACCTTCCACAATGCCTTGGTGAAAATGTTAATGTGTGGTCAATAAACTACGGAAGGATCCCGTCATCTCAGAGCAGATGAGTTGAATAGTCTCATTTATATTGCCCATCGTTTTAAAAACACACAGTTTGGGTTTCAGTGTTTTTCCACTGAGCTTCAGGCTGATCTGCATTATTCTGCACAGCCAGTCTTAAATGTAAAATGACAAAATGTTGTATTTTTCTTTATTAGTGAAACTAAACAAGATCTAATGAAGACATGTGATGCAAATAAATATGACATTTTTTTAATTGCTTAAGTAATTAAAAATATATTGAGATTAACTTAACGCATACTGACCAAAGATGAGGCCAATTTAACACAAAAACAAGAGTCAAGTTTGTCTGAAAACACTCAGATGGATCAGAAATGATTATTTCTGTCTAACGAACCTGTGTCTCAACAGGTGAGTCAGGTAAATGAACAGTCACCAAGCTGCAGCATGGCTCCTGGCCGTTCCCTCAGCTGAAGGCCACCTGCAGAGCAGAACAGAAGCTGCACCTGGATTAAAGCTCCGTCCACCATCTGCACCAGCAGCAGTTGTGTGATAACCTCAGCCTGAATGCTGAAAGCCGATCATTCTTTATTATCCTCTAATAATGTGTATGTGTGTGTGTGTTTGTGTGTGTGTTTGGTCTGGTTCCGCTGACAAACAGAGGTTGTAAATGGCCTGTATTTGATATAGCGCCTTCTAGAGTCAAGGAACCCCCCAAGGCGCTTTACAACACAGTCATTCACCCATTCACACACACATTCACACACTGGTGGTGATGAGCTACGATGTAGCCACAGCTGCCCTGGGGCGCACTGACAGAGGCGAGGCTGCCGAGCACTGGCACCACCGGTCCCTCAGACCACCACCACCAGCAGGCAACGTGGGTTAAGTGTCTTGCCCAAGGACACAATGACAGCGGGGCTCGAACCTGCAACCTTCCGATCACGAGGTGAGTACTTAACTCCTGTGCCACCATCACCCACATTTAACTCTTATTCACAAGTTTTAGCTTCCTTTGAGACCGTTCAGCAGCTCATTGATATTTTGTTCTACTTTTATGTTCTGTACCCATATTTTCCCCTTTAGCCCCAGAATTTTACTTATAAACAGCTAGTTAACTGAACCTGGTTTACACTGATCTCTACTGGATACCCAGGGTACTGCATCAAATGCTTTTAGTGCGCGTGCTTTCTGAGGAGCCAAAGAAATTATGTCAAGGTTAAAAAAAACTCTTATATTAAAACTTTAAATCTAAAACTAGCAAACCATGTTTGATGATTTTGTTGAGAAAATCTGCTGTCTCATACCGATAATTAGGTCTGACTTTATTTCTCCGACAATTATATTTCTGCAAAAGGCTTTTTGTAACATGCACAAAGGTGGTATTTAAAATGGCATTGGTGAGTTTTAACAAGCTTTTGACAACATGAATGTGTCAGCTATGATGCAATGGCCATATTAAATAATTTATTTTTATCTTAAAGGTGTGGTTTACTCATTTATTATATTTGCAGTGTTCTACAGTGTAAATCAATGCCTTATGAGTAATTTTAAAAAGCCATGATGCTCCTGTTCTGAGATGCAGACGTTCGCTGGTGCAGAGATGGACTGAAAACAGCAGGATTTCTCATCATTAATGATATGCACACACCTGAACAATGTAGCAGTCACTTTCACCATCACACTCTTCGCTGCAATATAAAAAAAAGCCTTCCTCTGGACAGGTGCGAGCCAAGAATTAAAATTCAGGGACATTACAGTGTGAGGATTTTCAAATTGTAGCATTTTACCATCTATTTTCTATCCGAAGCTAATGCAGGATAGGTGTAGGAGACCATTTTCTTGTTCGGTCTGCATGAAAAACCCAGAGTGACTGATTATAATCAGAAATCATTAAATTAAATGTTTTTTTAGTCAACCACACCTTTAATGTGTCTGCAAAGATCAGGCCTTCATGGAGATCATGAATGTCAACAAGGTAAAAAAAAAACCCGCTGTCATTCAAGTGAGAACACACTTTGATGACTCAGAAAGAGAAGCAGAACAGTAGAAAAAGTGGAGAAAAAGAAGTGAAAGCAGAGCGACAGAAAGAAGTTTATTACAGGTAAGATACAAGAGACCAAACTATCCGTACACAAAACCACACTTTTACTTGAACTGGTTGGTAGAAAAAGACAAGTTTAATTTGTGCTAGTCTGAAATGTTTTCACAAAAGAAACAGAAACCAAGTTTTACAACAAACTTAACAGAAAATCAAAGAGCAAAGAAAAATGTTCCTACCTTAAAGAAAATAAAACCACTTTGAAGAGCTCGGATGAACGGTGACCCAGCTTTGCTGTGTGCATCTCTGCTTGAAGAACACGATCACACAGACAGAGGACTGGGAATAACGTCAGCTTAGACCACAAACCAATAAAATGATCCGTTTAGACAATCAGATCAGAGAATAAAGGCACATGTGGTCCCAACAGGCCAGACCAGAATCACATGTTTATTATTCGTTTAAAAGGACAGCGTTAGCACGCGTCCAGTGTTTTTGGCTGCTTTTCTAACAAAACTGGGATTTTAATGTAAAAACTGTCACCTTTAACGATGCATGTGGTGAACTCGGTGCATGATTCAGCATTGTTGACTCCAAATTTAAACAAAGAAAGGATGTGAAACAGAAATGGTCCTCCTGTGAAATAAGAACAAGCTTCAAACTGAATTTTTTTTCCACACACACCCAGCTCCTGGTCGTTCGGAGGATTTAAATACCCGAAAACATGATGAACTTGGCAGACTTTTTTACCTGTGGTTAAAAGTTACTGAAGTTAGTGAAGTGAGATACGCAATTCTAAGATGCGTAGATCTGATCTGTCAACATTTTAAACAACTTTGTTTGATCGTTACATAAAAAAAAAAGACGTGAAACGTTCAAACACACAAACAGATCCGAGTTCTGATTCAAGCCCCTGACTTTAGCTGGTAGTGTGTCACAACACGAGCCATCAGCTCACCACACCCGATGGTGGAGGAAACCGCAGTTTGCTTAGGAGCACAAGATGATGTCTCAGCAGTTTATGAAGAACGAACCTCAAACGTCCAATAAAAGTCTAAAAGCTGAAACTGCCCCGCTGAGGGGTCATCTCTGGATACCAAAGCTGAAATCTGACACAAATTATAATTCCATGTCTTAATCCCAGATGAGGCTTTTTCACCTGTAAACACTCTGATGTTGCGACGGACCTTCACTTCACTTGACTGAACGAAAACCACAGGGAGCTGGTGCTTAGCAGCTTTTAACGATAAGACGCTTTTAGAAACTTGCCGAGCTAAACGCTGCTGCTGCTTTAATGGAATTAGCTTTTCTTTAAAATACTTCAACGGAAAACTATTCACAGAAAAAGTTCAAAAGAGGACAAATGCCGTGACTTCTAGTCAGAGAACTCGTTGTTTCAGAGCTGGTGTGCAGGTTAGATGGTGGACTTGGAAAAGGAGACTTTAAGGTGGTGGTTTCCTCCCATGTCGTAGTTGTGGAGGTCAATCAGAGTCTGGATGGCTTCCTCCACCGACGACATCTGGATCAGAGCCATCTTACGGTCCCTGGATAACAGAAAGCAAACAAATAAAAGTGCCTCTTTGGAATAAAACAGCAAAACAAATGTGTTTCTTACTGGAAAAACTTGAAGGCCTTGACCGTTCCTCCACTGTTAGAAAACAGAAGACGGAGATCATCCTCTCCAACTCCATCCCTGGAAAAAATAAACATAAAAACAATCCATGAAGCAAAAGTCGCCTCATTTTACTGCCAAATACAACCGATGTGCTTCGGTGTGGACCCACCTGATGTTGGAGAGGTGAAGTGTTGCAGAGGGAGGAAAGATGTTCTGAAAGTTTTTGGATCCGGGTTTTTTGAAGCGGTGGAGTGGAGAACCAGAAAAATCTGACAAACGAAAGCAAAACTTTAGGAAAAAGCCGATAACTGCATAAAAACTAGAAAATAAAATATCATTGTTGTAAATAAAATGTAAAGATGCAGGCATCTCCCTACCTTTGGTTAGTAGCTGGTCATCCAGCCCTTCTCTGGGCAAAGCGACGGTTTGATGCTTGGACAGCGTCACTCTCATCACTTTACCAAACACCTTCTGACCATTCAGGTGACTCATGGCTGAAAGAAAGACACACGAGACGCGTAAACGCACACAAGGATAAACTAGAAGCGGCCGGCTGGATAACAACGTCACGAGCTGACTCACCCAGCTGAGCCTGGTTCCCGTCAGACAGCTGGATCAGAGCGCTGTCCTTTTTGTTGTAGAGGATCTTCACCCTCTGAACATCACCGTAGACCCCTGGACGGAGAAAGAGACAGACAGAAAAACAGACAGCGAGAGAGAGAGAGCGTGGAGGAATAGATGAGGACAGAAGAGAGAGCAGGAGAGATGGAGCCGACGAAGATAAAAAGAAGAGGTGTGAAGGATGAAAGGAATAAAGTTAGTGCTAGAAAGACAAATGAAAAGAAAAGATGGACTCTTCCCATTTGACTTCTATCTCAAACTCAACCAAACGCTTCCTTTAATGTGAAACCTCAGCTGAAACTGCTCAAACTGACTGGCAGGTTAATGCTGGACAGGAGTGCAGGATTCAGTCTGATTAGGTGGATAAAATGTCAAACAGTGCAGGAAAATTAAGTAAAGACACTTTTACTGAACCAGATGCACTAACCTGACAAAACATGCTGCTGCACATAGACACGAGTCACCGAGAAGACCTGAACGACTGCTGAGATCGTTCTTTTAGGATTATACTGGTTTAATTTAGACGACTGGGAGGCTGGTAATCCAAACCGCGATGTTTTATTAAAGAGTAACAAAGATGGACTACGACTAAAACAACTTGGTACAAAATCTAGAGAAAAAAGGCAAAAAGACAATAAGGAAGGACGAGCTAGAGCGAGTCTGAGGGAGCGAGAGAGTCTGCAGGATTGTTATGATCTACTTCATCATTAATGTGGTGAGAAGACCTGGCTATGTGTTTAAGCTTCTACAGCCAGCGTTCACACGATGCTGCTTCCATACAAAACCCTCTTCTCCATTCAGCCATAACATTACGAACACCCAAGTCAGGGACATGGAGTTTTAACAAGTTATTCTCTTGTTGGTCCTCCTGCTTACTCTAAAATCTCATCACTCCATGTCGTCAGATTAAAAATCTCTGGAACAGGAAGTCCAGACGGACTCATTGATGTCTCAGACTGTGAACACGACCCATCAGTGGTCATAATGTAATGGCTGATCTGTGTAGGTCGTGCAGACCTAAACAGGAAGCTTCAGTTAAAGAGGTGGAAAACAAATCTAACAATTTTTAACTAGATTAGAACTTTAATATGACAACATCGGAGGGATTACGGCGTCTTCGTTGTCTCCATTAAGTCACAAGTTAACCAAACAATCCTTCAGACTCGCAGCTCGTTCGATATAAAGACAAAAGTAAAATCTGATATCTGCAATCAACAGTACAATAGAGAAGAGCTTGGAAACAACAGGCAGATAGAGAAGAGCAGAGTGCCCACGACATCACTGAGGAACGTGAACAAAACTGGATTAACAGAGAGAGATAAACAGATAGAATAGTAGAGGTTGAACATACCGAAGAGGGTAAAGAGACTTTGAGGCGTGACCATCTTTAGAGAGAGAGACCGCAGAGCAGAGGACAGGAAGAGGAGGAGCAGAGGAGGAGGAAGAGGAGAGACGAAGGTAGAGATCAGACCGCCCCGCGTTGGACGAGGGGGGAGATGGTTGTTTCCATGATGATGAAGGAGTGGAGCAAAGATGGAGGGGGAGGTGTGGGAAGGCAGGGTTTAAATTAGCAAAGTCATAAACAGATTATTATCAGATTAAGGAAAAGAAGGCAGGAGAAATAAAAATAAATGATGGTATTATTAATTAATTAGTGGGGGGGGGGTACATGGGGAGGTTCAGGAGGAGTGCGTAGCGTCAGAAAGGTCAAATAGAAAAAAAATGTTTAATGGAAGGAGAATGGGAGGGGAGAAAGGAGGCGGGGGAGGGGAGAAAGGAGAAGAGGACAAAAATCAAAGCAGAGGTCAGTAAACAGAGCATCAGTGGAACATCAACGGAGTCTGAATGATTGCTGGTCGAGTCTAAAAAAAACACACACGCAAAATAAAAACCACCAGGTCACACACACTTATTCCACACACACACACACTCACCGCTGGATGCAATTAGTGAGGAAAAAGGAAGGATGGGGAGAAAATAATTCACAAAAAACAACAAAATCTTTGAAATAAACAAGGGAGTACCATGAAGCAGATGGCTGGAGGAATCAGGAATCAGACGAACTAAAGTCCAAGTTTAGACTGACGAGGGACCAGCTCACTCACACCTTCAACACCATTAATAAACACAAACAACTGAAGGAGATGTTCAACATGTTCTGTCTCAGTCTGGAGGAAGGGGAGGTGCCTGTGAGGTTTCTTGGGCTAGAACAGGAATGAGCTGATCACGAACATATCCCACACATCTTAGCTTCTTGACTCAATCAGCAGATAAAGCACCAGTTGATGTTCGTGAAATAAACTGGTGTTAATGTTCTGTCTACAGGGACGGCATCCAAACAGAAATTCAACAAACATTTAATGACTTTAGGTCACTGTTTATGCATTTGTCCTCCACCCAGACCAGCTGATGTTAGCCAAAAGAACCTCTGTTTTATTCTGGAAACAGGACGCGCGCGCGTGCGTGCGTGTGTGTGTGACATAAAAAGCATCATGACGGATGTAAACAAACTTGTCATGGAGGAATGAAAACAAGGGTTGTTTACATATTCATTATGGTAATGCATTAATTCACACCATTACAGTAAGTTCCTGCCATCATGTACAGGCAGACATTTTTATTATTTAGTAAAAGCGTGTGAGATTTCTGCTGGAATCTAAATAATTCATTTTAAATCTGCAGAAACTCTGGCGGCTAGAACAAGAACAACGTTCTTTAGTCTACATCGAAGTTCTTCTCCTCGGCGTGCTCATGCACGACACGGTTGGTGAGGATTTCTTGATCTCAATCTGACTGACAACAAAAACAAAAACAAAGTGAGGTGGTTGAAAGCAGCCAGAACGCAACCGTGACCTCATCTTCTCATCAGGGATGGACAGATAGAAAGAGAGAGAGAGAGAAGAGATGAAGACACAAGAAGAGGCAACAGATGCTGTAGACATATAAACCATAGAGTTGTCACACATTTAGAGTAAGAAAATAAAACACAAGTAAAGTCAAAAACAAACAAACATCTGCTGTCAGCACACAGAAAACACAGAGATTCACAGAACCACTTATAGAAGACAGCATGGGCCGTCATTTTAGCTTAAAAAGACACCAGACTGGACATGAGACAGTTTAGAGACAAAAACCAAACAGGGAAGTCCCTGTAACACACACTCATACTCTAGCTTTATGTGTGAGAACCCCAGCTAAAAGCTCTGAAACACTTGTTAGAAACTAGAAAAGTGTTTGTCGGGTTCTGCTTTAAACGAGACAACGAGGATGTGGAAGGCCTTCGACAAACCTAGTCCAGGGTTTCCCTTACATAGGCGTAGGCGTGGCGGCCCGCCACGGCTGAAATCCCACCGCCACGCCTACAAGATCCCAAGTTTTTTTGTTTTTGTTGGCGCTGTTTCCCGAAGAAGCAGCGGGAACTACTATGTTGTCACTTGTGATCACAGCCGGCGGGCAGCAAGAAGCAGGCAGGGCAAGGTGAAGTTACAGCATAAGTTACTGAGTTTAAAATTAGAAAGGTAGCAGTGGATATAATGCTTTTTGGTTTACATGTTTCAGCAGCATTAAGATAAACGAGTGTTGACGATCTTGACAGGGTTTCCTCCAGTGCTTACTAGGCCAGGTTTTCCTCCCCCCACCAGGCTAAGCATCACTTATTCATGTAAAATTTATTTATTTTTTCATGTCTGATTTTAACCGCATCTAATACTGTATTACGGTGTGAGCGCAACAGCGACAACTTAAGATCGACGCGTGAGCAGCGTGAGAGGTCGGGTGTTTTCATCTGAACCCTTAAAACCTCCAGCAGGCTACGCTGCACTATTGACGTGTTAGCGCGCGGCGCTAACAACTTAGCGACGTGACATGTCTCGGAGAAAGCGTAAAAACACGTTGGACGCTTCTTCTGAAGCGGGAAAATAACACCTCTTCTTAAGCAGAGCACGACGTCGCCTCGGCTCGTTCACGGCCGAGCCGGACTGAGCTCGATAACATTGACCCAGCACAGCCACTGGGTCGTTGGAGCTGCCCCGTGACTGCCTGATGGAAAACCAGCGGGTTTCATCAGACTCGTAAAGTTTCTTGTTTTTGCTGGGGACCCCCTGTATTTTACCGCTCCCTCCTGCAGTCTTCCCCTATTAACATTTAAAATGATTCTGTAAACTCTGTGTATCAATAGAAACAATCTCTGCCTCTGCCAGCTGCAGTAAATGTAGTCTCCAAATAATAAATAAGAGGTGCATTCATCTGTGTATCTCCTTTGACCCGCATTAGTGATATTCTCAGCACCAGAACAGTGAAGCAAAGAAACACATTCCTGAGTTTGTTAGTAATTTTATTTATTATGTGCATCTAACCTGTTCTATTTTTCTCTGAAATGAGATCAAATCAGTGCTTCTATGGGTTGTCTCCTCTCTGCACTGGAAAATTTTACTTTATTTAGAGACGTGTCATAATTTCGTCCCCCCCCGGCCGGCCCCACCGCCACAGCTGGAAAAATTCCTAGGGGAAACCCTGCTAGTTCGTATTTAAAAATGAGCTTTTGAACACAACAGGGCTGAAAAGGTGGCGCACACCGCCGAGAAACCCCATAAATAATCTGTTAGTCACCGACGTGTTACAGAAAACTAGATAAAAGGATTCTTATTAAATCTAGGTACAGAAATTTTAAAAAGGCTGTAAAATAAAACATTTTTCATGCACACACTCACACACCAACTCACACTGATGTTAATTCAAAGGATTTATTCAAAACAGACATTCAACATGAAAGATTTAAGGTGGAACTAAAGAAAGGAGCGTGTTTAGTGTTTGTTCTGTTTAGTTAGTGTACCTCTTCATTTAGGTTGGATGCCAACAGGACCCCCGACACTCCAGACCCGGACAGAGCAACACGGCCCGCAGCTGCCGCCGCCGCCGCTGCAGCGCTCAGAGGGCTGATGGCTCCTAACAAACAATAAAAATAATTTAAAACAGGTCAGGATCAAACCAGCAATAAATTATTTATTATTTCAACAGATCATTGAAGATATGAGAAGCCTGCTTTCCTTCCTCTGAGCTTTCACACGACCCAAGCTGGATATGATCCATAACAGGATAGAAAACAAACATAAACAGATGAAAAACAGGATTTAATTAGTAAAACGTGTAGATACCTCCACCCTGTGAGAGTGAGAGAGAAGAAGAGAATCCTCCGCCACTAGAGTAGGAGGCTAGAGCTCCAGATGGGGTACCTAGGAGACAAAAACAACTAGATTTATTCCGCAGGACACTCTAACCTCACACCAGGAGCACAGAAGTTATGTTTTAAACAATAAATGTGGTTTTCCATTAGCTAAATACCAAAAGTGATAAAACGGTGCTGATGTAAATATCCCGCTTTAACCCACGTGGCAAAAGACTGACCATGTGATGATGTGTGTCAGAAAAGGACTGGATTTTTCTAGAAGGAAGTATGACTGAATGCTGTCCAGACAGATGGAGAGACACGTGTACTTACCCAGTAAGGAGTGATCCTTGTTGGTTGACTCTCCGTCTCCAGTAGGGAGGTCTGGTCTGGTGTAATCACGACTCTTATCATTGTTGTATTTAACATTGAGGTTGACCAGTTTACTGAAGTCTATCCGTAGAGTGCAGCATGAATTATAGATGTTCTGTCCATCCAGCGACTGGAGGACACAGGAAAAACGTGTTAAAGGGACTTTACGGAGTTTTGAATTTTTATGCTCACGATTAACCCCTCAGGCCAAAAGCGTAATGGCAGCTTCAATAGTAGGCTCGTGCACGAGGCGCGCATGCTGTACGTGCACACTCCTTAACGAAAATAACAGCTGAGACAGTCAGACAGCTCCGTGTGTGTGTGTGTGGCCCGGAGGACAGAGGACAGGAGAACGCACAGCTAATTAATTAAATAATTTGGTTCTGTACCTTTTTCTTCAGCACAGCTGAGCCGACAAAGGGTTATGATTGGTCAGTCCTCCTGCATGCTCAGACCATTCCTTTCCCTTGCTTGAAAAATTGTTCCAAAATGAAAGTTGAACCCACTTTTTTTTTTTCATCTGTGAATTCAATGCCGTTAGGCGAGTCTCAAATAAAAATTTGGGCATCTTACTGTAAAAAAAAAAATCCCATTAATGTAAAAAAGAAACTCTAAATAAACTATGTTCACATCCAGAATCGAACCCGGGTCTTCTGCACGAGTCTGCCGTCTTACTAGGTGAGCTATAGCACCAGTGGCGTCTTTTCTATCTGTATCATTTATATCCCTGATGATAGCTGAAACAAAATTCAAAGAACGGTTCGGAGTGAAAAAGGCTATTTTGTAGCTAATTTGCAGGAAATATCTAGAAGAAAGTAGCTAAGGGTCCTCAGAAACGTAGCTAGGTTCATCACTAGGCGTTAGGAACAGCGACAAAGTGGCTGAGTTGGCACTACCTCACTCTCTGCTGCTAAAGCTACGGATAGCAAATGCTACGGGCGATGCCTGAGCGTGAACGCACATGAAGCAGTCTGCTCAACCCGAGCAGCTCTCTTTTTCTGTGATTTTACAGAAAAAGAGGCAATCACAGTAAAAATGCCAGGGCTCATTCTACAGGACCAGGGCATTGCAGGAGAATGTATGAAGAAGAAATTTATTATTTCTATACATGTTTTGGCTGTCAAACTTCCATAATGCCCCTTTAATTACATGTGATTTTTTTAAAATAAAACAACTGGAAAATGACTAAATCTTGATGGCAGAAGAGAAGAAGGCAGCAAGATTTTTTTTAAATTAAGTTCAACTTTCACCGCTAACAAAAAACCCGTTTAAAGGGACATCACTAGCTAGTTTTTATTTCTGATGCTAATAAAACAAGATCAATATCTTTTTTTACTCAGATTAAATCTAAAACAAAACTCTTACAAAGCATTAAACATCAACTTTACTCATATTTTGGTCTCAAGAAGGAATGAATGAGTATGTCATTCTCTGGGGAAAACGAGCTCTGGTGCGCCTGTTGATGACGAATAATTCAGCCGAAGGAGAAAGTAGCTTCAGACAACAGGATTTGGAGTTTTGTTTTGGATAACAGCAACGTGACTTCCACTGACTGTTCGCTTTGCAACGTTGATGTTTTATCTCCACAAATAACACAAGCCTGAAGGAGTTCTGCTGTGTGGTGGAGTTGCTAATGCCAACGATTAGCTTCTACTAGACGAGATGCTCTCTGCTGTTTCCTGGACACTAAACCAACAACAGCCTTCCCTATCATGAGTAAAGATGGACAGTGTGACATAGATATGTCGGGCTTTTCTGAACAGAGCATTTTTCTATTTTCTATCAAAAGCTAATGCAGGAGATAAGTGTAGGAGACTATTTTCATGTTAACCTGATTAGAATCAGAAAAAAGTAAAAGTTAATCTAGCCTTTAAAAGAATTGTAGGCGTGAAAAATAAAACTGAGTTGATTTTTTTTTAACTTCTAGTCTTTATTTTGCAGAGATGGTGTGTGATCTCACCAGTTTAGCTTGCTGTGCGTTGACTGGGTCACTGAACTGCAGAAGAGCTTGGAACTGGTTGTTCTTAGTAAAGGTTATGATCTTCATCACAGTTCCAAATTTACTGAAGATCTAAAAGCAAAAATAAACATGTGACATCACCAATGAGAGTTTTTAACATTTCTGGTTAAAGCAACACATCCACAGAGTTTTAATTTAACACCGTGAGCTCATGAAAGGCTGTAAGGAAAATCTTAAGACTCAATCTGCCAAAAATGCTGTAGAAAATAGTGTTACCTGTTGTAGAACATCCAGTGTTACAGGGTAAAACATGTTGTCAATAATGATTCGGAGTACAGGACTGGGAGGTGGAGCGAGCTCCAACACTCCTTGGTCAGAAGCAGGAGAGCTTCCATCCTGAACAGCTGACACTGCTTGCAGCACCGCCTGAGCTCTCTGAAGTGAGAATAGACAATTAACACAAGACTGAGTAATAATCAAGTCCAACAAAGGTCTACACGTGTCTAGGGCAGGGACAAGAACTGTTTACCTGATTCAGAGCAGAGTCTGTTTTCAGTTCTTTATGGTTGGAGTACTGGATGAAGACTGGAGAGTTTCTGACCTAACAGAGGACAAAACAGTCACTAGTGATGTCTGACAGGGAAAACAGAACCAGTAAGAGTTGAATTTCAGACCTGTGGTGTGACGGCTGAGTAGTAGTTCACCATAGTGATTGCTGCTTCCTCTGTACTCAACTCTAAAAATGCCTGGAAATGCAGTGATGCACATTTGAGATGAACAAATGATTTCCAGAGATGTTTTTCATAAATGATAGTTGGGGCTGCCACGCCATTCCTGTTCCATGATTAGCTCATCGTCATGCGTTTACCTGGTTTTTCCCCTTCAGCATCAATATATTAGTGACCTTTCCGAAGGGCAGCCCCAGAGCAATGACTTCAGTTTCTGTCACTTCGTTGGGAAGTTTTCTGATGTGCAGGACTCTGGAGGGGGGCGACTCGTCCAGGCGCTGTTTCTTACTGTCACTACCGTTAGCTGAACACGGAGACAAGTATAAATATTAAAGGTTAATGTAATATAATCAAAAATGGGTTCTATGGGTTTTCATCCAAGGTGATAATTATTGACACTGCAAAGTATTTTGTTACAAATAACAGGATCATCTGAAATGATCTGAGAGCAGATCAAGGACTAATGTTCCTGCAACAGGAGTCTCACTAAAAATACAGCTGAATGACTTTGAGCTGATACAATCTGGCCAGACAGCATGTAGGGAAAAACAATTCTGGACTGGCTGGGGTGGTGAGTAAATGTCATCAGATGTCACGCTCATAACTAACATACATAAACCAACAGTAAGTAAGATAAAATGGGTATGCAGGCTCACAGAATATTAAAGCATCATATGCTTTTGTTTTGAAGGACAAAGACAGAGAGATCATGAAAATAAATGCAAAAAAGCAACAAGATTCAAAACAACACAGCCACAGCCACTTGCAAATCTAAAGTTTAAATGATGCACTCTTCGTTTTTCTTTCCTTACCGGCCATGGAGCTGGGGCTGCTGCTGTACATGCTGAGCTCATCTGAGCCTCTCTGGAATCACATAAACAATTAAAACTGCTCAAACTTTTATTCCAAACTGGATAAAATGTGACACATAAGTCAGAAGTTAGCTGATAAAAGGACAAAAGGATAAAGTAGTTTACCTTCACACCAACTGCAACATCACTGCAGAGGAAACGTAATATGAAGATAATTAAAGATTTCTAACAGCAATCAGTGCAATTTACTTTATCACTACGATAATATATGAATAAAATCAACGTTGGTGGTTTTAGTGCCAACGATAACGATAAACAGAAACTATTTTAAAAATATAAATAAATAAATAGAGAGAGAACAGGAACTACAGCAACATTTTAGAGAAACATTAAAAGTAAATCAAAGGAACCTGATTAGAACATTAATTTTACTCAAAATTCATAAACTAAATTTACTTTTAAACGATTCAAAAGGCTTATTTTAATTAGGTACTTTTGAGGTGTGGTTTTGCTGTCATTGCCTTATCTTTCGGTATTTGAATCCTTCTTTTACATTCTTTAATGGCTCATCCTTTTTAAATACCACAATAATCCAACAGCATTACAGTACTGTAGTGAGACCTTAGAGAAAATGTTGTAAATCGTGGTTTTTAAATTACGTTTGTGCAGCAGATTTGCTTCAGACAAAGGACCATTATTTTAGGATTAAGCTAGCGGCGGCAGACAGGTGTATGAACGACGTCAACATCATATTTCATAAGCAATGACGTTTAACTCTATAATTCAATCTTTATTAAAGATATGAATAAATTATTAAACCATTTATTTCGTTATTCGCTCTATCGAGAACACGACATTGTTAGCTTAGTTACGCACGACATAACGAACATCGTGACCGCTCAGCTACAACGTTGGTTTAGCTTAGGAGTTTTGAATTAAATATGTTGTTAAACCTAAGTTTACCATAAATATCCGTCTATTTGGTTGCTAAATGACATTTACAAGGCAAACAGTTAGGACTGGGTATGGCATGCTAAAGTCACGCTTTTCTGACCAGAGGAACGTCAAAGTGTATAAAGGAGCTAACGTTTAGCAAGTCCGTAAGACAGGCGCGTTAAGGTAATGTAGCGTGGGTAGCTCTGCGAAACGAAACCGGTACCCTTAGCAGAAATTAAGAAACGTTTACCCGTCCATTGCGTTTCTTTGTCTTATTCTGTCTGTTGATCTGTCAGCACACCGACCGATGCAGGCGCTGCAAGCAAAATGGGCGTTCTACTTCTAAAACTCGGTTTGGACAAACAAGTAATAGGTGCGATACTGCCGCTACCTGGTACGGAGTTTAAACTACACCAAATTTTCCTGAAAAATTGTGTATTCAAACCAAACTCACACATTTTATTTATAGAGTTCATCTTAAAACAAGTCCTGTCGCCAAAAGTGCTAAACAGAAAACAGAACTCAAAGATAAAATTACTATCCAGGTATACAAAACAGTCACATAGCTTAAGGAGGCTGAGGAAATAACTATAAAACTATAAAAGCATGAATACATTAATAATCATTCAACATATAAAACAAATCAACCAAAACACTTTCTTGGGTCGAATTAAAAGCTAGTGGAAACAAATGACAAATATTAAAAAAGTCAAAAGACTGAGTGGATCTCACATTCACGGGCAGTTACGTGTAAATGAAGACACAAGGAAAGTATTAAACACATGATGATAAAGTGAAAAATGGCGTACAAAGTTAGGAAATCACCTGAAATCACCCCGCCCCTATGGTACTAATTGGTAGCAGTTGATTTGGTCCTAATTGAGGGGAGGGAGGAGACTTAGGCTCCTTATAAAGTCTTCTCATTACGCAGGAGGCACACAGGAAAGACTTCATGATGAATAAAAGCAAAGAACTCTCCCAAGATCTTCGTAATCTTATCATTGAAAAGCATTCTGATAGTTATATATGCATTTCTAGAATGCTTAATGTTCCTGTGAGCACTGTGGGGGCCATTATTCGGAAATGGACAGAGCCTCAGTTCACCATAAACGATCAGTTAGACAGGGTTAGACGTCTGTTTAATGCCTGATGAGAAATCGTTTGATCAAGTGGAAGGGGACTATCTCTTTGAGACTTCAACAAAGTTTAAACTTGGACCCAAATCTATATCCTGGATAAAATTGCTATATTCCTCTTCATTGGCAGCTGTCCTCAGCAATAATATTATTTTGAGATTACTTTGGTTTGAGCCATGGAACTAGGCAGGGATCCCCACTGTTGAAATTGCTATTGAGCCTTTGGCCACACGACAGAACCCAGGTATCAGTGGCTTCTCGTGTCTGTAGGGCCAGATTAACACTTTGTTGTACCCTGGTCAACAATATTAAAGGGCCCCATCATCACGACCCAAGGATCACCATAATATGGTCACATACATAATATTTTACTGTAATATGCAATAAATATACTCAATACTTGAATGCCTGACATCACGTAACCCGCTCAGAGAAACCTTTGACCCACCTCGTGTGGACTGACCAATGAGGAGAGGGTCTTAACTTGAGGCCCTCTCTTCATAGGTCAGTCTGCATGAGACTGACTCTCAACTGACGTTCAGTCGTAGGCAGCGAAGCGTCTCTGTGCAGCACAAAAGCCTGGGTGGACAGTTTGTTTAATATAGGGCGACCATATTTCCATTTCCAAAAAAGAGGACAGGGGATCTGTGCCTATGACGTCACACTATGGTAACGTCACACAAACCACGCTGGGACCCATTTCTTTGTAAGAACTACATTAATATAAGATTCTACAAATAAAAGGGCTCTAAAACAATTCATATGTAAATATTTTGCATATTTATTGCAAAATCTAATTTTTCTACTTTACTGCTGCAACAAGGTTGTATTAATAAGAAATAATTATACCTTTTGTTTTACTACAGCATCGGTAAGCTTCCTGTGCACAGATTATTAAGGATGCTTGTTTCAGCTGTGAGATTAGACGATAGGATCAATGAAAAAAGAAGTTGTCACATACTCCATGGAAACTTTCAGAGAATCCACAAATAGTGGCTTTCAAATGGTTTTGTTACTTTTTGCAAGTTTAGAAAAGAAGCAGATGAGACGACATGTCTGATAATGTCTGAGGGGTTTTTATAAACACAGCATAACTAATACTCCTGGACAGGGTATGAATTACACAGAGGCTTCTGGGGAGCCCAGTTATGGGGGGGGGGGGGGGTTCATTTTGCCTTGGCCCCCAAAATGCCTTGAAACGGCCCTGGGTGTGTGACTGAGTTTTGAAGGTGATCTGTACTGTATCAGATATATAAATATTACATGTGTGTAACTTATTGTTTTATACAGGTAAAAACGTGTAGTAGAGATAAGTCTACCTACATTTTACTTTTCAACACTTTGTTTTCCTGTCCTGTCTGTCTCTCATCTTCCTGCATCGCCTCTAAACTCTCCAGAAAAACTGCTGCCTGAATTCTTACTTTTTCACCTCATCAGTTACTTTTGAGCAGATCAAAGGGATCTCCTGACCGCAAAGCGGAGTGCGCATTTTGATGCTGCATCAGTGAGGTGAAATCACCGCAGCACAGGTGATGAGCTCCACAGTAGCAGAGCGCTTCAGGCACAAATAAGACAGAAAGTAGAGAACATGTGCAGACATGAACGATCATATGTTAATTATAGTTTTTTTGGTAGCACCACTTTGAGAATGGACCGTGCGCTGGACGCAGCAGTCTAGAGAGCTGCACACCAACGATCATCGCTCTGCCACTCTTTGTGCTCTCTGCTCAAAAGAGTCCATGAATGATGTAATATAGGTAGAAAACATTTTTTTCTGGCTCCCCTCGATGTGTAGGATATCCAGCTCCTCCATAATTCGATCCCTGCTCCTGGATGAAAGACCGGACATTTTCATCAATACAAGACACCCCCCCCGGACGTCTTGGTCAGATAGTGAAAAGCGGACATGTCTGGGGAAAAGAGGACGTATGGTCACCCTAGTTTAATATAAGGCGGGAGATTACAGATACAGTATTTTGCTCGAACCCTTGCTGCCCTGGGCCCTTTAGAGTTCGTGGGCCCTGGGCAATTGCCCAGTTACCCATATGGTTAATCCGGCCTTGCGTGTCTGGGATCTACAAATAAAGTCTTTCTTTATGCCGACGACATGCTTTTGTTTATTTCAGATCCTCTTGCTGGTATCATTTGGTTGGATCATTGGCTATATTCAGAAAAGTGAAATGATGCCTGTGATTCTTGGACTGTGGCTAGAGCTCACTTATACAGTTTATCATTAAAAAATATCTATTTGGGTGTGACGTGTTTATTAAAAATGCAGTTCCTTCCTTTCCTCCTTAGTAATAATTTTCTGATGAAGACAAAAACCAAAATTAGGATTTTTATTGGTAGAGGGGATTTTTTTTGGGGAGTGGAATCACTGGATTAAATAATTAGGATTTTTGGATTATTGAGATGAAAGGTCAACATTTCTGGTCAAGAAAAGAAAAACACTGGTGAGTGACCCTTCATTTGATGTAATAAAATGTTGTGCTGCACTTAATTTATCATGCCAGAGATGCCACTGGTAATGACAAGACAAATTCAAATCTAAATTAGCATGCATACAATTTAACAGTTACATTGTTTCAAGGGAACAAATCAACACAACTGTATTTTTCATTTATAATTTTATTTAGTCCAAAATATTTGGTGTAACCCAAGAAAAAAAAGATAGAAATATTGCATGTTTTAGTTTTAACATTTTTAAACTCTTAAATGTTGAGGTACAATTATGAATAGTAATTATTCGAAGCAGATCTTAATCTTTATTAAAGGGCAAGTCACCCCAAAATCATCTGTTTTGCTGATAAACTATATAAATGAGTGTAGTCAATAATTTAGCACATTAGTGCATCTTTGTTAAAATTTAAATATTCTGCCTGAAACTGTCACTGTTGCACCCTCTTTGGGTAAAAACTCTGCACTGCATTTTAATTTAAATCTGCCATCGCTATTGGCTAAGAGGTACCCTATGACATTAGCTGGTACCATATGATGTCACAATGCCATTGCGAGCCAGTGTGTGCGTGTATTTGTTAGCGGGTCCGCCCTCTCAGTCTGCCAGGCAACAGCATATGTTGCACTTTTCAAACAGAAAGTGGGAGTGGAGTAACATCCTGCAATGGGATGACTTGCTCTTTAAGCATTTGTTTGTTCCTTTAGCAGACAGGATTAACGGGTACCCCCCTTTTGGGGACATGAGGTGTTTTCCTGGTAACCATTTTAATGCAGTCAACAATTGGACAGACACTGAGACACAGAGTGCAGCCTGTACAGCTGTCAGTCACAAAGGGAAGGTGGGTCTCTGGGTCAAACTGTATGGCCTGAAAAGATAAAAAGAAATTCATGTTTCAGGATTGAATGCATAAACTGCTCAAAACATTTTTAAAGATACAGAAAAGGTAGGTGTTTAAGGTAAAAGCAGCTGAAAGACACACCTGGTATCCAGAGTCATTGCAGGTCATGTAACATTTACCACAGTTGATGCACATATCTTCGTCTATCAGAGCCTCAACCTAAAAAACAAACAAAGAAAGGTTTTAAATATTTAAAAGGATTGATCATTTTTGTCTACATAGAAATTTTCCAAATATTTAGTGAATTGTGTGGAAGACTTTTAATGTAGTTTTTCCAGTAGGTATCTTTTTATTAGTCTAAACTCAGATTTATGTGTTTAACAGTGAACATGCTGTTGTGCTGTGTACCTGCTCCATGTTGTCAAGGTCCTGGTACGCTCCAATGTAGCGCAGCGCTCTTGCTATCACATCCTAAGAAACAATATAAACTTTGCTTAACAAAAAAAGTGTATTCACTCCGGTTGAGTCATATTTGTAATTGTGTCCCACACCTTTACTGCAGGCACGGGTTTATTGGGCTTGTTGACCCGGTCTACGTTGGTTTTTGGCACATCGTTTTCACCTGCATCTCTGAGCTGTTTCTTGTACTTTATGATGGCTTCAGTCCTCCGATGGAGGTATGGACCAAAACTAGGAAGACTCTATACAAACCCAAATGAATGAGAACGTTAGTGGGAATAAATATTAAAACATCACAGCACTTGAATAAAATCAGGATGGATCATTAGCAAGGACTGCAACAATAATGTCCATATTTTATACATGTACCTTTCCAACCAGGTCTTCCAGTTTGGAAACTGGTTTTCCTCTCTGGTGTTTTTCCGTTGGAGGGGTCTGACCGTCCCAGTCTTTCAGCTCCAGGCTCTTCAGGTACAACAAGGCTTTTAGTCCTAAACACAAAGTTACATTAACCATCATTCAGTTAGGAAATCTTGTACTGATGCAAAAATAAAAAAGTTACCTACCAACACAGTAATCCTCAATCACAGTGAAGTCCTGGTTCTGAACTGCGCTGCACACCTGACAAAATCAGAAAATCTCAAGACTTATTTAACAACACAGAACACTTTTAATGGGAGGTGAATGACAGGCTCTGCAGCAGTACAGAATTTACTTTATCTTTTGTGGGTCAGTCCATAAAAATCTAGATAAATAAACATATAAATTAATAACTGTCTTTTGCGAGAATAAATCCAGCATAAGCACAAATGAATAATGTTGATTTTTGCTCTCACCTGCAGCACCGATGCCCCGGCATGGAGAAACTGCAGCCCCGTCTCTGCTGAGTCGATGCCGCCGGTGGCCAAGATAGGGAAACTTGGGATGGCCTTGGCAATGGCTGATACAGCTTTGAGGGCAATGGGTCTGATGGCATTACCTACAAATTGAGCATGCTTCACTCAATTTCAGCTTTTCATTGTAAAAATACATTTTTATAAGAACTGGAAAAAGTCTGCTTCAAATGCAAATGTATTTCTGATCCACCCTCTTGTAATTAAGCTTAAACTAAACTCATGAAACATGGATTCATAAGGAGACAATATTGACCCTGTTATGAAGCAGGCTATGCATTGTTAAACACCTGAGGACCAAACATACCAGACACTCCTCCATACGTAGTGCGCTGGCTCGCTCCAACCTTTGGCCAAGGCGAGCCGTCGGCCTTCAGACCCATCAGACCCGACACCGTGTTGGTGGCGGTGACTCCATCTGCTCCACCTGTAACACACAACAAACACCGGCTAGGTGTCAAACATGTTCTGCTCATCATTTGTACCTACAATGTAAAGCTGATTAAAAAAAAAAAAAAAACAACAAATAAAAAATGGAAAATGATGTAATGTCACCTTCATGTGCAGCTTTGGCAATGTCAACAATGTTGGTGACATTTGGTGTCAGTTTGGCAAAGAAAGGAATGGAAATGGCGGCACGCACCCATCGACAGATGTTACGCACCAACACTGGATCCTAAATGTACAACAAACACACTCAAAATTATAAATTTGAAGCTGTATTATTCAGACATAGTAACTCTATAGAAGACAGATACCTGTCCACAGGCTAGTCCCATCCCTCTTTCTCCCATCCCATGAGGACAAGACAGATTTAGCTCCAATGCATCTGCTCCAGACTCCTAAACACACACAGATAAAACTGGAGTTAGGCTACATTTCAGTTTAATTATACTTGTCATATTCAGTAAATAAATACATATTTGATCTGTGAGACGTGGCCTGTCTCACCTCAGCCATCTTGGCCAGAACTGTCCAGTCCTCCTTATTGTAACTGCACATGATGCTGGAGATCACCACCTGAGAAATATTCAGTTTTAAACAGCTTTAACACAAATAGATGTGATTAGAAGAAGGAGGAGATGTGATAGATCTTTTACGTTGTTGGGAAAGTCCCTCTTCAGCTCAGTGACTGACCGACACCAATAAGCTGCTGTCTTCTCACTGATGAGCTCGATGTTCAGGAAGGAGCCTTGACCAGGTCCAAACACATGACCTGAGGTGGTACCTCGCACAATACGAGGAGACACATTGGTCACCAGGTCCTGCAGAAACACGTTAATATCTCTGAGTTAGGGGGTTACTCAGTACTGATGTGCTGTTCGTCTTTTTCTAAAGATGTCCTGATTCTCTGTGCCTTCTTAACACAGACGCAGCTGTAAAACACACGCGTTAGGGAAGACATTGTGGAGTACGCTGTCTCATACCTTGTCCAGGCCAAAAGTTTTGGTCAGAGCAAAGCCCCATCCTTGTTCAAAAGCTCTCCTGATCATGGCGGTGCTGGTGGTAGGAGGTGCAGAGGCTAGGCCGAATGGGTTGGGAAACTTTATACCACACACCTCAACGCTGATATCCACCTGATCAATGGCACTGTAGAACAAAGGCAGCTTTGGGACTGTGTCCACTGTGTGCCCATGTAGAGACTAGAAAAATGAATCAAACACAAAAACATGACTGAACTTGCTTTACTTTTAACAACTAGAGAATCTGTTCAAGTGTACCTGTATGTATCTGTGAATGTGCCACGAAGCTTGTTTCCCATCATTCACTGACTCCACAGTGGTGTTTGCCAAACCAGCAACGTCTCCTCCTGCAAACACCCAGGGCTCACTGGTCTGCATGGTTTCTGTGTTGATCTCAGGAGTTCCCCAACGAGTCAGTTTGATAGGAACCATGGCTTCAGTCACTACCAAAACACACACACACGCACGCACGCACGCACGCACACACACACACACACAATCTGTTTGTGAACGTGACTAATGCTGAGTGATTCTTGATTTATATCCATGATTAAATCAAACAACAAAGCAGCTATTATGCTGTTTCCTTACACTGAGGTTCATTCAGCATGGATCCAAAAGCACTGATGATGTAATCCGCCTTCAACTTAACAATCTGATCCTCGTCTTCCAGCCAGTCACCTTCCTCAGTCTGCTCAGTGCGACAGAACTGTAGCCCGGCGATCCGCCCGTTCTTCATGATGACCTCACGAGGAGAGAGGAAGGGCAGAAACTCACACTGCTCCTCCCTAGCCAGCTCCATCTGACAGAAAACAGTCCAGACATGAATCCATCAATGTATCTGTTTACGAACTTCACCTTTTCATCTACCTCCCCATACCTCCTCAGGAACAGCTCTAATGTTGGTGAAACCTTTCCTGAAGCAGATGTAAACTCTCTTGGCTCCGCAGCGGAGAGCTGAGGTGGCACAGTCGAACGCGGTGTCCCCGGCCCCCAAAACTATCACCACTCCCCTCATCTCTGGGAGGGAGGACCGGCACTGGCACATGCCTACAGAACCAGATACAACAATAACAACAACAACAACAATAAAGATGTAAACGTTTCTCCTATATCTTGATCTTGTCAGCATTACCTTTCTTGCTGGCAGAGGCCACCATTGGCAGGAAGTCTTTAGAGGTGAAAAAGCCTTGATCTGCAGTCAAACCCTGGAAAATTGCTGCTCTGTTGGCCTGAGGGAGACCTAATACACCCATATACAAACATACACTTTATAAAGACTTCACACACACATAAAAGACACAGGCAGTGATTAAACCTACCAATCCCAATGAAGACAGCCTGAAACCCCTCCTTCTTCAGGGAGGACAGAGTCATTCCATTAACACCTAAACCTTTCTCACAAACCACCTGCACAAATGTTTAATCACAGCTTTAGGGACAAGATGGTTCTCGAAACATATATTTAAGTGTTTAACTTTACAAACATTACTAGTAACGTTTAAAAAGATGCAGCAGGGTTTTACCTTGACTCCCAGGTCCTTCATCAACTCAATTTCAAACTGGACGACCCCATATGGAAGTCTAAACTGAGGGATTTCTGAAGTGCTGCATGAAAGAAAAATATCTTCAGTTAGTTTTCATTAGTTTTAACTGGGAACCCCAAAATATTTCAGATTTAAACGGCATAAAATCTCACTTAAAAATATTCTGATATTCTATGGATGATTTTAAAATGATACCTCAGTCCTCCTGTGTACTTCTGCCTCTCGAATACGGTGATGTTATCATACCCAAGCCTGGCCAGAAAAGAAGCACAGCTGATGGATGCTGGGCCACAGCCAATCAGAGCAATGGGGGTGTGGTAAGATGCTGGCATCTCATTGGCTGGTGGGAGATCAGGATTCCTGGTTTGAGGGATGCCCATTTTGCTAAACACCTATAAAGAAATGGACATTGCACAAATGAACTTAATCAAGACTAAAAATAAAGTTGAGTTTACTTGAATAACCAACTCACATCATGTGCAGGCTTGTAAATAAAAAACAGACTCACAGCTGATGTATCTCAGAGGTTGAAGGTTGAATTGTTTTTAAAAATGATGATAAAATTGTACCTCGGTAGCAAACTGCTGCAGCCCTCCAATGTTGATGGGTCCTTCTTCAGAGGCGTACAGGTTACATCCCCCGACACACAGCTCTGATGTGGGGCAAACCATCCCACAGGTCAGGCCCAGAGGGTTGTCAGACAGGATGGCCCGAGCTGCTCCATAGTAGTTCTGTTACACAACCACAGGTGTGAGAAAAGACCTCTGATGTCCACTGATCGTTGCCGTCTCATTTTTCCCCTTTACCTTGTTGCAGATGCTTGTAATAAATGACTTGATGTCCAGATTTGTCGGGCAGCTCTTCTGACAAGGAGCATCTGCACATTTTAAGCACCTGGACACACATTTGTCGTATTTGCAGTCTGAAATCTGCTCTACTGTGTTATGTTTTTACAGATTATTTTTGCGACAGTAAACATTTAGTTACCTCAGTGCTTCTCGCAGAGCTCCTCGTTCACTCAGCGTTGTGTGTTTGATGTCGTCAAAGTTGTTCTCCAGCTTCACACACGACTAAATGAAAGAGTGAGGAAAGAAGGAAAAAAAATGAAAACACATTTATAAGTAACAAAATAAAAGTAGAGAAAAACGCCTATTTACGTCTTACATCACAGTTCCTCTCAGGGTTTCTCTTCCAGTGTTTCTTTTCTTTCTTCTTACTTGCTGTCGACATGATCTGAGCGTGAGTTTTCACCCTGGGATTGAGAGCCAGAATGCTCTATGAAAGAAAGAGGAAGTGCTTCAGTTCAATAAAGCATTAGACTGAGATCGTTTATTTTTTTTTATGAGCATGCATTTATTTCCTGGAGAAATAGGTTTAAGTTACTTCTGGACACTAGAATAATCGCAGTTGCATCTTCATAAAGTTTTACAAAGGTAGTACGAGAAAACAATGTGCTTCTCTTTGTGATTTTATTTTCCATAATATTATTATTTTTTTTATTATTATTATTATTATTATTTAATAATGGTACAATACAATTATTGAACTTGATAAAAGGATTTTATTGTGAAAAAATGAAAGAGAATAAAAACATCACATTTATTATCATTTTCTTATTAAATAATACACCTTTTCAGTAAAGACAAGCAAAATTTGTAATTCAGTTTTTTTCTTCCAGTTTTGACATGATGTAAACTCTTTTGAATAAGTAATATTTGCCATCAATTGTGAATTGATAAATGCATGAACGATAATTTAAAAAAAATACCAACTTTTCTTTTGCATTTATTAACTAAATGTTTAGAATTATGGATCACAAAGTACATGATGTTATCTGTCTAACAGCACACACACACACAGATCCACAGCTAAAACACAGGAACAGGAACATTCTAGGAAATCTGGACGTTAGCACAACATGATTAGATAATGATGAGCGGCCAGGTCGGTGTGCTGCAGGGAAGTGACCTGTTGCTGCATTCATAACAGAGGAAATTCAAAACTCAGATATTTCAGTCCAGTAAAAGAAAAAAAATGTGTAGCAGAAGACGATCTCCTTATGTTGTAGCAGTTTTAATTTGTCTTTTCAGCCTAAATCTTGTGGAAATGCATATTTTAGAGGAATTCCTTGAACCTGCTGCTTGACTTGAGCACGTGCACACTCAGATCTGAACTCCACCAGCCACGTGCAGCTGATCAACACTATGTACCTAAACACATGGATGTTTGCGTAATAGGGCAAACTCATTTTGGTGTGCTGATTGACCTTTTGTTCATTCAGCTACAGCCTGCAATGATGACAGAGCAGCACATACAGTATAAGACTGATGATTGACAAGCCTAACCACTGCTTTTGTGCACTGGTTAAAAAAATCACAGTGGAGGAGCCCTGCAGCAGCTAACCTGTTCAGTTATTGTGCCATCAGTATTGATTCCACTCTCAACACTCATTTAATTAAATGTCCAGTTTTTAGCTTAAAATTTATATTGGAACAATTTTACTCTTCAACTTTTTTATTCTCAGATTAGTTATTTGACATTTCTAAAATCAATTCAAGACTCACCTTTTCAGAAAATTTTTATTTGTATTTTTGGATCTATGATTAATATTCATCAAATTATTAATAACTTTTAGACATTAAATTAATAAAAAGAAAAATTTTACTGTTGAGTAATTCTTTAGTCAATAGTTTCATATGAATATATCACTATTATTCATTCTGTGCTTTAGAGGACACTTGTCTCATAATGTTTGGCTTTTGTTTGATAATTCAAGTTTATTTTCTGTATTTTCTGAGTTCTGCTCTACTTCCTGTGTCATCGCTGCTTTTCCACTGCCCTCCCTGTTGTTCAATCTTGACGGACCTGTTTTCTTCACATAATCAGCCCAGAAGCCCTCACTCAGTAATCACTTTCCCAACAGTTTAATAGTACTTTTTAAAGAGTTTTTATTATAAAAATTATCTCTAGTAAAACGATATTCTACAAGGGGTTTGGGAACATATTGCAAAGGTGTTTTAGTGCGTCAGAAGGGTTTAGAGTTTATAGATTAGTCCTTCTGATCTGCGCTCGAATCTCTGGTAGTGATGCGAATAAAAGCCGTTAGCCAAATGCCAAAAAATGAAGAGAAATATTTTGTGTTGTTGTCAGAACCACCAAGCCTAGAAACCTAGACAGACTCATCGGTCGGTCTAGCTGTGCTCCATAGGAGCCTCAGCAGGCCAATCACAGTGCTTTATCGCTTCGGTGGGCCAATCATGGTGCTCTATCGCTTTGGTGAGCCAATCATAGCGGTCTATCGCTTCGGAAATAGCAGCAGGGCTTTGACGAAGCGAAACAACAAAGGTGAAACGACTTTGGCGTCAACTTTGGACTATTTAGACTTGGGCGTTTCTTTGAGTCAAGAGCAGATAGAGGAACTTAATTCCTTTATTTCGAAAATATATGTTTGTGTCTTCTTTCACGGTTTATGGCAGACTGCCCTGTTGACTGACATCCGTAGTTGTGCTTATATCATGTTGTATTTTTGGAGAGAAAGCTTGAAAAACAACCGTAGATCCCACCCCATGACTGAGGCCTTTCTATGGGTAGTGGCCAGACTATATATTCACATATTTAGGATAACCTGCCAGGCTAAGAGCCACCCGTTTCTCATCATCAATGACCTCCACGGTTTCCATCTTTTGTATTGTATTTAGCTTTGTCATTAAATTCCTGCAACACATTTGTTGCTAACACCTCACATGGCGTCTGATTTCTTTATGCATTTCCATGAAATGAGACAAAAACTAAGCAAGCAAAAGTAAACGTTTAACAACTATTATTTAAGACTTTCTTTCATATGGTTTGTTCCTCAGAAAGCTCCAGCACAATATACAACCATCACTCAGGGTGATGAAAAACTGTTGAAAATAGAAATTCTCCACAAATCCAAACTTTTGTTTTTCAATCTTTGAACTTCTAATTCCAAATCTACAGCTGATTTAATACTGAATTTCAAACCAGATGGGACAATGGTCACTAACTGCTGTTTAAGCGACATAATTGGGAATCTGAGGTTGGAGGTCTGTAATAAATTGACCAATCCTCAAATCCTCATTTGCAGATTTACAAAGTTCTTTTAAAATGAGCATACAGCACAGATCTACCTTCAGATTTTGTTCCTAGCACAAAGTAAATATGATAAAATCCTACTCAGGGAATTAAAACAGTACCTATGAATTTAACAGTGTACTGTGAAATTCAAATGCATCTGCAAAAACACATTTTACCCAACCAACTGGGTTCTTACGGAGTCTCAGGTGAAATTCTATCGTCTAAAGTTTATTTACATGTTTTGTTTCATCATCATTTTAATCTTGAATGTCACTAAAATGCTACTGAGGTCAACAAGAATCAGACAAGCATGCAGTTTTTCTTTACCTCAATGTCAGGAAGATCTTTGCTCAGCATCATGTTTCTGCCTTAATTTAGAAATGAAGGTTTGCTTTCTGAAGATCTTGAGAAGATCCCTGCTGGCTTACTTCTGAAGCTCTGTCCAGGACCGCCCTGCTCTCAAGTGAAAATCTCTAAGGATCGTACTTTTCACCCCTCCTCTTCCAGATCAGAAAACAAACTGATGCCTCTCAGATCCCGAAGCCGCATCTCTTCCATAACAGCCTGTTGGTAAGGTGAATTAGTAGCTGGAGCTGTTATCTAAGGGTCAGAGTTCAGCACATATGAGCAGAAAAGATACTTTTGGGTGCATTGCACCTGAGTTTTATAAGTTAAACAGTAACAAACAGGATGCCAGGCTGAGACTCCACCTCTAAAGGGGAGCAAAGTTATTTTTCCTTCCTACTGTACTTAACCCCCTCCTCCGTTTTGAGCTACCTTCCCTTTATTCTTTTTTCCATCTTTGAGAAAAAGAACTGATTCCATCTAAAGAAAAAGTTGTAAAAAGAACAAATGGACAATTAACAGAACATGTGCTTAACCAGTTATTCCAGCTTTCAGCTCGAGCCTCATGAAGTTAATCATTGCCATTATTATCAAATACCATTAAAAAACACAAAATGAACATTTTTGGAGTCAATTTGGAATTTTATCTTTATATACAAAAACAAAATTTTGAACTTCACTTATAAAACCTCAATGTTTATTTAGATTACATCAGATCAGTCACACTACTGGTCCTTTTTTTCATTTTCTGCTAGAATAAGTAATGTGAAATCGACAGAAATCAAGGTTTAAAAACTTTTGTGTGAATTGCTTAAGCTTAATTTGGAACGTTTCAAGATTGCAAAACTCTTTGTGACTGGATAAACTGTGTAAATCCCATTAGAACTAACCAGTCTAACCTAAAGCTGTTCTGTTATCTACGACAGGTAAGATATTAACCGTTTTATGACTTTTGCACAGGACGTGTGCTGGAGGGCCTTTCTTACAACCCAACTAAAAAAAGATCTGAATTATGCCTTTTAAACATTAAGATGGTTTTTTAGAAAAGCCATTTAAAATCATTTGTTTATCCAATAAATGTTATGGCAACCAGGTTTTAAGAAACTTGGATTATACAATTTCACATAATCCTAACTACATAAACACAATAATGTAAGAAAACTTGGATTTCTGGGAAATGTTTAGTTTTGTAAAAAATAAACATGCAAATTTCACTGATGCAAAAACCTTAACCTACAGTGTAAAAATGTTGAAATGAACATGTTTTGATGCGTTTAGTTCCTCCTCCATTGGGACGTGATTTATTAAAGATTTATCGTTAGTCTCAGTCAGGGAGGTTAGTTTGTTTAAAAGCCTACGGACATTATTCAAAATGTCACAGATTATCATGAAGTTTTACCAAAAGTTTGGGCAAGTCTCAACCTTCTTATGTCATCTGTACACGCAATTTAATTTCTATTTCCTTTCTAGATTAGTTTTGGAGGCTCTGGCCGATCCTTTTCTGATTTAACCCTTCTACTGTCTTTATGGGTGACCCCGTGAGGAAAGTAGACCATTGAGCAGGATTGATGGTTTACCCCTCGAGGTCCACGTGGCAGGGGTGAGGTGGTGCTCACTCCTCATCCCTGCCACATTGACCCAAGGGATAAACCATCAATCCTGCTCAATGGTCAACTTTCCTCACAGGGTCACCCATAAAGACAGTAGGAGGGTCAACAAATAGACACTTTGCTGAAATGTTCAAAGCAAAATATTCTTTATTTTCTTTTCTGATTAATCATTTAAGCATCACTGAAATACAGCGCTGATGCAGCTGTGGCCAGCAGGGCAACAGCTATCCCCACGGCAACACCTAAATGAAAACACAAAGAAAGAACCAACATGTTAAATCCAAGTAAGGAGGCTGAGAAAAGTTAGGTCTCTAGATCAGACACATTTGCAGAATAAAAGACTCTGAAGGACTTGTGCTTGAGAATGGACATACATTTGATCAAGGAAAACCTAATGCTTAATTTGTCATCCAGCGTGTCTAACAAGCTACTAGTTCCAACACACGACCAACTAAAGTCAGATCAGGACCAAAGAACACCGAGTTGTTGTTTTTACCTGCTCAGATCACAGAGATGTTATGAGAAGGTCAACAAAACGGTTCTAAAACCCTCCAGAAACAATTTTCACCAGTCTGTGGCTTTTGATTTATGGATGTTTACATCTTTGGTAATTTTCTATAAATATTGACTGCTGAATCCATTTTTAAAACCATATACAAGAGGTGAGTTTTCCCCATTCTGTAGGTTTATTTAAAGTTTAAAGTTAAGAATAAATGTTTATCCATCCTTACCGATGTAGATGTCCCTTCTGGGCTCTGAGGCTTCTACAGTTTCTGCAGTTGCTTCTTTAAAACACACAAACACAACTTTATTCATAACCACTTTTATTAATGTAAGGGATAGAAATTCATGGCATTACCTGCAATAAAAAATAAAATAGTAAAAATTATTTTAGAGATTAAATAATCTCAATCAAAGATCGGTGGGACTGATTTATAACTCACGTTTGTTTCTCTGTCAACAGTTAAATTACTTTATTCCTCATCGATTAACTATCGGCTCTGAATAAACTCAAATTGCAGCTCGGTGATTGTCTACGTTTGGTGTTTAAGGTGGACTGTTACGCTGCAGAACTCTGGTTGTGTTCAAGTGATATCTATCCTTAAAGGACAGTGTGTATTTTTCCTGGTGACAGTGGGCAGTAGATACCTAAATCGTTGCAAGCAAGCAGTATTTTTGTGTTGGAGGAAGACCATTAGGGTCAAAAAGCCCAGGGAAGTGCAAACTTAAGCAAAATAACAAGCACATCAGACTCCCTTTCATCACTGGCAACAAGAAGAGGTAAATGTGTAAAACTATATTTAAAAATGACAAAAGTTTTGTAACCATTTGTTACAAATCGGTAAATGCATTTTGTCCTCATGGGTCCTGTAGAGGGAAACATGGCTTCTAATATGGCGTCGCCCAGAGACTCCCATGTATTTTAGACCAGATTTTATGCTTATATGTTACAAAGCGGCCAGTATTTTTCAACAATGCACCATTTTGATGGATATTTCCAGAACTTAATGGTAAAAACTACACATTGTCTCTTTAACGAGCTTCTTCTTCATTTCTTGTAATAACAGGTGCGTGTCATAAAATTAGAATATCATGACAAAGCTCATTTATCTCAATAATTCCATTCAAAAAGTGAAACTTGTATATTAGATTCATTCATTACACACAGACTGATATATTTCAAATGTTTCTTTTAATTTAATCAACTAAATATTGAGTGTACATGTTCATGCTTTTCGGTTGGGTAACATTTCTAAAAATCCTTGTTTTTTTTCATCGTCTTAATTGATATTCTGAGATACTGAATTTTGGATTGTCATTAATTGTCAGTTATAACCATTGGAAAAAAAATAAACATTTGAAATATATCAGTCTGTGTGTAATGGATGAATCTAATATACAAGTTTCCCCTTTTTGAATGGAATTACTGAAATAAATCAACTTTGACATGATATTCTAATTTTATGAGCAGCACCTGTAGATCAGCTAACTACCCTAACCAGCAATAAAACGCTACTCCTATACGGCTGAACTCTATCTAGGAACTTGGTTGAGGTAATAAAACACTTGTTGATACATTTAAAGCCTCCACTACAGCGCTGTACACTGCTAACCTTCAGTGGCTTCACTCTGAATGAGTTCAGCACTCATTTCCTGCGTGGTGTCTAAGTCATCCTCAGCTGCATCGGTGTCCAGCATCTCTTTGAGCCGGTCAGTTATCTCAGTCAGACCCTCGTCGCTAAACTGATAATCACACACACACAGCGGCCCGGTCACTTTTACTGGACAGAAGACACGACGAGGGAGGCACAACTGCTCTGAAACACAAAGACACAGACAAAAAGTCAAGAAATGCACTTTTATTTTTGATATTTTAAATAAAATATTTGGTTTGAGTCTAATATTGATTCAGGAAGTTATTAGCTTCCCCTCAAAGGAGAAATCCCCCACACCCACTGGTCACCTCCTCCCCTCCACTGTGACTGGGTGATCCTGCAATTGTTTACAACCAGAAGCATGAGATTGTGTTGCTACCTGTCTGTTTTACATCTCTGCTGCTTTCTTCAGACGTCAGCGTCTCCTCCAGCAGCATCTGGACCCGTGTGGCCACTGTAGAAACTACATCCATCTTCAACAGCTGAACATCACAACATAAGTTTAAATGACAGTAAGATGAAATAATGCTCATCAACTAGATCAAATCTTACCCTCTCAGCAAGCTTTGCTTTTGGTTTGTTGCTGTGTAAGAAGGCTCGACTGTGGATTACTCCTCTGACTGACAGGCTGCCTCCACACCGCTGGACCACATCTGAAGACTTCTGCATATCCTAACATACACACAGCACATCATGCACAACTTCATACAGCCTGCTCTAAAAGATTCACTTTAAAAACATTTTATCCTGACCAGAAACTTTAACAGAACACAGCCATGAAACAGATTTCTTACCGGTGAAACAAGCAGCTGAGCTGTGTACGTCTGCCTCGTGCTCTTTTTCTACAGAGAAACATATTGTATTAGAAATGGTAAATGGCCTGTATTTGTATAGCGCCTTCTTAGGGTTCTACAGCCCTCCAAGGCGCTTCACAGCACAATCATTCATTCATCCATTCACACACAAATTCACACTCTAGTGGGGATGAGCTACGATGTAGCCACCGCTGCCCTGGGGCGCACTGACAGAGGTGAGGCTGTCGAACACTGGCGCCACCGGCCCCTCCGACCACCAGCAGGCAAAGCAGGTCAAGTGTCTTGCCCAAGGACACAACAGCAGCATTCTCTGGTCGGCGCCGGGATTAAACCAGAAACCTTCCGGGTACTGGACAACCTGCTCTACCTCCTGAGCTATAATTACTAGAATACACTTCATGAAGACCAACTCTAGTGATAGAAGATTTAGTTTATTAAGTCTGCACATCTATTCAAAAAGTTCCTGACTAAAGCTCTAGAATGTAGTTTTTTTGTTGTTGTTTAGTCTAATTTACAAGTTTATTTCATGCTCTGATTTTAAAGCAATTAGTTTTATTCAACCTGTCCTCCTTTAAGCTCCGAATCCTCTGGCAGCTTCTTCCCATCAATCAGAAAAACTCCACTCTCAATCTGGTGCGTCCATGATTTCAGCCCCTCCTGAAACAAAGAATAATAACCAGAGAACATTTTCAATAAATGTTACAAAAGCACACGTAGAAAGGATTGATGCTTCGCTGTATGTGTGTGCTAACCATAAGACATTTTTCCACAGTTTTTGTACTGGTTATCTTCTCTGGTATTGGTACCAACAGGTCTACATCCAGCCAACACAAAACCGTGGCCCAGTTGGAACACACGCGTGACTGGTACTTCCAATCTGCAGGCTTGGCCACAGTCTGAAACAGCCAGAACACACACAAACACACTGATGGCATTAACAACAGCAGACAACATCTAAACATGACTTCAAGACACAAACTAACCTTTGGGTCTGTGACATCAAAGGTTCTGCAGACAGTTCTGATGTGTGGTTAGAGAACGTGTGTGCACAAGCACGAGGAAACAAATGGATGCAAAAACACGACGATGAGCAAAAGGATACTTTCTTGTTTTAGGGTTGACATGAAGAGTGACGCGGTCTGTGACATCATCATCTGCCGGGCTCCACAGCTGCTCGGAGGAGATTAAATTCTCCACAGCAAACACCAGCTGCACACAGACACACACAGTAACTACATAGATGCAATAAGCTGATGTGTTTATGTCTTTGGAGGGTTTGGATCAGTTAAATACAACATTGTGACGTGCTGAGTTTCCTTAACAACATGAGATTTGTCCCAATTAAGTGGATTTAGATTTACTTCACCACACAGAAGAAGCTCCTCCAGGCTTCTTTGAGGAGATAATACATCCACGGTGCAAGACAGTGGTAGAGTCGCATTGCTGTTATCAATCCGGGGCCAGATGTCCAAATATCAGGAAATAAGACTCCAAAACCTGCCGTCTGAAGCTCAGCTGTGATGTAGATCACTGCTAGTTCCTGGAAATGGTGCACGGGTATATTTTTCCCTCCTTGAATGACTTATAAGGCATTTATTCCTACTAGAGACCACTGCAAATGTATTGATTAAAGGAGTGAACCACACCTTTAAACATATTTTCCCTTATTTTTTCACCTGTCTTGTTTGGACTGATCAAGCAGACGATGCATCTGAATGCCTTGCTGAGGCACAGCAGAGTTACTCTGACATGAGGGGTTTCACCATCACAAACCCGACCATGCGAGTGCCAGGGCCACCAAACGTCTAGAGACCCGGCAGCTTCAAGCAGGCAGACAGACAGCAATCAGCAAGCCTACCCGGACCCCTCCCAACATCCAGATGGGGGCCAGAAAGGCCGAGTCAAACCTAGCGACAAGGATGAGCTCAAGCCTGATGCCAAAACTTATTTATGAGTTAACCTTTGTACTAACATGGCTCTTACCTGTCTGAGTGTGGTTAGTGAGTCCTTGGCATCACTATCGGATATTATGAAGACTCCCAGCACAGACAGGCCTCCGGGCAGCATTCTGGATACCTGGAAACCAGTGACCAATACTGTAAGGCTTAAAGCCCAAAAACTCTGGATTTACTTTTAGGCAGCAATATTAACACTCACTAAATGTAGTAGATATTTTGAAACTCTCAAACTGTAAATTTTAAAACATGTTCGAAGCTGAGGTAGTGCCTTGGCTATGTTGCCTACCTGTCGAGCATGCTCAGACAACCACTCTTTGTCCACCAGCTGTCCATCATCTGCAGACTCTTCCTTCTGGGGTGTCCTAGCTGCCATGACAATAAAGTCCCTTTGGATTGAACACTGAAAAATTCAGTAAGTACTGTGAGTTACTGTCACTTCACATACACCACACTCTCAAATTACTAAAGCATTTCAATTAAAACATATTGTTGTACCAATCAAGCCTTACCTGTCCAATAAACAGGCCCGTGACAGTACCTGATTGAGTTGAACATAGTTTACACAAATATTCCTCCACGTCATCTTCTACTATGTAGCTACGGCCCATACTGCCTAAGAAAGAGAAGCGGAGTTGTCCAACATTAGGTGCCTTAATCAGAGTGCATCACACAAGACTCACACCTTTAACTTGTTTCTCAGGCAGCACAAACAAATCTCACTCACACAACTGCTCCAATAATTTTAATGAACTCCGTTAAAAGTCTAGGACATAGACCTGGTCAGATAAGCAGCAGAAGTTGTTGTAATCATTAGTTTTGCTCTTGACTAGGGTCACTGTCACGACTAGTAAGTAGAGTGAGGTGACAGTTGGGCCCTACAGGGGTTGCACAGGCAGTCTACCTCTACCGGGAAGGCACACCAGTGCGTGCCATTTCCAGGTTGCCAGTGTCTCTCAGCAGTCTCGAGAATATGGAGGAGGTTTCAGGAGACCGGCAGTATACTGCACCTTGAGTAGACCACTGGCGTGAACCAGTATCTCCCCACTGTGCTCACTATTGGGCACCGTAGAGCTTGACTGGCATTTGCCAATAAACACCAAATTTGGTAGGCCTGGCACTAGTAACCTGTGCTTTTCACAGATGAGAGCAGGCTCACTCTGAGCATATATTATCTGGAGGAGCCTGGAACATTGTTCAGCATGACTGTCTGGTGGTGGGTCTGGGCAGGCATATCCATTGACGGATGCAGACCTGTATAGGACAGATGATGACTGCTATTAGGAATCAAGATGAAATCTTTAGACCCATTGTTACACCCTTTTCTGGTGCATTGGATCCTGGATTCCTCCTGTATCATGACAATGACAGGCTTCACGTGGCAAGAGTATAAAGAATTTTGACACCAAGAAATCAACCCCTAATTAAGCCCCACAACCAGATGACTCAAGTCTAGGGCTTAATTGTTATACAGAGGCAAGCCTTACTTAAAACACGTTGATTGTTTGGCTTGTCTGTAAATTTAGCGTTTCGAAATGTGCTTGCTTCAGTTGAATGAAATAGACGATAAAACATTTTTAGCTTTCGTTCCATACCTGAAAGAAGAAAAACAGTGGTAAAATGTAAACCACAAAGTTGGAAGACTGCTTTTAATCTAGGCAACTGCTTGTGGTTCGTCAGCAGAGAAGAAAAACAACAAAAACTACAATTGTTAAGTGACGAACTTCCGTCGAATGTCTTTTTCGTAATCAGTCACATTAAAGCCGTCAGACAAATGTTTCTGCTTTAACCTTCAAAATAAAGCTATCAGTCCCAATTAACAACAGTATTGTTTGGGGTTTTGTCAGAAAAAATATAAACTAACATTATTAATAAGATTTTAAAATGTTCAATCTAAACTATTTGTGGTAATTTGCGGCATACATTCTGGTTTTGTAAAAACTGCTTTAGTTTGACTGGAAATAAGTGACTTTATTTTGAAAGTCAAAATGCATTTCCTTCTTCTGCGTGAGCTAGACTTAACGTTTCCTACCCTCGTTCGTTTTCTTCAGGTCAGCGAATGGAGTGCATTTCACGATTGTAGAAGAGTTTTGCGTCAATTTAGAGTTTTTAATTACGGATGGTTAGGTGGAGATGGCGGTCGTTTTACTGCAAGCACTTGAGCGGACGGAGTTGAACAAATTACCGAAAGGCATTCAAAACAAGCTAGAGAAGTTTATAACAGATTTGCAGAATGCTAACGAGGCGCTCAAGACGCAGCATGAGCGGCTGAAAGCAGACAGTGGTGGGTAACTTCATCCAGATCAATACAAGTTTTCTGATACCCGTGTCAGTAACAACTGCAGTAGGCTAGAAAAACGTGTTCTGAGTCGACTAACAAGCTAACAGAAATTAAAACTCCCTTCGGCAGAAACTTATTGCTAACATTAGCTACGATGTTACGCTAAAGCTAGCTTTAATGGTCGAAAATGATGCCATTAAGTTTCAGTTACGGTTTTGTAGTAACATGGATACAATTTATTTTAATACAACTAGCCCGAAATGAAAAATAGTTGTCTAACATACCAAATACGTCTTGTAAACGTCAGAATTAAATTAATTTATATACACGACTCTACATTTCCTCGCTACTGATAGCTATAGTGAAATTTCTGCAACCTTTCCATAATATTTATTTACACTGACATATTTATGATTTAAATGCACAGTAGAGTTTATTTACCTTGTGCTTCTGTGTTATTTTGCCTCAAAACTAAATCGGACAGTTTCTGTGAAGCTGACGGCTACTTCATGGGTACTGAGCCATAAGAAGGGCTACCAGGTTGATACAGTAGTGACCTTTGAACTAGAATAAATCAGAGTTAAACTGAACGTCTTCGCGTATAATAAACTTATTTGAGTTTTTACAGCTATATTAATATTTTGATTTATATTGGCAGGAGAACATTTTTAATTTAATCTTAGACTTATGCTATTTGGAGAAAAGAATTGGGCAACTTATATGATTTCGGGGCACACCAAGTTGGTGACCCCTATTTTACAGAAAACTTACATAAAAATAAAGTCTCAACTTCACTTGCCCATAAATCTGCAGTTTGTCAGGTTTTCTCAGCTATTACTGAAAGAAACAAAAGCATATATATGAAGTTAATATCAATATTGGGAGTATTTATTTAGTTTCTTTATCCTTGATGTTTTATCTTTACAGAACAGCAGTATTTTGACATTGAGAAGAGACTGACAGAGAGTCAGGAACAAGTTCTTTCTGCCACAAAAGACCTCAAGGTCCTGAAAGAAGAAAATAAGAAACTTGGTGAGTTAATTTCATTTCCATTTGATATGAATGTCCTCAATCAATAGGATTCTGGGCTAGACCGAGGTGCTGAAACAGTGGATATGCGGCTACATGGTTGTGTCTGGGATCATTTTTAATATTTTTAAACTATTGATGATTTTTGGGATAAAACACAAGCACACGTAACACATGTGGTGCACACTGACTCAATGCTGACTATCTGCTGCAAGCTGCACACTCACCCCCCACATGCAAACATTGTTTACTCCCTCTTGGCCTCCACCTTTTATAAATTTGTCTAAATGCACAAAGACTTGAAAGTGGTAAATAAATATGTTTGCAATACCATAATTTGGGGGAACGTTTTTGCCAGAGGTGTGACCAAGTCACTGCTTTGCAAGTCACAAGTAAGTTGCAAGTCTTTCCAGTCAAGTGTCGAGTCAAGTCCCAAGTCAAAGACAACCAAGTCCAAGTCGAGTCAAAAGTCAATGATGTGGAAGTCCAAGTCAAGTCCAAGTTCTTAACTTTGAATTTTCAAGTCATATTCAAGTCATCTGTCCAGCTTCAATTTAATGATGATGATGATAATAATTAAATTCCAGAAATAAAGTTTCTTAAAGCTTCATTTATTTGCTCAAACAAGCAGAACGTGCAACTGAAACTGATTATAAACAAAGTGCTGCTGCATTTAGCAGAACAAGGTCAAACCCCGAACGAAGAATGATTTATGATTTTTGTCCATGTCGTGCCACTTTTGTGCACAAGTCATCATCAAGTCAACAGATGCAAGTCGATTGAAGTTGCAAGTCATTGGCGTTCAAGTCTGTGTCAAGTCTTAAGTCTTTAGATTTTATCAAGTCACATCAGAAGTCATTAAAATAATGACTCGAGTCCAAGTCATTTGACTCGAGTCCACACCGCTGGTTTTTGCATTTCCAATAAATTGTTTATGTAGAAGAAAAATCGCATCTTACATCAAAATTGCCTCGAAACTCCAAAAAAAAAAAAAAAAAAAACCTGGATCAGAACATTTCAGCTTAGGTTAGGCAGTATGTTTTTACTCTGAAGCTAAATATTAATGTTTTTCTTTTTGCAGAGCTGAACTCCCTGAAGGGGACAGACGGTGAAACCAACGGAGATAAGCTACCACAACAGGTAAATACGTACATCTTAAAACACTTAACTTTTATTATCTTATTTTTATTATTGTAATGCAATTTAAAAGTAGCTTTGTATGCCAGTTTCCAGCAAATCTGTGAAGAAATGTAAATGTTTTGAATAGGTGCTTAAAGAGTCAAATATAATTTGATCCTGAAGTATTTTTATACCTGATTTTTGTTATTTTTTGAGTCCAGTATCCTAATTTTCTGTTTTTGCAGCAATCCAAGGCAAAGTATGAGCTTGAAGCAGAGAGGAGAGAGTTGGCGAGGCTGCTGGAGAAGAAAACGCAGGAGGTGGAGAACCTGACAGGTAACATTTAACTTATTAAAATAGGGTAACAAATTTTTCATGAACATGTACATTTATCTTTTTGTTTATAGTTGCAAAAAGTTTGTCTTCTTGAGTTGTTTTTTTACATAATTTTTATCATCACAGAGGACGTGAAGCGTCTGAATGAGAAACTGACAGACACTAGCAAAATAAAGATGGAGCTCCAGTTGAAACTGGACGATATACAGTCGTCTGCGGCCGCTGCGCAGGTACTATTCAGATGTCATGGAGACCAAAACGGGTTGGGGTGGAAGCACCCAACGAAGCAGTTTCTCGCCTTAGAAAAGTTATTTATGAGAATGTCACTACTTTTGTGTGTTGCAGCATAAAGAGAAACGCATGGAGCAGGAGAAGGAGCTGTTGGAGAAGAAACTCAAGTGGTTGACTGCAGAGCTGCAAACTAAAACTGATGAACTACTAAACACCAACAGGGAGAAAGGCAAAGAAATACTGGATCTACAGGGCAATCTGAAAAGCAGCAGTGAGCAGGTAACACACAATAACGTGATTTTTTCACTGATATTGTTGTTGCTTTTGGGAGAAGTCTCTGTTTAGTCCAAAACCCTCGTGTCTTTTCCTAAAACAGGTGGCCAGGCTGGAAAGTCAGCTCAGTTCCCTGAGGGAAGTCAATGAAAGTCAAAACAAAAGAGCTGAAGACCTCAACAACAAACTGAAACTGGTAAAGTAGAGGAATTAATTTAGTCTTAGTTAGGGCTGGGCGATATGGCCTAAAACCAATATCACGATATATTGAGGATTTCACCTCGATAACAATAAATGGATGATAACTACAGGTATGCACAGAAACAAGAGTTGTCCACTAGATGGAGCTGTCACGTGTATTACATTGAGTCACATTTTTACGTGACTCAAGGTGGTGCAGCTTCTTAAAGGGACATGAACGTTGTCAACCTACACACATCTTTTCATTTCTTTATTATCAAATTTATTCACAATAAGAGTCAGAAATTTCGATAACGATACATTTTCTATTTATTGTCCGTCCTAGGCTTGGTTCTGTTCTTATATAAAGAAAAGTTTACATGTATGCTGATTAATAAAAGGCCTCAACTTATTAAAATAATTCCCAGAATATTATCAGGAATTTCAACACTATGAGGGGATTTTGTTTTTTCTCTTAAACTTGACATTCTTAAAACTGCTGCTTTATTTCTGTCCAAACTGTTCTCAACATTTAATGCTTTGAGTTTTCCACCTGGAATGGTTTTCAGTTAACAGAGAAGACTTGTTAAAAAAAATAAATTTATTTGGTTTGTTTTCAAATTAGAATGTTTATTTCGAACATATAAAAAGAAAATAATAGAATAAAAACCAACATGATAATCAAAATATGCAAATAGAAAAAAATACTTTGAATAAAATTTAAATATCCAACTGACTAAAATAAATACTGAAGATGATCAGTTAGCCAATTTGGAAATACTTTTTTAATTTTAAACACTGCTTTAAAACTTTTGAGGTTCGCATTTCAAAAGCATCATACACTGACATTGGTATAATTTCTGAAATAGAAATTCTGTAGAAGTTGTCTGATTTTGAGACAGTCTAATGTCACTGAAAGTAAATGTGTGAATAAAAAGTCTGATTCTCTTTGTCTCTATAGGCAAAAGAGGAGCAGATTGCGATGGAGGAGAAATTTCGCATTGAACTCAATGCTCACATCAAACTATCTTCACTCTATAAGGTTATGGTCTGCTTGACTTATATCTGTTTTTTTTCCGATTTTTTTCACAAGAACTATTTCGTTTGGATGCTTGTCTCCTGACTTTGATACCGCTTACCTTCCTATAGGGGGCAGCGACGGACACGGAGACCAAGAACCAAGAATTGAACAGAGCAGTGGAAGAGCTCAGTAAGCTGGTTAAAGAAACTGGAGAAGGTAGGACTTCAGTAACAAGTCGTCTTTTAGAAAAGCTGTAAATGTGCAGACCAGCATGTTGTTAATTAATGCTGCTGTTTTAACCTTCACCAGTGTTTGCCATTAAAATTAAATGTATTATTAATGAGTTACGTGTGCGTGACTGCAGCCTTCCGTGTGATGATTTGTGTTTTTGTTTTTGCAGCCAATAAGTCTTTAGAGAAGAAGGTTTCAGAGGCAGAGGAGCTAAAAACACGACTTGAAGCAGATCTAAGAGAGAAGATAAAGAAAATGGAGAAGGAGCTGGAAAATGCTACAACAAAGGCTGCAGGCAAAGGCTGCTGTAAGAAAAAACACTTTTTTTTAATGATTGTCTTGTTTAAATAAGTCTCATCTGTTGTTCTCTGCTGCAGGTGTTCCTTCTCTTTCTGAGGAGCAGTTGGACTCCATGTGTCCGTCAGCAGCAGCCATCGCTGCGATTGTTAAGCCTGGCATGAAGTTCTTTGATGTGAGTTCAGTTGGGATTACCATCGTTTCTGATTTTGTTCATAAACTTTAAAGGCCTACTTTGCAACTTTTTCATATTTTTTTAAATCATTTTCTTGAGCCATTATATGCTAAAAGGACTCTTTACAGACATGCCGGCCCTGGAGTCTGCTCCCAGCACGTGATTCCTGCATGTTTTAGATCATGAACACAGCTGATTTGTTTGATTTAGTGATGAAGGCTGGGGAGACATTTCAGCAGGTGGATTAGTTGATGGATGCTAAAGTGAAATCACAGCGAGGGGGTGCTAAAAGCTAGCCAAACTGCATAGTTTCCCTTTAATGCTAGTTTGACATTTGGACACTTACTGGGAATGGAAATTCATATTAGTTGTAAACAATTGGTCCATAAAATAAATTTTGGATTTCTGCAATGTTGTTGTTTTCAGTGTTTTTCCCTCTTTCTCTGTGTTTAGCTATATAATGCATATGCTGAGTGTCAGACGCAGCTGCACCTTGAGAAGCAGGAGACCAGGAGAGTGAGCAGGGTCCTGGATGAGATTGTCCAGGAGGTGGAGTCTAAAGCTCCTGTCCTCAGGCACCAGCGAGAGGAGTATGAGAGCATGCAGAGGTCGATGGCCTCTCTGTGCAACAAACTGGAACAAGCTCGAACTGTCAGTTAATAGTTTTATCCACATGTTGACCTTGGGTCATGATGAGTGACCTGTAAAGGTTTAATGCTGATTAAATTTTGGTCCTCAGGAGATCTACGGTTTGCAGAAAGAGAAGGAAGAGGCCAAGCAGAGCCGTGATGCCTTGGAGAGGGACAAACTGAGGACTGAGAGACTGCTAGAGGACACGTCGACTCAGGTTTATGAAATAATTCTAATAACGGAGAAAAATGCAGAGCTGTGGTTCAGAAGTTCTTACTCGTGCATTTTTGTTTGATTCAGCTGTGTACACTTCTGGTTGAGCTGGAGGAAGCCAGAGGTAACCAGGTGAGAAAAGATGATGGCAGCTCTGCCGACATCTCCAGCACTTCTGAGGTCATCAGTTCGAGCCAGCTGTCGTTCCGCAGTGTGGCGGAGCTCCAGAGCCAGAATCAAACTTTGTTAGGGAGACTAAGGGAGCTGGAGGAGGAGAAGGACCGAGAGCAGAGCAGAGTGACATCCGCACGGTAAAAAATGACTTCACTGAGTTTTATTTCTTACATTTAGAAATGTGTGAAATGACAGTTGATGTGTTCTAAGAGCAAAGAGGATCCAGAGAGTGGCCTGGCCTCAACGTGGTGTTTGAAAATCCTCACATGCAGCACTCACTGCTGCTGCTGTTTCAGTAAATGAGATGGGGGAAGGGGAAAGATTGGGCAGGAGCTTTGACACGCAGTACAACACAGCCATGTCACATACGTGTGAGACAAAAACAGCATTTCAGTCTCAGACATTTTTATTCAGAATGTTGGCACAGCTTATTTGGATTTTTTTCACAACATTGTCATAAAACTTTCCTTACAGTAAGCTTTAATATTAAAGAAGTTGTAAAGATAAAATTTCTGTTTGTGAATTTTTCCAGCATAACAGAGCTGGAGTCCCTTGTGGATAAGCTCCAGAAGGAGGCAGAGCATCTGAGAGAGCAGAGGAACCAGCAGAAACAGCTGGCTGACTCCAACGCCAGGCAAAGAGACATGTTTAAGACTCTGCTGACTCAGAGCACAGGCTTCAGCCTGCCACCTCAAGGTGATGCTTTTAAAAGCTCTACCTTAATGCTGACATTTGATAAACCAGATAGGATCACGTTTTTGTTTTTGTTTTTTAGGCCAAGACTCTTCCCATCCCACACCTGATCGTCCCTCAGCTCCAGCCACTCGCTCTACTCCTCAGAGAGCTGCTGCTGCAGAGTCGGCTCAAACTAAAGCTGCTCTAAAACAGGTAAAACAAGCATTCAGCTCTGCAAATGCCTGGTGAAAATATCGATTCTTTATTTGGAAATGAATTTGTGCTTTTTCAGCTGAACGACGCCTTCACCCTGTATAAGAAAGAGAAGGCAGAGAACGACCGAATGCTGAATGAAACGAACGACCGGCTGCAGAGGCAGCTGACTGAAATGCGCTCCAGCCACGCCAAGCTGACCTCTCAGCTGGAGTTCAGTAACAAGAGGTAAAGATTCACTTTAGTTACAGTTTCCACAACTAGTTAGTCTTCCTGTAAATGGTTCTGATTTCTTCTGCTCTTTGATTTCAGATATGAGATTCTGCAAGAGACCGTGTCAGCATACCGTAGAGAGATCTCCGCCCTGCAGGACAGGAACCAAAAAATGGCTGCAACAGCTCAACAACACGAGCACATCATCCACACCATGAGCCAGGACCTGAGGCAGGCAACCGAGAAACTGTCACTAGAAGAGGTGAGATGGAAGAATAATAGTGAAGAACTATTAACTCACTCACTGCCAGCCATTTCCTGATCACTAACGGCCTTCGCTGCCAGCGTTTCTCACTGTTTTTACTGTTTTTTTAAGAGTCACAAAACATTGAGCGCTAGCATGATGTCGATGCCAAAACAAAGAGGAGACTCACCTCTCACATCAGGAAGAAGCCGCGTGTTTCGAGCGTTATCCGTTCTTTCATAATCCGTTGTCGAATTGTGTTCGGCAGACGCTTTTCCGGTTCGCGCCTCACTTTTTTTATAGGAACTGCCCAAAACGATCTCCTAACACATGGATGTGTTGCTTCCTCATCATGTGATCTGTGACGTATGCGGATGAAGATCGGCTTCAGGGCTGAGATGTTTGTTCTCTCAGCGCGGGGGCTCGTTCCGATGCTCAAACAGTAAAAAAATGCAAATGACGACTTTAGTCGTCATTGGCAATGAATGAGTTAAAAAAAAAAACAAGAACATTACAGAACCTAACTTTCATCATGCAGTAACCTTCTTCACACAGGCTCTAATGTTTTGGAATAAAGATGTTCCTGCTATTTTGGTTCTACAAATAAATATAATGAGTAGTGGTTAACGGACTTAATTTACTTAAAACCAGCTCAGTCTGAACTAAAGCTTCACAAACTCAAATCGTTTTTGGACAACGCGATCACATGATCGTCATAGCTTAGTTTTTTTTTTGTAGCACTCCTGAAGGACCCAGGATCTGTTAACTATTTTAGACATCCATTTCCTGTGTTAAACCAGCTGCAGACGGCGCTGGAAGAGGGAGGAGGGACATCGGTACTGGAACTGAGTCCAGCTGACAGAGCAGCACATTATTTTCCCATTTTTTTCCCCTTACTACTCCTGCTACCACAGCTAAATCTTGTCTCTCAGCACCGTGGGTGAGTGACAGAGGGAGAGAGAGGCTGATTCTCCAGCAGCAGAACTGGGTTTATGATAATAACACTAAGTGGACTTAAAAGCACAACGTCTCTTGCAGGTCTGTTGGACATTACCAACGTGACGAAAAACACATGTCCTGTGTGTTTCTCACTGTGTTTGCCCCTCTCGTAGTTGAAATGCGTTTCCCAAACTGCTCCCATTCGCTCAAGCGGCATAAACGCGCACGCTCATTACAACCTCGCTCCCGTTCTGCTCACACAACAGAACTGCAGCCTCAGTGAGATAGAAAATCTTGTTTGTGCAAATCAGCACTTGATACTGGAGCAATCCAGCTGTTGGTTATGTGTACCAACCCTGCTTATGGATCAAGTCAGGTTGCTTGTTGATGTGATTATTTATTTATTTGAATCAAGAAGAAGAGATTAAATTATTACAAAAGGAAAGGAAAGACGTACCAGACGAGGCTGAAGTTAGTTCCTTTTTTGAGTTCCAGAGTCAGAAAGGGCAATTCCAACAAATATTTCCACTTCCCGAGCATCTTTACTCTGCTCTAATTATAAATTTACAAGACTGAGACTCTTCTAACCTGGACTAAGTTATTCTGCACTAATGGCACCATAATGACTTTAGTTCAAAAGAACATAGAAAACATTAAACAAGGGAGAGATTTTATTATTTTTAATGTTTTTATGGTGTGATTTAAATGACTATAGTGTGAATAATGTGTTGAACCCTGATTTGAAGAAAATCATGAATCAAACTGAAGTGCCAGTTTACCCTAGAAAAAAACATCACTATTGAATCTTTTCCTAAAATTGTTCAGCCCTATTTTGGACACTCCAAAGCTGATAAATCAGCATTGTGATAAGTCTGCAAAGGTGGTTTCCAATAGGAAATAATTTGTCACCCGGGTTTGGATTACGGGGGATTCTTCTGAGTGGAGAGGACACAGAGGGCTGATCGTTGATGCGCTCCAGCTGCACCCTGCGCACAGCCACACTAACATTCTCAAAGGGACGCCACCCAAAAAATATATAATTAACACGCAATCGTTTATGCCTGATTCAGCAGAGCGGAGCTCATCACCTCATTGGTGTGGCCGCTCGGCGCATACTCCACTATTTTTGCGTCATTAGTTCCCTTTGATCTGCTTAATTCAAAGGTAACTCATGGGGTGAAAATATAGGAAGCCTTTTCTGTAGAATTCAGAAGAGATGCAGGAAGATCAGAGACAGGACAGGAAAATAGTCAAATAAAAAAGAAAACTAAACAAATGGTTTGAAAATGAAAATGTAGGTAGATTTATCCCACTACACTTTATTAACTGTATACAACAATAATTTATAAGCATGTAATATTTATATATTTGATACAAATCAGATCACCTTAAAACTCAGACCCACACCCAGAGCTGTATCAAGGCACTTTGGGGGCCAAGGTGAGATACACCCCCACCCCACCCCTAAATCACGGGCTCCCCTGGAAGCCTCTGTGTGATTCGTACCCTGTTTGTCGTTATTCTCCCCCTCATTTGAATAAAAGATTTGACTTGCTTTGTATTCATTCTTGTTCATTTCATAATTTGATCTTTTTTTTCTGTAGGTGCGTGTAGAGAATCTGACTAAAGAGAGAGACATGCTAAAGCAGGCCGAGTCTCGACTCAGTCAGGAGAGAGAAGCCATGCTGGCTGAGCAACGGAACCAGAACCTGCTTCTTTCTAACCTGAAGACCATACAGGTACTTTATCTACTGTTTAATCTTAAACAGATTTCATATCTAGAATGTATTTTCTCATCTTTTCATTATTTTCCTTCTTAATTTTGTCATAAATGTCCAGTTGACTATGGAGCATACAGAAACCGAGTCTCGCCAGAGACTTGACAACAAAATAAAACAACTGGAGGCAGAACTGACTTCAATGAAAACCAAGCTGGAACAGGAAGTTACTCAGAGACATGCTCTTGGGCGCATAATGGATGTAAGTACAAAACCTTTTTATTTATATACTTCAATATTCGTTGGAACAGCGTGGATTCAGTCTACAGATACTGTCTTCTAGTCACACTATAATCTCTCTGTTGCTTCCTTCTTTTCTGTAGTCACAGTTGTTGGAAGCAAAGAAGAAGCTGGAGACCCAGAACACCTTGCTGCAGAAGACCAAAGAGCTGCTGCGTGGCTCTGAACAGCAGGTGGCGACACTGAAAACCCAGCTGACTTCTGCTTCCTCCTCTGATGCTGCCGTGTCCTCCAGCAACACGACCACCCCAGCCACCAGATCCGCTGCCCTCCGAGCACCACTGAGAGGTAAACAGCACAACAGTCTGTGTGTATTTGTAGAGGAACCCTTAGAAAATCTGTAAAAATGTGAACGTTTTTAAAGTTAATCACCATCTTTTCTCCAACAGTGCGCTCTCCAGTTCCAGCAGCTTCTCAGCAGCCCAGCCAGTCAGATCAGGAGCTCTCTGAGATCAAAGGTCTCCTGAAAAGTGCTGAGGAACAAAACACTGAGCTAGCAGAGCAGCTGAAGAATGCTAATGCCACAGTTGAACAGTACCGAGCTGTGGTACTGACTCTAGAAGACAGTCTGAAGAAAGAGAAGGAGGTATTACTCTGTAAATGAATGAAATGCTCATTTTGGTTTTTAGCCTTACATAACTGATCATAAACACTTTCACTCACTGTTTTCTGTCTTTTAGTCGCGTTCTCCTTTGGAGGTCCGACTGAAGGAGTCAGAGGAGGTGCAGAAACAGCTGGAGAAGAGAATTTTAGAGTTGGAAAAGAAGAAGCAGGAGGAGAAAGAGGAGAACAGGAAGGCTGTGGAGGCTGTGGAGAAACAAGTAAGACACAAACAAAGACTGTTTGATGTTTCAGTGGTTTGTTTATAATATATTAATATTTAAATCTGCAAAACAAGCCAGCTTTCAAACACGGTCACAGACATCTCAACCCTACCATTGGCTATCAACCCTAGGCCACGCCCCCTGATATTGGAATGCCTATTGTCACAGTTAACGAGAGAGCACCAACCATCCATATCCACAAACTTGTAGCTTTTCGGCGAAAATCGCCGTTTTTGAAGCCAAATGTGGCATTCATATGAATCGTGTAGATCCAGTGAGTTTTTTTTTTTTTTGGGGGGGGGGGGGGGGGGGGTGTCTTCTATCCGATTTCAGCGATGAGCTTCAGTCACTCTCATGAGAATCAGTTAGAGTAAGGAGGGAGGACTCCTCTTGTTCAAAAACAATCTTTGTTCTAGTGTGTTAGTCACATATCATCTTTGACCAATCACAGAGACAGCACGCTGCAGACGACGAGGCAGCAGCGGCGTTCACAGTCAGTATGAGTGCTGTCGCTTTAACTCCTCGCAGTGGTTTTGAGCTTAGAGTTTGCCAAATCGAGCAAAATCACCACTAAATAACAGTTTTCTGTCAAGGACTTTAGCAGATTTACCTGTATATAATTTTCCAGAGGTTCGTCATGTTTTTTCTTTTTTGTTTTGGAATTGAGCTTGGAGTAAACATTGCCAGTATCTAATTCCAACAGATTATTGTAGCAACAAGAAGTATATAAATGTCAGAGCAGGTTACTACAATCCCCACAGGTGCAAATCTGCAGCATGACAGATTGGGGTGGTGTCACTTTTTTCACACCCTCCGAGTTTGCAGGTATGAAACACCAGTCGCCATTTTTTTAAAAGTCCAAACGTATTTTGTTGTCCGTGACGTCCAATGGTGTTTTTCTTTTTTGGGACTCTGGTGGTTTGTCCTAAAGATGAAGTGGTAGCAGCAGACTGTTTCTGCTTCTCTGATATTATTGAATGGTAAACCTCTCACACCAGTGGTGTTCTGTTGTGAAATGCGCAAGTACGTAATGAATGGAGACTCCAGGTACAAGGGGAAGTGCGGCAGTTTGGTGAGGCGGACAACCGGATGGTCTAATAGTTGCTTTCATTCCAAGTCGTGCTATTGGCTGAAGCTTTTAGACAAATGCGACAGAACCACTTCGTTTTTTTAAATCTCAACAATATATTTATAGCTTTACTATATTAGAACGTTAAGAGGCATGAAAAAAAGTTTTAAGCTAGCTTTTTTTGCAGATTTGTAGCTTTAACATATTTCTGTGATAGGATTATAAATCTTACCGTGATTAAATTGATCACCTAATACATGATATAGATGCTTGCATGATGTTTGATGCTGGTGCATTTGTCAAGGTCTGTGAGCTGCAGAGGAGTCTGAAGGCCAGCCAGGCAGATCAGCAGGAGGCGCTGGAGAGGGCTGCTGCTGCCGTCACTAAGGAGCAGAAAGCCACACAGGACAGCCTGTTGCAGGTTCTCACTCACTCCTCACGTTATCTCTTAAACCCTGTTTTCCACATCTTTGCCACAATGAGACCTCTTTGTTTTCCCGCCAGACTAAGCTAGCTGGAGAGGCACAGGGCAAGTATGAGCGAGAGTTGATGCTACATGCTGCTGACGTGGAAGCTTTGCAGCAGTTGAAGAAAACATCCCAGCAAGGAGCTGCGCACAAGAGGGAGTTGGAAGAAGAACTGAAGAAGACAACAGCTCTCCTGCAAGAGAAAACCGCAGCCTGGACCACAACAGAGAGACAACTGAAGGTAGCACTGCATTTTAAAAGCCACTACTGTGATAGTTAAACTGATTTCACATGAACTGATATAACAAACTTTGCTTTGATTGTTTCCAGGAGGAGGTTTCCAATCTGAGTCGCCGCTGTGATGAGCTGGGAAAGCAGAACGCTCTCCTGCACCAGCAGATGGATGAAATGGCTTTGAGGAGTCGCCAGCTGCAGCAGCAGCAACAACAACAGCTGCAGAATCTGGACCTGTCATTTAGTGAGGAGGGGAAAACCACTGAACAGATTATGGAGATACTCAGGTAGAACATATACCAATGCAAAAGCATATGTTCAAATGTTCATTCAGCTGTTTGGTTTTGACAATTTAACCACAGGTAAGACACAAAGCTTTTTTTTTTGTTTTGTTGTAGATTTGTTCGGCGGGAGAAGGAGATTGCTGTGGCTCAGTATGAGGCATCTGAAGGAGAAGCCCAACGTCACAAACAGCGAGTCGAACACCAAGACCGACAGCTGAAGGAGCTACAGGAAGCTCTGAATGCTGAGAGGGCGAAGATGCAAGTATGTGACAGAAGAATGAAGAACTAGAAATAATAATAATATTTACGTTCATATTTCTAAATTAATCACTGAAATTCACATTTTTAATTCCAGTAGACTTGAATCTTTATCTTTTAATTTAAAAATCATATTTCTGCTTATTTTAATCTGTATGGCCTCACTGTATTCCTCAGGAAACAACAAAGATGCTAGCCGAGCAACAGGAGCAGCTGAAGAAGCTGGAAACCATCGGTGCTATGCAAGAAACTAACCGTATGCTGAATGTGGAAAGAGATAAACTACAACAGGAGCTTCAGCAGGCTCAGGCAAAAGTATTGCTCATGTCTGCATGAAACCATAAAGAGCCTCACGTTAACTTTTGTTTCCAGTGTGTTAACCAAAGTTTGCTGCCCCTCTTTCTGCCTCTGTAAGGTGACAAAGCTCCAGACAGACATCGGACCGCTGCATAAGTCCATGTCTAAACTGTCAGAGATAAATGGCTCCCTGCAGGCTGATAAGAGGCTGCTAGAAGATGATGTCAAACGATGGAAAGCCAAAGTGCAAGTATGTAGAAGACAACAGTTTGAACTGGAGGATCTTAGAGATTTATGTTTTCTTTGGACATTTTGATGATTATTTTCTTACCTGAAAAGTCCCAAATGCCTGGAAAGTCTGCAGATTCACATCTGATTAATGTGTGAACAAAGAAATTGCGCTATAATACTTAAACTTTTTTTTTTTTTTTTTTCCTGTGTCCTGTCTGGCTGTGAAGCAAACAGAATTGATGTCTGAATGCTGGTGACAATCCTTACAGATTTACTCTCAGGTGGAGCATCAAAGCGTCTGCTTTTAATGTCACGCCTGATACTTAAAACTTTATTGTTATTGTTTTTGAATGCTTTGTAATTCCGACCAGACACGGAGACAGAGGTGAAAGAGAAAGGATGAGACAAAAGAAAGGGGGTGTTCCACAAAAATAAATAATCAATGATGAACAAGAGTCTACTTCTAGACCTGCAGACAGAGAAAACCAAACAAATGAAAAAAGGGACACACAGCAATACAACAAGAGCAAACTATCACTGTGTCAACCTGATGAGGAAATAAAAAATCAACATTGTTTTACTGAACAATCACGATAATAAATCACAGTGCATTAAGTACCGACCACAGCCTTAAGACGTGTTGAAAATGCCCTAGTCCATACTTATGAGAGCACCATGTGAGCACCTGTGTGTGTACACGCGATGTGTAGGAGAAGGAAGGAGCTCCAAGTCCCAGAGATCAGCCGGCAGAGTCCCGGGAGATAACAGCGGCAAGCCCACAGGCCCGCCTGCAGCCTCCCATCCCCAAGCCGGCTGGGCCCGGGACCCGGCGCCCCGGGACCCAGGGGCAACCAGCCCCGCCGGGGGCCCAACAGAGCCCAGGGACTCGGATCCCACCAGTCAGCCACCGGGATCAACCAGACAGATGCCAAAAATCTTAAACCCCCCGAACTGCAGAGCCGCGAACCCTCAGGCAAACCAAGGCACCACACTCGGCAGCAAATGTGGCAGGGGGAGGGGAGGCGAAGATGTGTAGCAGCACAGGAAGACCCGGGAGAGGGGAGGAGTCCAAGACCCCACCTGACATACACAGTCATACACAAACACAGTCACACACTCCTTCCCTCATGCTCACACATATACATACAACTGGAGACTTACAAAAGTTAATGCTAGACACCCACTCACGCTCCCCATACACACCCTATTCACTCTGGTCCTGGTACTGCTGCACAAAGGGTACAACCATCACCGGTTCCCAGAGTTGGCCCCTTTCTGCTGGGGTGATGATGGGCAGGCCAACGCTGAGCAAAGCAACCCACCCCTTCAGACTCCAACCAGGTGGCCATAATATTTTCATTTTGCATAAAAAATAAAAAAGACCTATTCTTTTAATTATATGACAGTACAGAGTAAGACCATCACTTTTACAGATTTCTAAAAAAAAGTCATACATTTTTCCTGATAGGAGGAAAACTCCAGATTGTAGGTTTAATATTAAAGATCAGGGAGTTTCACCCTTTAACCAGATTTTCTGATTGCTTTAACAGCAGCTGGTTAACCAGCAGAAAGATGGCGATGTTGAGGAAAAACAGAAACTTGCAGCTGAAAAAGAGGCTAATCTAAAACGCATCGCACAGCTAGCTGAAGAAACTGCCAAGCTGAAGACTGAGCTGGCCAGGTAAAATTTATGCTAACACACACACACACACTCAAAGTTTAATGAGGTCTTTTCTTGTTCCTTTTCTTAAGTTTGTACCTTAATGTTATGATTTAAGACCTAGAAATGCAAGTTCTAGATGTTTTAACAGCATCATATGTTCTCTGTGAATCAGGTCCAATGCCAGCAGCAATTCAGCTCAGTCCCAGCTACAAGGTCTAAGAGACTCTGTGACCTGCTTAACATCAGAAAGAGACACGCTAAAGAAAGACATAGAAGCTAAAAATAACGACATTCTGGAGAAGAACAGGACCATCACTCAGGTGAAGAAGATCGGACGTCGCTACAAGACTCAGTACGATGAGCTCAAAGTCCAGCATGACAAGGTGTGACTGCAGTTCTGCAAACAGTTTGGTGAGAAAAAATTAAGAACAAAAGAAGTAAAGTTTTGTTTGTGTGTGTGTTCCAGCTGGTCAGCGAAACGGCTGCTAAAACAGGAAGTGAGGCAGCACCGAGCCAGGAGTCACAGCAGGAGCTGAACAAAGTGCAGGAGGAGCTCAAAAAAACCCAAGAGGAGCTGAACACCTTGAAAGAGGAGGTGCAGAAAAAACAGGAGGAGGTGAGTTTGGAAACTGTTGTAGCTAAACTGTTTAGCTCAACAAACCTAAAAAATAAAGCTAAAATAGTGAATTGATTATAAATCCAATGAAAATCTGGTTAAAATGTTGCCTGTTAAGTGTTTAAGTCGTAGAACTTTCTTACACGAGCTACAAAAGATTTGAGAACACCAGTGGAAAACTATTGGTGTGCTGATTTGTTTCATCAGGCCCAGAAGTCCCTTCAGGAGCTAGAAGTGGCTCGGAAAGAAAACCAGCAGGCAAAGGAAAAGCTCCAAGACGTCCAGAACCAGCTGACACAGGTACGTCAGGCAGGATAAGTCGGGGGAGCTCCAGTTTTTAGTGCTGCAGTAGCTTGTCCTTTATCGGTAAGGTAATATATTACAACAGTGATGTTGAGAAAAAGCATATTAACATTATGCATTTTTACCTGTTTTCTCTCAGGTTCAGTCTCAGTTATCGCAGACCCAAACTCAACTGCAGCAAAGCCAGAACCAGCTGACCCAGAGTCAAAAAGAGCTTCAGCAGGCCAAGAACCACACGCTGCAGGTATAACTTACATTAACTGTACGTTTTATTTATGGGGATTATTTTCCTAATCCCTTTTTTTGCAATGGACTTGACCGACTGCAAACTGAAGCAACATGAACTTCTTTTCAATTTATAGTTGCAAAACCAGTTCAAATCGTCCCAGTCTCAGATCCTGGCTCGTCAGCGGGAGCTTCAGCAGGCTAAAGAAGCTCTCCAACAGAACCTTGCTAAACAGAAGGAGCTCCAGCAAACCAACCAGACCAGCCAACAGAGCCTGAACCAGGAAGTGAATGATCTGAAGGCTGCTCTGAGCCAAGCCGAAAACAAAGTGAGAAACATTTCTTTTTACATGTATTTTATCTGCAGATACTTTATTGATTATTTGTGTGACAAAAATATTTTAAAGCTTCAGGTAATGTTTGTCGTCTCTAACAGGTGACTGAGCTGCAAGGCCAGCTGGACAACGTGCAGAAGGTTAGGAGAAAAATCTGAACAGATCTGTGTAAAATCGTGCTTCTTTACTTCATAACGCGATTCTTTCTTTGCAATTATCTGTTAATGATTTCTCAGACTGTTGTTGAGCGCGAAGCAGACATCGATCGCCTCCAGGAGCAGCTAACTGAAGCTAAACAGGCTCTTGAGGCTAACCAAGCTGCACAGGCCAACCAGAACCAGAGTTCCCAGTCAGCCCAGGCCAGTGATGCTAATCAGGCACTACAAGATGAGCTGACAAAACTCAGACAGGAGGTACAGAGTCTAAATCCAGTGTGAATTTTATTCAGCTCTGTTTTCCTCCTGCAGTTGGTAAAAGTCACACAGAAACGTTTTCTTTCCCCCCAGCTGTCTGAAAGCAGAAGCAGAGAGGAGCAGCTCAGACAGCAGATGGCTGAAAAAGAGGAGAAGACCAAGAAAGCCATCATGGGAGCCAAAGTTAAAATCGGCCAAGTAAACAGTGAGTCAATACTCACAACAGAAGACATTCTGCCTCCAGCTGAGGGGCAGATGGATCAGTTACGGATTTGGTTTTGAACCTGTACCTGGGTTTTTACCTGTAGGTGCTAAGGAGAAGCTCAGTCAGGAGGTGGAAGAACTGAAACAGAGTAAGGAGGAGCTGGAGGTGAGAATGAATGCCCTCAAGTCTCAGTATGAAGGAAGACTTGTACGATTGGACCGAGAGCTGAGAGAGCTGAAGGAGACGCACGTCCACGCCGACCAGAGAGAAGAAGCTCAGGACCAGAGTGGAGCCAGGGTACGGGACTCACTAACATAGACCTAACCGGGTATAAAAACATGACGCCAAGGACTTAGGAGCATAAAAACTGCTGAGTTTAAAATCAAAACAATCTAAAGAGAAAATATTTCCTCTTTTTATATTTGAATTTAAATAAATCTTTTCTACAACAAATAGAATCAGGTTTTAAGTGTTTGAAAGAATCAGATAACCACCTTGTTTGTGGCTTTTGTTGAAGTAAATATTCTGTATTCTGTGTTTTTTAAAAAACACATTTTTGTTTACTTTCTGCTATTTCTTCCTGGTAGAATGATTTTATTCATAACAGTTTTAATACATTTTATTTTCCCGGACGACAACTTAATGTTGAAATTCCGTCACTTGAGTCTCCTGGATTATCTCCTGATATGATACCGTTTTCTCTGACGTTTCCTGTCATTCTCTCTTGTTAGACGGGCGACCAGGCCAGAGCTTCAGACCAGAGGCAGATTTCTTTGATCAGTCCTGCACAAGAAAGGGGAAGGTAACAACAGCACCACAGACCTTTATGAATGGTAGCAAGTTTTTTTTAGAGAAGCTGAGAATGTAAACAACAGTACTAAAATAGTATTTATGAGTTTTCACTCATTCTTCATCAGCTCCAGCATCTCTGAGCCTCCCACTGCAAACATTCGACCCACCCAAAGTACTCCATCACCTAGCAACAAGCCAAGCCCCTCTACTGGTAGCAAAGCGACTCCCCGCGCCAGCATTAGACCTATGGTTACCCCGGCAACCATCCCCATGCCAACACCTACAGCCACAGTTATGCCAACTACACAGACGGAGAGCCAGGAGGGTAAGAATGACAAGATGTCAGTGTCACGGTGTGTGATGTTATCAGAAGGAAACGTTTTTATCTTTGTAGCTCTGATGAGTACAGGAGCATCAGTACACTCCACCAGCTCGACTCTTGGAGGCGCTCCTGCCTCCATAGCTCAACCAACCAGCACTCAGACCACAGCTTTTGTTCAGCCCACTCAGCAACAGACAGCCAATCAGGACGTAGGCTCCAGCATGGAGGCGGAGCGTCCAACAACCTCCTGCTCTTTGATTGGTTCAGGTGAGGAGGACTTTACACTATTCCTATCAAATATGTCGCCACATTATTGTTTGTTCTAGATTCCTGTCTGTGTTAACCGTTGGGGGTGTGTTTGGTGTGACTGAGACAGGTTCAAAGAGGAATCGAGTTAATGAGGAGGAGGAGGAGGAAGGTAGACCGGAGAGTTCCAACACACCTCCAGCCACTAAAAAACTGCGACTAAGGCCCAAAATAACTATCCAGGTAAAAACAAACACAATCATGTACAGAAATACTAAATTCCTTATATTAGAAACAAGAATAATAGGACAGCATGTAGATCAGTGAACCTCAACAGGCAGCCTGTGGGCCACATCCGGCCCCCAACCCTTTGGGCCCTAATGTCCCCCAATTGGGGGACTTTGAAATTTAGCAGCAAAATGGTTGTCCCGAATATCAATAAGTATTGTCAAGCTGCACCTCACCTACAATCAAAAGACAGATCAGAAATCCTGCTTCATGTGATTGTTTTGGCCACATTTCGGTCTGTAACGCTGCTAAAAATCTGATTGTACACACACTATCCACCCATTATGATGCTAAAACCCTGCTGATTAAAAAAAAAAAACTCTACACTTTGTACAGCTAATGTCAAGATGAAAAATCAATCAAAATGATACGAAGGTAATCCAAAAAACACCTTGTGGGTACAGAAATAAGCTCATTTAAGTGTGTGAATGTCATTTTTGAGCTGTGGGCCAATCAGGAATAGAGAAAATGCATTTTCTACTTTGTTTCTAAGTCAAATGAAACAGAGAAGCTGCCTTTAATCAGAATGACTACAAAGTCATAGCTCTGATTTATCTTATTTTACCTGCAGCAGTTTATAAGATGTCTATTTTTGCGCTGTCCACTATATTACTGCGTAATTGCTATGTTTTGACAAAACGCTATTAGCATAGGAAGAAAGCAACACATGTACAAGTACAATATTTAACCGGTTGCAGATCTACCAACCTGTATGCATTTTGCGTAGCCAGTATGCAATTTGGCATCTATTTACGCTGGTACGACTCACCCCTACGCAAAAAGCTGCGGATACGTGAGTTGAGTTCTGTGGCAGATACAGTGGGGCAAAAAAGTATTTAGTCAGCCACCGATTGTGCAAGTTCTCCCACTTAAAATGATGACATAGGTAAGTAATTTACATCATAGGTACACTTCAACTGTGAGAAACAGAATGTGAAAAAAAAATCCATGAATTCACATGGCAAGATGTTTAAAGAATTTATTTGTAAATCAGGGTGGAAAATAAGTATTTGGTCACTTCAAACAAGGAAAATCTCTGGCTCTCACAGACCTGTAACGTCTTTAAGAAGCTTTTCTGTCCTCCACTCGTTACCTGTATTAATGGCACCTGTTTGAAGTCATTATCTGTATAAAAGACACCTGTCCACAGCCTCAAACAGTCAGACTCCAAACTCCACTATGGCCAAGACCAAAGAGCTTTCGAAGGACACCAGGAAAATAATTGTAGACCTGCACCAGACTGGGAAGAGTGAATCTACAATAGGCAAGCAGCTTGGTGTGAAAAAATCAACTGTGGGAGCAATTATCAGAAAATGGAAGACATACAAGACCACTGATAATCTCCCTCGATCTGGGGCTCCACGCAAGATCTCATCCTGTGGGATCAAAATGATCATGAGAACGGTGAGCAAGAATCCCAGAACCACATGGGGGGACCTGGTGAATGACCTGCAGAGAGCTGGGACCACAGTAACAAAGGTCACCATCAGTAACACACTACAACAGCAGGGAATCAAATCCTGCAGTGCCAGACGTGTTCCGCTGCTGAAGCCAGTGCATGTCCAGGCCCGTCTGAAGTTTGCCAGAGAGCACATGGATGATACAGCAGAGGATTGGGAGAATGTCATGAGGTCAGATGAAACCAAAGTAGAACTTTTTGGTATAAACTCAACTCGTCGTGTTTGGAGGAAGAAGAATACTGAGTTGCATCCCAAGAACACCATACCTACTGTGAAGCATGGGGGTGGGAACATCATGCTTTGGGGCTGTTTTTCTGCTAAGGGGACAGGATGACTGACCTGTGTTAAGGACAGAATGAATGGGGCCATGTATCGTGAGATTCTGAGCCAAAACCTCCTTCCATCAGTGAGAGCTTTGAAGATGAAACGTGGCTGGGTCTTCCAACACGACAATGATCCCAAACACACTGCCCGGGCAACAAAGGAGTGGCTCCGTAAGAAGCATTTGAAAGTCCTGGAGTGGCCTAGGCAGTCTCTAGACCTCAACCCCATAGAAAATCTGTGGAGGGAGTTGAAAGTCCGTGTTGCTCGGCGACAGCCCCAAAACATCACTGCTCTCAGAAGATCTGCATGGAGGAATGGGCCAAAATACCAGCTACTGTGTGTGCAAACCTGGTAAAGACCTATAGTAATCGTTTGACCTCTGTTATTGCCAACAAAGGTTATGTTACAAAGTATTGAGTTGAATTTTTGTTATTGACCAAATACTTATTTTTCACCCTGATTTACAAATAAATTCTTTAAAAATCCTGTCATGTGAATTCATGGATTTTTTTTTCACATTCTGTTTCTCACAGTTGAAGTGTACCTATAATGTAAATTACTGACCTCTGTCATCATTTTAAGTGGGAGAACTTGCACAATCGGTGGCTGACTAAATACTTTTTTGTCCCACTGTATATACTGTATATATATATATATATATATATATATATATATATATATATATATATATATATATATATATATATATATATATATATATATATATGCATATTTGACTTCTGATAGACTAATAATTTAACTTTATTTTAGAAGACCATCTGGCTGTCATGATGTCTGCTGGAAAACGCTGGCCCTTGAACAAATTTAGTTGAGGTCCCCTGATGTAAAGTGTAAAACACTTTAAATTAAAACTGACTGCTAAGTCAGGAATTCCAAACGATCAGAGGTTTTCAGTTTTTGCCAGTTTCTTCAAATTTGGGAGAGGTGGTTTGGAGGATTTGTCCTGATATAAAAACACAGAAGAAGACTGTAGCTTTTAAAAATGTATTTCTGACTCTAGAAGCTTGCTTTTGGTAAATCATCACTATTTAATAGAAATTCCATCTTTTGGTATCTCCTTTTGTTTTTACAGATGGCGGGTGATGAGGATTTAGAGGGAGAGCTGAGGGATGTTGAGGAACAACCAAATGTACCTGATGACAGTCGGGTCAGTTCCTAGTGAATGAGGAGTAAATGGTTGAAGGATCTGTTTGTGATTTTAGTGACATTACTGTTCAGGTGTTTGGGACAGGTCTCTAATGAGGCTCCACACTAGATGGTACTGTTTTTCTGATTGATTTGTGTTGTGTCATGTTTTTCTTTTGGCAGGAGCTTCCTGAAGAGGATTTTCCGGTCTTAGCAGCAGACCTAGATGAGGAGGAGGAGGAGGAGGGGGGTGTTTCTCAGTCCGTCCCTTCTGATCAAGGCTCTCAGGCCTCTGCTGTAACTCGGGATCTCATTGTGATTGACACGGACTGTGAGAGCCCTGACAGTAAAGAGGAGGTCCAAAAGCAGGAAGATGAAGAGGAGGAGGAAGAAGAGGAAGAGGAGGAAGAAGAAGAGCAGGTCTTTCTCCTTCATGAAGACATTTTCTTTTCTTTAAATTTTATTTTCAGCTGTTAAATAAGTGTTTTCTGCCTCCTTCAGTTGAGGGAGGAAGAGGATGACGATGATGATGATGCAGACAGTGGGATGAAAGGAGGAGATGAGAGTAATGAGAGTAGGGAAGCTGAAGAGGGACAAGAGGAACCTTCAGAAGGCACAAACACAGAGGAGAATGTAAGCGGAGCGTCCTCTGGGTCTCAGCGCCTCTCTGAGCCGACGCACAGCGGTGAGTCCCAACTCAACTGTGAGTTCACACTCTTAAAACAGCTAAATGACTCCATCAACTCTTTCAGGAGAAAGCAGCACTGGTGTTTTGGAGTGCGACCCCCCCAGAGACTCCATTCAACTCCCCCTTATGTCCTCCTCTGCACACTCTCCATCCTCTTCCTCCCTCGCACCGCGCCTGCCACACACACGCAGACCGCCTCATGCTCTCCCGCCTCGGCTCTACATCCAAGCTCCTGCTCCTGAACTGGGACCCCCCCACACACAGGTAAAACCAGTTCATTCTCAGAGTTACTCACAGCCAGAGTTCCACTCAGGTGTGTTAACTTTTCAACAGATACTTTTACTAAAACTATCTGAACACATTTAGATCAGTAACTAAAAGTATGTAAATGCATCTTTGGCTTCTGGATCAATGAAAAATGTTTATAATTAGAACATTCCTCCAATAATAATGATGTTTGTCAATCAGAGACAGTCGTCTCAGCTGCGTAGACCATCATCAGGACGTGGACCCCAACTTACTCCTGGATTAGCCCCCATGGTAAGAACTACTTTCATGTTTTAAACTTATATCTGCTGAAACTGATAACATGCTAGGGCTGGGCGATATGGCCTAAAGTCAATATCACCATATAATGAGGATTTCACCTGGATAACGATAAATGGACGATACGATAACAAGGTTATCTTTCATTCAGCCATAGCATTTTGACCTCATACCCAGCGTGTTGAGGAAATCTGTGAGTGTTCTGGTGTTTCTGGTTCCAGGATTATAAATATTTATAAATAAAATATCCTCTGTATCCTGTGGATGGTTGGGTTGAGAATCTGTGGATTGGAGTTAGTTCCTGTATCAGGTCCCATCACAGAAGGATCCGTGGATTCAAAAAACCAATATTGGTTTTTCTCAGTTAGCAGATTTTCCCAGTAGACAATGTTATCAACTCTTATTTACCTGTACTTAGTCATAATTTGTGTGTGTGTGTTGTTTGCAGCCTTTTTTTGATGATGATGACAGAATGGTTCCCAGTACTCCCACTCTGGTTGTTCCACACCGCACTGACGGCTTTGCTGAAGCAATAAAGTAAGACACACACACACACACACTACAGTTCATGCTGGCCGATTTTGAATTGGTGTGTTGTCATGCTGTTGCTAGACAAAATCATGTTATTATGGACTGTGAAGAACCTCCAAGACGGTGTCTGAGGGTTTCAGTCTACTTGTGACTCTTGACTTTGTGTGTTTGGTCTCATCAGCTCTCCCCAGGTAGCTGGTCTGTCCACCAGGTTCAGGTTTGGACCTCCAGAAGATTTACTGCAGCAAGCATCAGCTTCACACTCTGACCTGGGGCAACTGGCCTCTCAAGGAGGTGCAACCACTGGCACAAACACCCATAATGGCTTCTCTAACCGTTTTTCTAATCTGTAGTTTTAAGTCTTGATTTTTTTTATTCATTTGTGTGTAGGTCTGGGAATGTATGAGTCTCCTCTTTTCCTGGCTGCTCACGATGAGGATGGTGGAGGAAGGAGTGTTCCTACCACACCCTTGCAGGTGGCTGCACCAGGTAAGACACATTACCTTTCTGTAGAAACCCTGGAGGACAACGGGAGTGATGACAAAGAAAAATAACTACCAGCTCTGTCCTTTAGTGACGGTCTTCACAGAGTCTGTGCCTTCAGACAGCTGTGACAATATGGCTTCACAGTCAGTTCCCATGGTAACTGCTTCCACTGGAGTTCCTGCTTCAGGAGATGATGGAGATGAGGTCTTTATGGAGCCAGAAGGAGATGGGTGAGTATGTCCATCAGGGTTAGATATTCTGTTTATTTATTTTTTGTTTTATTTCTTTTTCTTTTCATTAAGACATTTTTATGTGATAAACACAGCTGTCTGACCATCCTGGAGCTACCTCCTATCTTTATGTGTGTGTGCGTCTGTATATGTCTGCAGCGCGGATGTAGAATCCTCTTTGGATGGTCAGGCGGAGTTGGAGTCAAGAGGACAGCAAAGTGATGATGCAGTACTTCCTTCCACCAGCCAAGATCCTGGTAATGAACTTTTACTGATAGGTTTTAGAACCTGGATTAGCATATTTTAAATTCCTCTAGACATCAGTTATTATGCCGTTTTGTGTCTTTCCCGAGAAAAGGCTCTTCTACATTCTGTCCCTTTTGCAGAAATAGAGCGATTTAAACTCATGTCTGTTTTGAAAAAGTTTGATCTGATCATGACAAGGGTTGGACATTGGAACCAGGACTAACTGTCAGTTTTTCCCCAGAATCGTAAAAAGTTTTTTATTTCAAATCCTAGTTTTGATTACAAGTCCGCCACCTGGAAGAAGGATCTGCGACCGATCGTGAAAAAAAAAAACACGTTATCTGCAAATTCAGATTAACGCCTTTCAGAGCTGATCATACCAGCTGTCTCCGTGAGAGAAATGAGGTGATGTAAACTTAACCATCCTGCAGCGCTGAGGAAGCTCATTAAAATGAGTTTGGCGCACTGCAGAAATAAAAACGCATACGGAGCTTCAACAGTTAAACAGCCGCTCACCAACACTCGTCTGTGTGAACGTGACCATCAGAAGGCTGAGCAGATAACCTGTAAACTAATGAAAGTCAGCATGTTAGATTAGCCTTTCTCTGTGGTGGACCAGACCGGGTGCTGCCCACCAGGAGCCGATATGGATAATAATATTAATAAAGTTAAGTTTTGCTTTTATGAACTATTTAGTCTGAGTTTTAACTATTTAAATCTGTTAGATTGTTACTGACAGCAGCTACATTTAGGTTTCAGTTTCCCTTCTGACTGAATCGCTGCTGCAGCATGTAGGTGTAGACTCTCAGTCATCCTGGACATGATCATCCAGAGAGTTTTAGAAGAAAGCAGCTGGACTTTTCTGGTTACCTTGAAGACATTTTGCACCTCATCCTAGAGGCCTCTTCAGTTCCCATTCTTTGGTTGTGAGTTGTGGTCAGAAACAAACACATTGATTGTGCTTTTTCTTCCTTTCTTAAAATGTTTTTGTCTAAATTAATGTGATGTTCATTGAATTAAAATTCATGCTGAAGTTCAGATTATTATATATATCAAGTAAGGCTAATTTAAAACATGTAATGTTTTTGGATTCTGCCTCTTGAAAGAATCGGAACTGGAATCAATCAAATTCAAGTGATGCCCAACCCTAAATTTGTGGCTAAACTTTGTAACTGAAATGAAAGTTACATCTGTACATTCTTCTTATGGTTATTATTTGTAGACACCAGCAGTGTTGTTCTGCGCCGCACAGTGACCAGTCAGCCTCTGATAAGTAGCCTGTCAGGCAGAGGAGCCAGAGGAGGGAGGTTATTCAGCCGCAGAGGTGAGGAACAAATCTGGACTTTTCCTCTCCTAGAGAACAGAATCCTGTCACTCGCAGGGGAATCATGAAGTAGTTTATTGTAGGACAGCAAGCAGCTTATAACATAAACAAAAAGTCCATTTAACATTAACAACCAGTCATCATCGGTGATCTCTTTCTCTTTGCATTTTAGGACCTTTTTCCAGAGGTGGAAGAGGAGGCGGCCTGGGTAGAGGAGGCAATGCTCAATGATGATGTCATCAATAAAGTATCGTTTAATCATTAAGACAACAACACACTGTCCAGAGTCCAGAGTTCATTTTGTATGGATTAGGTTTAAGGTTTTACATAATGCTCCTTAAAGTCTAGTTTTTGTATTCTAGTTTTGTTCTGTTTGTTCTGGTGTTTCTGTTGTTTTTAGGAATAAAGTGAAACAACAAAAAGCAGCGCTGTTGTGATATCATTAACAGTGTAAGGCTTCAAAAACATTTTTGTGATTTACGTTATAAAAAATAGATGAGTAATGATGAATTAAATGAAATACAGCTTTAGTTATTTTTTTTCAATAAAATCTCATAAAAAATAAAAGATGTGTGAATTACAACTTCAGCCAATTTGTGGACTTTAACAGACGTTTGGCAGATTAAAATCACGAGAGGTTTGATAACTTTACTGCTTCAATAAGCTTTGTTCTCCAGATCGATATGTTTATCCTCTAAGTTCAGGAATAATTAACTCATATTTAAGATTCAAGGACAAACGGGTTGCTGGTTTCCTATTCAGCAAAAGCATTTACAAAGTAGATAATTTTGCAGAAAACACCACAGCTGGTCTTTAATGTCTCCTGTTTAGGGACAGCGCAGCCACAGTCTGATGGAGTTTTGAGGGTGAGGCGGTCTAGGATTGAGTCCTGCCGCGTTTGAGTTGCTCATCAAAACAGCAGGACGCAGGACGGGTAGGGGTAGGAGGGCGTCTGGGGGCTCAGGCGTGACCAGCGCTGGCAGGTTGCCCAAAATCTGGACTCTGAAGAAAATGGCTACAGAGAGAATAAAGTTTATGAATAAAGTGTTACAAATGACAGAAATCTGCATGTAATTCCAAATTAGAGAGGACATCTTTTTGAGAATAATCTGAACTCACGTCCAGTGAAGACAAAGTGTTGGTGTCTGCTGACGTTCTGAGAGCCGGGCATGGACAGAGCAGAGGTGATGGGGGTTGGGAAGCCCATTAGAGAAACTTTGATGTTGATCTCTCCACTCAAAAGAAACTCTAACATAAGAAATGGAGACATCAGAATACATAATTTGACCACTGGGTTGCATAATGATCTTATGGATGAGGTTTTGTCCACTAACCAGTCTGAGGAGTAAACCGTCTGTCTGGGAAGCTCCTTGGATTCTCGATGCACGACTGAGTGCTTCCTGGTGGGAATATAAACCTCTGCAACAAGTCTCCTAAAGGTCATACAGGAGGAGCTCCGTTATTAGTGAACACTCGGCACCCCATCCATGCCTCAGGTGTATTTCATGTTCTAATCTGTAAAATTCAATCTTTGAAAATATTCAGTAAGCTTTAGGATACAAAGAGCCTCCTTTGCTCACCTTCTTTAAAGAAGAACACGGTCTCTGGCCCGGTGCTGGAGGCTGGCACTGCCAGCACAGCGCTGATGGTTCCAGTCAGACCTGGAAACTCGGAGGACAGAGGTTTGGGGTAGCCGGGCTCCATCACCATGTTCCCATCCAGACGCCAGTACTGGTCCCCCTAGAGAGGAGAAAAATTATATTTGTTGTTAAATGTGTGGATCTGTAATCCCAGAGTAAAGCTTCTGAAGTGATCATATTGTACTTCTCTTAGGCAAAAATTGAAAATGACTTCTAACGCAACACTTTGGACACTGCTGAGGACAAGTTTCATCAATCTTTTAAAGTTTCCATATTAAATCTGGCAAATTGACATGTTTTAAAACTACATCTTGTCTCATTCACACAAATAAATTCAGCAGTCGTTCAACATCAATCAAAGGAGGCAAAAAATCTGACACTTAAGGAAAACAGAATGTAGGATCTATGTTTATATTGACACTTTCAATAATAAAAATCAGAGATTAAATGAGCTGATTATTTGTTGGGGGAAATGTAAATTTGTTCATATTTACATTCTTATAAGCTCCATTTTCAGGTTTTAATAACGTAAGCTAGGGAAATAAGACAAGCTGAAAATGATGACATCATAGCAGCGAATGACTGAGTTTGGGCACCAGCAGACAAACGAAGATGAACAAAAGCTACTACGGGGCATGATCTCATAGTTATAGGTTTACCTTAATAATGTAGGTGTTCCCATTACAGTTGTGGCGAGTAAAGACGGTGCCAATGGGAGAGGAGATGCCCAGGGTCTCTGTGATGTTCTGTGGACGACCAACGGAGCGCCTGATGGGGTCGACTGACCAAAAAAACTCACCTGCAGAACCAGGATGTGTTAAAAACTGATCTAACAATAAACCATGGGAAAATCTGTGTGGTATTCAGAATCTCTGCAACAAAAAAATAAGTCATAAAGAAAGCTATAAAATCAACCTTTAAATATCAGGATGGTTCCATTACTGAGGGCTGTCAGTCCGTTGATGGGAGAATCACTGCACAGGTTCACGTCCTGCAGGACCCCTGCATTAAAACAAAAGAAACACCTAAATTAGTGGAAAATCATCAAACAGATCACTCTTCACACCAACCAGTACCTGATCCATCTAATCCTCCATCTCCAAGAGTGAGACCCAAAGGCTGGGGCAGGGTGCTGGATCCAGAAGCCGCTGGACCACCAAAACCTGTACATTAAAATTGATGTAGTCGTATTTACGCTCATGAGTTTAGTCTTAAGCTAAACCAGGAATCAGACTGAAAATCAAAAACACAAAAGCATCTCTGCAGATTTTACTTTCACTTGGTCCAAATGGGTTGATTCCCCCAGGGAACACCACCAGGTGGATGTCCTGTTTACCCCCGTCATCTCCAGGGGTGGACGGTCTCACAGAGCTGCCCAGAGCTGGAGCACTGTTACTGGGCAGATGCTGGTAATGATGAGTCCCATGAGGAGAGAAGGGCAGTGGCTGGAGGCCAGTAAGGACTTTACTCCCACCTACAAGAAAAAATAAATAAAGAGCTTTCAGGTCAGGAACTTAGTAGAGTTTATGATAAATGAAGAACTCCTGGCAGGAAGTGAACGTGAACCGTGTTGATGATTTGTTCCAGCTGGAGGAGCAGGACCAGAAGACGGGTGAGAGAGGACCAGTCTATTGTGACACCGAGCTCCTGGAAGCTGTGAGCAGCGGCTCCTTGCTACGTGTAAAAATACATCAGAATGACAAAAGGAAGGCACCGACAGACCGTTACCATGGTGTTTCATGTTTTACCTGGGTGCCATTCCTCACTTTCACTGTTGGATCTTCTACGGTTCCTGTCTGGTTTCCAGACTCCTGACAAAGATCAGCAAATATACTTTTAAAAAAAGATAAATACAAGCAACCATGGAATAAATTATTATTAGAGTGAGACCATGAACAAAAATGTATATCTGTGCAAACTATCACCAAAGCAGACATTTTCACCCATTTTATTCAGAATCATAACGCTAATGCATCTGCAGATATTATGATTTATAAAAAAAAAAAAAAAAAAAAGATTATTCTGTAAGACCCGGCATTACAAATATTTGTCTGATTGTTGTTCTACGCTCCTATATGTCATTTTTAAAGGAGCATTTGTATCAGTAGATTTGTCTGATGAACCTATAAATGCCTGCTATGAAAGAAAAAATTAACTAGCTTTTAGTTTTTAGTGAAAACTGCAGAAAAGCTACAATCAAAGAGAAGGTGTATGCTAACTTGAGACTGTTGTCCGTCGAGACTGGAGGCTCCCAGGTTGTGAGACGGGCACAGTGGCATCTGTGGAGAGAAACGATGATGATGTCAGAGTGGCACAGTCACAAAGAAAGGTAGACTGCAGTTAGGATTTCTGGGACATTGGACTAAAAGCTGTGGACGTTTACCACAGTGGAGCCTGTAGTCTTGACAGCAGGTGTTGAACTGGATGCAGAGTGGATCACACTCACACAGCAGACCCCTCCTGAAGGTCTCACCACAGCGACCGCGACAAGACTGAGCTGATATCAAACACAACATCCAAAATCACGAAGGCCATTCTCAGATCTCTACACTGAAGAAACAAGGTCGGTCATAAGTCCTCCAGGGCCACCTTTTTTTAACCAGTAGCATCAACGACACTGATGATGATAGCTGCAAAGTGTTAAAAAGACTTTGAAAAATGTCTTTAGGTACAGTTTAAGACTAAAGGTTGAAACATCTGTTACATATCATCAGATATTATTGCTTTTTAGCTGGAAAAGGGAACATAAAAAACTAGTCGCACATCTTAATAAAACAAATGTAACCTAGTCGTTTATTTGTGGAGTGAATTTTTCTAGAATTTTTTTTTTGTCTAAAAATAACAAAAAATGAAAATATGGGTTTGATCATACAAATGCCTTGTAGAAATCTATGGAAGAGGATTGGGGCCACTAGAAAAAATAAAATAAAAAGAAGAAAAGAAAGAGAATTCTAACTTTTTTCTCAGAATTCTGACTTTGATGATTCAGATCAAAGTTTCAGAGAAAAATTTAAAAATTCTGAGATTAAAGTCAAATTTCTCTTTCTTTTAATTTTTTTCAATTCATTGACCCCAATCCTCTTCCGTAAAAACTAAATGGTGTTAAACTACTGAATACATTTATAACTACAGTCCTCAAAAATTAAAAACAAGTTTAAAATAATTTCATTTTATTAAAACAATTAATAAGCATTTTTAGAGAACAAAAAGTAACATACAAACGCTAGTTTTTTTTGTGTTCTACAACTCGTGGTTGTATTTTTTTAAATTTAATAAAAATCTTGTTTTAATGAATAAGCTGCACTTTTAGGGCATAATAGATCTGTATCTTTGTGTAAAACTGACTGTATTTGATCTGATTTACCAGTGATACAAGTAGCCTGGTAGTCTGGGCAGCACTCATTGTGCCGTATGCAGTTAGAGTCACAGGTACACTGCTGACCTCTGGTAAACACCTCACCACAACGACCAACACAGCTGCCTGAGGACAGAAGTTAAATTTTAAAGTAATTTTTGCTCATTTAACCGCAAAAAGTAAAACCCTTCCTGTTGTTTATCAGTATAATGTACATCAACTATTTAAGCAACATAAATGTAACCTTTTAATACTAATTCTAATTCATTATGTAGTAAAATGCATCAGAAAGGGGACGGATTTGAATGAAATCCCGTGTGTTAGAACTTACCTGGCCCAGCAACAGCTGCAGCAAAAGCTGCAAACGTACCGATCAGGAGAAAACCCAGGTTCTTCATCCTTTTCTTCATCTGACACTATTAACAGCATGTCTGTTGGTCTTTTATAGCAAATGAAAACATGACGTTTGGTAAAAAAGAGGCACTCAGACAGGACACTTTAAATTAGCATCACAAGCACACACCCACTGACCAATTAAACATTGAACAGATGCTTTAAAACTTCAGTAAACAGCTTCCTACTCATGGTGACTTATTTATGAGGACTAACACCCAAGAAGATTCATTATTTTTACATCTGACAGAGGTCAATCTTTCCAGAAAATGTAATAAATCTGATTGATGTCTTTTGAAAATGAACACTCTGCTCGTGATTCGGTGACTCCACTCTGACCTGCTGCCCTTTGGTCACAATTTCATTTCCAGCAGCTCAAAGAATAGGGTGCTTGAGCCAAAACTGATGTCATGTGGTTTTGACCGTTTTTGTGGTTTTAATTGTTCAGTTAAGTCATAAAAAGTGTCTCCGTGTGGGTGATTTTCACAGGGAGGAGATAAACAACCCCAGAGAGAGGGGAAATAAATTCACGGGGTCAACATCAGGAGACTTTACCTTATTAAAGTGGACACACACAGCTAAGGGGTGACTTCAGGACTACTCTATGAATTTCCTTGAGTGGTACAGACATGAATCTGATTGATCATCTCAGGAGAGATTTAAAATGCCAGCATTAACGTTTCTGATGGAGATGCTACCAAGCTCGTGGTATCAGTGCTGACAAAGGTGCATCAACAAAGCATGTTACTCACGCACATGTGATTCCTCAGTTTTTTATTTTTAATAAGTTTGATAAAATCTCAGACTTTCCCCGTGTTGTGGTTATGGGATGTTGTGTGTGGATTTTTGAAAAAGCCATGAGAAAATGTGGGGAAAATGTTCTCTATAAACACTTTCTGGATGCACCGTATTGATCCAACGACCAAAACTTAGAAAATAGAAGTTTTTAATTAAAAGAAGAAGACGCCGGGGCGTGGTTTCATTTTTAAAGATTTTAGATTGACTCTCAGTAATAAGTACCTCAGAATACCCACTAAGGTAAATCACCAACATTTATATTTTGAGTATCCTGTGTATTTTGTAATTTATTTGTTTATTTCCTTTTTTGATCTAATGACTTCTACGGATGGAAGAAAATTTTACTTGAAAAATATTTAACCTTTGACAGCTGCGGCCAGCAGATCTGCTACTGGTGTGTACACTTTGAGTAAAATCCATACTGTGGTACTCAGCAGGTCACTGAGCTGTTTGAGTGGTAAACAAATGTCGTAATGTAACCACAACCCAACAGACAGCATCCCAGTTACATAAACCCGTCGTCTAACAGCCTGAAAATGGTTTGCTGAAAGTCTTACAGACCATCTGGTAGAACAACTGAACAAACACACACCAACACACCCAGTTATGTCCCCATTCACCTGCTGGAACTCTGTGTTGTTTATATTTGCCTATTTTCTAACAGTCAATTATGTTTGTTCAGCAGCCCTCTAATGAGAGGGGAGTAGTCCCAGCAGGGTGTTGTACTGGTCAGATGGTTAGATTAAAGAAACTCATAAAGCTTTATTAGAACCCCACACAGTGACCAGACAGTGGGCCGAAACACTGGCGGGCCATTCAGAACGCCACACACACACACACACACACACACACACACACACACACACACACACACACACACACACACACACACACACACACACACACACACACACACACACACACACACACACACACACACACACACACCAGACAGACATGATGTGTTTAAAGAGAGTCTGGAAACTACAAACATGACAGAAAGACGAACAGAGATTCTTTCAACTGTTGCTTTAATTGTTGCTCTTTTAATGCAGCCGACAAAGTCAGACTGTTCATGAGAGAAAACAAGATCATCATTTACTTTATTCAGCTTTACTGTGTGTGGTCAGTGTGGACTACAGACTCACATTACCTCACGTCTTTGGTATTTTACTCTATTTCCTCTCTTGTTTTCTTTATTTCATTATTATAACTTTATAGAGACTTTCATGGTTTTATATTTCTAATGTGGTGAGAATGACTTCTTTTTGTTTATATTGAATATTTTTGGTTAAATGTAACCTTCAGCATAATTGAATAAGCATATTGTGGCATCTGTAACTTGTTCCTGTTTTTAAGATTTTACGTTTTAGCATGATGGAATCTTCCAATCAGGTTTCAATCACTTATTTTATTAACATGTTTAAAACAACTTTCATTGATCAAAGCCCTGTACAATTTTTAAAATGTGAACAATACCTCATAAAGCAATCAAATGCCACGTGAAAGGATACAAACAGATAGAAATAAAATCAAAAGCATCGTGAAATCAAGCAGTCTTAAAAATTTGTTAGTTTAATATGTTGCTGTGTGAAATTAATTTTTTTTCTGATTTCCTGATTGGCAGATATATAAAATCCTATTTACTCGTTTTTTTAGTCATTTCATCTTCTCAACTAGTAATCATCATAAGGCATCATATTTCTTATAAATATTTAATACTGAGATAAAGAAAAAATGTTATGCAACTAGCTGGGTTCAAGAATCTAAACGAGTTCAATTATTTATGGATTGAAATCTTTAAATATTTTCAGAAATGAAAAGTTTTTAAACGTAACTAAAGGAGATTTTTTGTTATGTTTTTCAAGGCTGGAACAGAAGAATCTAACCATGTTTCCGTACGACACCATTTTAAAGACGAACCAAAAACCACAGGACCGCAGTTGTACGTCGATCTTGTATTTTTTTTAGTATTTTACTGCGCTGAACAGTAATTGTTGATGCTTTTTTTTATTATTAAGAACTGTAAACAGCTGAAGCTGGAAGAACGAGGTTAGCTAACTGGCCGCGTGACTGCGTGACTTCGTGGGTTCTTGACACATTGTGAAAACTGGGTGAGTTCAGTCAGTTTTTTCTTTTTTTTTTTGAATTATTAAAGATTAATTAAGTTTTTAAAACAATCTAGCAAACCCTAATAATAAATTAAAGGTACACTTGTAATTATAAGTGTTTCAGCAATATTTCAAATGAAGGTCGACATTTTGGCAAGTTGTCATGACTGAATGAATGTTAGTTAGATTAATAAGGTTATGATGAAGCACCCAGCCTGCAAATTTTATTTTTTTGCCCTGAAATAATTTGAGTGGTTTTAGGAAGTGAAATGTATACTTTTGTGTTTTTCAATAATGTTTTTCTTGAATAAATGTTTATGTGTGCTCATAGCGTATCTACACAAATGTTAAAACCCTTAACAAACGCTCTTATTTTTTTGGCCAACAGTAGTGAAAAATAACTGATACTGTGCTATATGTAACCAAGGTTTAGGAGAATTCTGTTTTTATATAAAATATCATTCCATTAAAATGTGCTTAAATAATTATATCTGACATAAATTAATTGAGGAAAAACCATCAAGTACGTCATTTATTGATAAACTGTCAAATAAATAAGACTTCATTGATTAAAAACTGCTATTTAATAGAATTTCTGTCGAAATATGGTGTTACTACGTTTCCCATGATCCCTCGAGAGAACCCGACCAATTGGAAAAATACCTTGCTTAATTCAAATGTGGTGATTAAACTTCCTGAGTTGAAAATTGGCAAATTTAAATTAGGTGAACAAAAATGTAATAACAAAGTACTTGGAAGTGCCGTAAATCCTCTAATACAGGCCTGTATTCAATGAACGGCCGGGTCTCATATTTTGGCCGGTGTCGAAGTCGGCGGAGGTGAATAATGGCCGGTCTCTTATTGTGGCCGGGTGGAATGTGGTAACAAGCAAGTACGGGGGGCGGTTGTGTCATCGTCTCACTTTTGATTTGCCAGTGATAGACCGCGAGGGTAACTTTAACCGTGCAGAGATGACGAGGAGGCGAAAATTTGATATTGTAGCGACCCCGAGCGTCTCAGCGGCAGGTTTATAGTCCCCAGATCAACCAGCAGGAGGAAGCAGAGGTTCACACAGACCTTTATTGGGATTTTTCTTCAACAGTTTGTAACGCTACAGACACCAATCCTCTTATCACGCTCCTACCACACAAGAGTCACGGTGTCAGTTAACCATGCTAATTCAACCCGCTCCACAGAACACACATCACCTTCCCTGTGGCTTACATTAGCATAACACTCACACAACACGCAAATCAACACATAGGAACTAGCAGAATGATAGGAAACACATATAACACAATACCCAGAATGCACCTGGCTTACAACCCCAGCCAGGTCATTACAATATCAAGTTCAAAGAGAACGTGCGCTGCAGAACACTGGGGAGCAATAGTCAACTTCACTATAGTGACTTTTTATGCCTGTCATCGACTAGTCGCTGTCACGTGATAATGACCGGCAAGATGCAGCCCTTGGAAAAGACAGCAGCCTGCTGTCAGCAGGTGACAAGCTCCTGCGCTCAGGGGGGGGGGGGGGGGGGGGGCAACGCGCTGTGCCAGAGCGTCGGTACTGACACGCGACACTGACATGTCTTTTATTTGCGCCTGATACGCTTCGCTGTGGAGCGGGGCGCATCACCTTGTCATCCGGTGACGCACCGATCACTGATGCGGCCACCAAGCAGCGAGCACTCCGCTGTTTTTGCGGTTGGTAGATCTGCGTCCTGAGCACGGCCACAGTAACATTATCAAATCAGGTGTCGCCACCTCAAAAACTAATTTGACACGCGATCGTTCATGTTGGTTCATTTCCTTTAATGTTTTCTGTCTTTTATTTGTGTCTGATGTGTTTCACTGTGGAGCGGGGCGCATTACCTTGTCATCCGGTGATGCACCGATCACTGATGCGGCCACCAAGCAGCGAGCACTCCGCTGTTTTTGCGGTCGGTAGATCTTTTAGACTTGCAGTTCAAAGGTAACTCATAGGGTGAATATATATGAACCCAGGTAGCAGTTTTTCTTTAGGATTGAGAGGAGATGCAGGAAGATAATAAACAGACAGGACAGAAAAGTGGTCAAATAAAAACAAGTTAATTTTTGTACCTGGTGGTTGCAACAAACAGACACCATTGAAGGTAATCAGAAGTGAGGAACAGAAAATGAAATAATTATTTTAATGTTTAGAGCAGCAGGAACTCCAAGAGGCTGCAGGCGCATCAGTGAGTTTGCGGCCGCTGCGCAAGGGGAGGGGGGGGATGGCTGAAGCAGAAACTACCGTTGTTAAAAGAAATGTGTTTAACTTTGAAAATGTGGGCGCAATTTTAACTGTCAAAAACTCCAGCGAACCATTAGTTCATTTTGCTCAAGTAGAAATAGAGGCCTGCCTCTAATTCTGGCCCTCCTTCCAATAAAGGCCTGGAGCTTGATGAGCTTGAGTCAAATACAGGCCCGGGCCTGTATTAGAGGATTTACGGTATGTTAAAAATAGTTATTCTATGATATTGACAAATCAAAGAAAATAAAAATCACAGGAAAGGAAACTACATTAATAAAGCCATATTGCAGCTATCTTGAATGGCCAATTGCACCCAAGTTGAAAGAAATTCAGTTCAAAATAATACATAATATCAATCCTGCTGCCGAAACATTAAGAAAAAGATTTAATTTTGAAGTGAACCAGTGTGTCTTTTGTACGACAGAATGTGAAACTATTGAGCACCTTTTCTTCTCGTGTTCAGTAACAACTGATTTTTGGGAGGATGTTTATCGATTATTAAATATTGAGAGAAATGATGTATGGCTTAACAAATCTAAAGTGTTGATCTACATGGATGCTCTGCCAAAAAAGATGTCCAAAATGGTGAACATTATTTTCATCATGGGAAAATACCATACACATAAAACTAAATGGAAAAACAGCAAGCCTAACATTAACCATTTTGAAAATGAAATAAAACAATTTATAACATCTCTAAAAGTATTATCAGAAAATAACCAATCTATAACTGAGTTGTACGAAACAATGTCTGAGTTTCTTGTTCTTTAAATTACAGTCCAATGAATCAAACATGTTTGAAATATAATGCTGAAATATCAACCTCTGAACATTTTTTGTTTGTTGATGATATTTTATTTTTATTTTATTATTATTTTGCATCACAATTTATTTTATGGTGTAGTGTCATATGGTAATTGTTGCAAGTTCTAAATGTAATTTTTATTTTCCTCAACTGAGGTCATTTGTGTTCGCTTATTCTTCAGTACGTTGAATATAGGTTACATTGTAAACTGAATGTATGTGAAAACCAGATTGAAATAAAGTTTAAAATGTACTGCAATGCCCATTTTAAGCCGGCAGATGGCGTTATCTGCCCCGATTGCAATGACAATATAGAGAAATCTAACAGTTTATCTCTTTTTATTCTACAATCCACATTGGTAGCAGTTGTCATAAATTATTTCAGAGATTCAGAACTGCTCTGGCGCTCCCCATCTGCCTCTGGTGCTCCCCTGCTTCCTGACTCCGTACCGGAGGCCGGTGACAGGTCTTCAACCCGGAAGTGTCCGTGGATCTTCCACTAAAGCTGTCACGGATTCGTCTGGGGGAGCAATAAAAATTATGGAAAAAATAAATAACGCTTCTGATTGCATTACATTACGTTTCAAATATTTTCGGTGACAGCCTTGTGTTTTTTTTTTAATAAAGTAAAAAAAAAAACGTTGGCATAATGAGGCCTGTGATGCAATAAGTGCTGCAATTACTGTCACTACAGCCAGTGGCAGCCGCAGGTACCGTGGCAGCCTTTGCCAACTTTGGCAGGTACCGTGGCAGCAGTGGCAGGTACCACTGAAAGCCGTGGCACCACCCGGAAGTGTCAGAGCTGCCACTGCTACAAATCGCCCCTGCTGTCTTTCACTTGACGGTGAGTGAGATGTAATAAATTTAGGTTATGGGACGTTAATATATATATATATGTATATAACGACCTTAGAGTGAAAGAAATAAGGTGTAAAAGCTGACGTGATGGGGAAAATTGGTGAAAAGAGTGGTTAGCACCTGGCTAGGGTGCTAAGTTAGCCTAGTTTTTCCATTAGCTGGAAAATGGAACTTAAGTGTGTTGTAAAACTTTTTTTAAGGTGTATTCAGTTCAGCTGAAGAGAGAAACAGACTATTTTGATTGTGACTGTCAGAATGTGACTGATGTAAAATGTTAGTATAATGGAGATGTGTTAGGATGTTTTTCCTTGTCATGGATGAGTTGAAATCAATTTTTGGTGCGCTCCTGTTTTGATACCGGTACAGACAGGCAGCCGATAGCACATGAATGACTGTAATATCTGTAAATTGGTTGAATGTGTGATTACTGTGAGGTATCTCTGATCTTTGATGTGTGTTATATTAATTTATATAGAAACCATCACTGGTTCTATGATGATCCCTAGTGCTAAATTAGCATCAAGCTGATGTAATAAGATTTGGTGAATGTTGCACTTTAGTGTGTAATTGTAATTCTACATTATACATATCAGAATTCACTTGTAGTGAAATTGAATTGGGAGGGTATAAATTGGAATATTTAATATCAGATGGATAAGATAATTATTGGATGGAATATATGAGAAAAATGATGTGATCGTAATAAACTGTAATGTAAGCTTCAGTAGGCGCATGGGCAGAATATCTTGCCCTCCAGTCAGAACCCGAAAACACCACCAGTAGGCAACGACTTATAAAACGATACACTTTATTACACACTCAACAATAAGACACAATAATAAAACACTATGGCCCTCATCATAAAACCAGCTGTCCAGCATGAGTAACACAAGCAGCGGTACTTAGCTGTCTCAGATGCTGTGACCCCCCTCCCCGGGGTCTGAGCTTCCAACGCCCTGGGGTGCAGCTTGCGAGGACAGCGGGTAAGTCCACAGCATAAGTCCAACTACCAGAGTCCGTGGCGGCAGATATCGGCGTGGTCTTGGCATCCACTATGCCCAGCCCTCGCTGCCTAAAGAAGGCGACAAGCCTTCCCTCCTAACATTGGAATGCTGTACACCTGCTTAACTGTCTTCATCGCCGGCAGCCCTAACCGGCTGCGAACGACCCCACCCCCCAAAGTCAGATGCCACAATGACAGGTCGACCACGCACACATCTCGGTAGACCTGTCACCCTTTTATCCTCCCTGGCCTCGTTATCCGTAACGAGGACCAGCCGGTGTCCAATCACCACACCCTCAGAGCCCGGCAGCTTCCGTCTTCTGTCTATCACACTCTCCCCCTCTTTGTCCTGAAGGACTCACCCTCGAGTCCTAGACCTCCACATGATAATCCTTATAGCAAGCAGGGGGCCTCCTCTGACGAACCACGAGTTGCTCCACAGCTCCAGGTTCCTCGACCGTCCCAGGGATACGTCCTCCTGATCCTCTTCCAACCGCACCCCCTCGAGCAGCCACTCCATATAATGGGGCAGGGTTGCTTGAATCACTGGAGCCCCTCATCTCTGACAACCGTTGAGCACTCCAGCTGGTGTCCTCCCAGGTGGCATCCGGTTGCCGGTTGGTGGCATCCGGCTGATGAACCACCCGCTGTTCCGCAGCTCCACGTCCGTCAACCTCCCCAGGAAGACGTCCTTCCGGTCCTCCCACAGCAGCACCCCCTCGAGCAGCCTCTCCACGTGATGGGGCCGGGTCACTTGCGTCGCCAGAACTGCTTGTCTCTGCAGACCGTCGATGAACCCTGCTGGTATCTTCCCAGGCGGCATCCCGTTGACGCAGCCTCTGTCCTGCTCTCTCTCGAGACCCCACAGCCAGCGGTGCTGCAACTGTTGAAAGAGAAGTGCATGGCTTAAGTCGGTTGAAGTGAATCACACTCTCAGGACCCCCCTCAATGGGTACCAGCCTCTATAGCACATCTGTCACCCGCTCGAGAACCCTAAATGGTCCTCTATGCCGTCTCTGAAGCCTGGGACCCCCCCCCCCCCCCCGCCTCCTCAGCTTATTTCGGACCCACACCAATTCACCTTCCGCGTAGAACCGGTGGGAGGCCCTAAAGTCATATGCCCTCTTTTGTTGCGCCGAGACTCTGCCCTGATGGCGTTTCACCGCATCCACCATCGTAGTGAATGTTTCCTTCAGCCTCGTCACATACTTGTCTACCGAGGCAAAGGCTTCACCTATCCTGGCCTTCCAAGTACCCAGCATTTCCTCCTACAGGGGTCTCAACAACAGAGAGGGGGGCGGGCATTTGACCCACTGTACGTGCCCCCTCTAGTTTCCCTGAACATAAGGACAGTCCCGACGTATATGCCGGTTACAACCACACTCCCAGCAGCCTCCCAACCTCCCATTTCCTTTTTTCCGGGAATATTCTTGACTAGGCTGCAAGTTTGTGTTCTGAGCGTCATGGTGGGGACTAGATGCAGCAGGTACAGACAGTGTGTGCACCACATTCTGGAGGGATTTCATCTCCTGTCTCAAGCTCTCAACCACCCCCATTAGCGAAGTAATGCTTTCATCATCAGCATCTTTCTCAGCTATTCCTCTCACTCTTGCGTCAGATACTGAGCTGGTCTCCAAACCCTTAATGAGCTCAAGCTCCGCCGCCGTGTTGATGGCTGCTTCAAGTGACGCAGGCTTGGCACTGCGTAAACTCACTCTCATGTCCCCATTCCCCACATGAGCTATAAACTGATCTTTAGCCAACATGTATTGTGTGTTGGGATACGCTGTTGGACAAGCTTTAACAGCAGATCGTCGTAATGCCATCCCAAATTCACGGATACTCTCATTATGCCATCTACGTCGAGCGGAGAAAACAGCTTTATTCCAATCAACGCTGTCACACGGATTCAAACACCTCCCCATTTGCTCTTTCAACATGGCATAATTAGCTTTAACACTTCCCGACAATCCATTATAAACCTCTCGAGCCTTGTCAGACAACAGAAGACACATAAACTTCAACTTTAGGGGCTCATCCCAATTATTTACATCGGCTGCCATTTCAAATTATTCAGCCCAGTCTGCCCATTCACGGCCAACACCAGAAAAGCTCTCCGGCATAAAAATCGGCCGAGCCGCTGCGCTCGGGCTGATTTTCAGCTGATCTCAACGGAGAAGGTGTGTTATTTTCAGGTTCTGACATTCTGGATTGCTAGATCCCACTCCTGACACCAGTGTAATGTAAGCTTCAGTGGGCGCACGGGCAGAATATCTTTCCCTCCAGTCAGAACCCGAAAACACCACCAGTAGGCAACGACTTATAAAACGATACACTTTATTACACACTCAACAATAAGACACAATAATAAAACACTATGGCCCAAGCCCTCATCATAAAACCAGCTGTCCAGCATGAGTGACACAAGCAACGGTACTTAGCTATCTCAGATGCTGTGACCCCCCTCCCCGGGGTCTGAGCTTCCAACGCCGTCCAACGCCCCGGGGTGCAGCTTGCGAGGACGGCGGGTAAGTCCACAGCATAAGTCCAACTACCAGAGTCCGTGGCGGCAGATATCGGCGTGGTCTTGGCATCCACTATGCCCAGCCCTCGCTGCCTAAAGAAGGCGACAAGCCTTCCCTTCTAACACTGGAACGCTGTACACCTGCTTAACTGTCTTCGTCGCCGGCAGCCCTAACCGACTGCGAACGACCCCACCCCCCAAAGTCAGATGCCACAATGGCAGGTCGACCACGCACACATCTCGGTAGACCTGTCACCCTTTTATCCTCCCTGGCCTCGTTATCCGTAACGAGGACCAGCCGGTGTCCAATCACCACACCCTCAGAGCCTGGCAGCTTCCGTCTTCTGTCCATCATAAAACCTTTGGGTTTTTCTGGCCGATCTGCAGGTCAGGTTTTTTTAGTATTGGACAGATCCGGATAAAGAGCCTTGAACTTGCTCGGTTGAAGCATCCCTGTGAAGTCGCATCAGATCCTGGAACCTGAATCCTTAGAAGACTCTCAGCGGACGCTGGGTGGCGAGCCAGTGGAACCTCAGGACGGAAGAGGGTGTGGCACCCTTTCTTTTCCTCTGCCTGTGTGGTAGGACAATTGAACTGTTGCATTGGACACAAACCAGTGACAAGGGAAAAGAGAGAGAAAAAAAAGGGCCCCAATGATTGAAGGGTATTAAATTGGGTTTAATACTTTATTTTTACTTGTTAATGTACGTTTTGCCGGCCAATTGTAATTTATTTTTGTTCATTGTTCGGATGATCGGGTTGCACTACTGTGTTCAGATTGTCAACTGTGTTTTGTTATAATTGTTGACGACACATAAAGAAAAGAACTTACCTTGTGGCATTCATTCATATTTAAGTTCACCTTGGCTCTCCTTACGAATTTATATCTTCTGAGACTGGTCCAGAATCGTCTTTTATTATTAAATATATGTTACTCGGTTATTACATAGTTAGTAAAGGGTTACATATACTTTGGACATTTCCCTCTTATTCATTTTCATTTATTTTCCAGTTTACAAAGCACTGTAAATATCATCACTTAATTTAAAGAAAATAGGAAATTGATACAGAATTTTTCTCCTAAAAATAAATCTTTGACATATTTTATAAATAATTGATGTGTTTTATGTCTGTATGTGTCTACAGTCATGCTGCAGGTGGACTCAGGTGTGTACATCGGCTCGGTAGACGACCTGAATGACAGACAGATGTTGGCAGATGCGTCTGTGTCTCATATCCTGTCTCTGGACTCAGTGGACCCTGGTCCAATGCTTCCTGCTGATGGAAGCTTTGTTACAAAGTGGATAGATGTTTTAGATGACCCAACATCTGACCTCTTAAGTCACATGGACGCTTGCTTTATGTTCATTGATGAGGCTGTGAAAGGAGGTGGGGCTGCACTTGTTCATTGGTAAGGGTCAGAGGTGAACAATTATTTTTTTTCCATCACATTTCAACAACTTATTTTACATGATATTTATTTAAAAAAAAACTTAAAGTCATACCAAAAGTTCCATTATTCATCTTAATCTAACTTTATAGTCTATTTGTGTGTGATTTGTTGTTTTTCTGTACAGCCAGGTGGGGCGGAGTCGCAGTGCCACCATCGTGACCGCATATCTAATGAAGAGACACCAGCTGGGCTTCACTGAGGCTTACGATAGACTAAAAAGTGTCAAACGAGACGTTCAGTGAGTGTGTGTCTCTTTCTGGTCTGTCTGCTCTGCAAGTAAAATGAATTTTCCTTCGAAGGAGGGAGGGAGGGAGGGAGGGAGGGAGGGAGGGAGGGAGGGGGGGGGGGAGGGAGGGAGGGAGGGAGGGGGAGAGAGAGAGAGAGAGAGAGAGGAGAGAGAGAGAGAGAGTCAGTCAAACAGACTGACATACCGGTGAGTATGATGTTTTTCAGGGTTAATAGTGGCTTTGAAGACCAGTTACGTCTATATGAAGCTATGAAGTGTGAAGTGGACACATCCAATCCTTCATACAAACAATACAGACTTCTCAAGATCAAGATCAAGAAATTCTCAGGTACACACACATACCAACACATGTGCACCCACTCAAATAAAAAGAAAATAACTGCCCAGGTCATATTTTAAATAGACTGTGTGACATTTACGTAAGTACTCACATTTCCTGTGTGTGTATGTGTGTGTTTGTGTGGGCATGCATTTGCGCATGTGTGTGTAGAGTTGAAGCGGGGTGCAGCAGAGTTGCCTAAGGAGATTTTTGCACTTGACCCTGACCTCTCCAGCTCTTCTGAAGTCTCCTATAGATGCAGGAAGTGCAGGTAAGTTGTGAAAAATTCCCACAACTGTTTAAAGTTTAGTTTATTTACTGTGTTGTTTAAAAGTTGCACATTTGAATGTGAAGCACAAGGTGTCGCTTGTATCAGAGGTCTCAGTTGCAGCTGCAGCTTTTAGAGATGAGATTAAACTTGATAATATATATAACAGGGTTCACAGATGAACATTCTCCCTCTTCTCTTCAGACGAACTCTGTTTCGTGGCTCTAGTATTCTCAGTCATCCTGTAGGGGAAGGAGCATCAGCCTTCAGTCACAAAAAGTTCAGTAACCTCACTGGTAAGAACACGTGAAAAGTAGAGTTTTAGTCATAATTTGGATTCTTTAATCAAATAATTCTAAAAAATGTTCTGGTTTTGATGGCTAATCTATTTATTTGTGAATAAATCCTGCATCATTAATCACACAGATTGACCTTGAAGCTTTGTAGATTGATCAGTTATAAAAGCCGTTGTTCTTTAGGAAACGCTCAGTGTACGTCATACTTTATTGAGCCGGTGCAGTGGATGAAACCATCCCTTCTTCGAGTCATGCATGGACAGGTAATACACACCTATAGTTACACACACACACACTGCGCTGTGCTTTTGGAAATGTTTACGATGAAACAAACTTTATTTGAAATCTTTCATACTAATATGCATGCATCGGTTATTTTATCCCCTTTTGACTCATGTCTGGCTATGTGTGTGTGTGTGTGTGTGTGTGCGCGCGTGTGTGTGTATGTGTATAGCTGCTCTGCCCAAAGTGCAGCTCCAAGCTGGGCTCATTCAGCTGGTGCGGATATCAGTGTTCATGCGGCCGCTGGGTCACACCTGCCTTCCAGCTTCATCATAACAGAGTTGATGAGATCCGACAAATCAAGATGCAGAAATAACACACACACACACACACACACACACACACACACACACACACACACACACACACACACACACACACACACACACACACACACACACACACACAGTCTCGGTTTATGGTGCAAAATGATTTCATTACAATAATGCATTTTGTACATTTTTATTATGTAAGGTGCCTGAATGTTACCTATGTCTGTAAATAAAAATATATCAGTAAAAACTGTAGTTAAATGTATTATTTTATCAGGGCACACGAGTCTGCTTCTCACCAAAATACCTAGTTAACAGATTTTTATTCGTTTGTTCATTGAAGTCTGGCAGTTTAATCAGACATTTGTCCAAATAGAAAGAAAATATTATTGGTACATTTTAAATAACAAATGTGGATGAATTCAGAGGTAGGAGTTCCACACCAGCCTCGGAGGGAATTTTGAAGGATTTATATTTAATTTTTTTTATTAGCGTTTGAATCTGAAAGACAGAAAACACACATCATTTCTTTGTGTGTGTGTGTGTTCCTATTCAGGGTAAAAGGAAGCTGGACTCTGGATGCACCTCTAGTCCATCACAGGGACACTTGGAGTCAAGCAACTATCCACAACAACACCTAATAATTTAAAGTTACTGAATAATCCAAAGCGAATGTTTGTGTTTTTAACCAATGACCAGCTGTTATTTGTTGCAATGATCATTTTTGTGCTACTTGCAGTAGCAGATAATGGCCACTAGACATCAGAGAAGCTCCATGCTCAGCTGCTGCTTCCTATTTCTGAAGCAAAAGTGAATTATTTTATCTGCAGCATCTCATGTTTTCACATATATATATATATATATATATATATATATATATATATATATATATATATATATATATTACTTTAATTCAGTTTATGATGCAAAAGAAATGTCCACTTGTTGCTTAAAGAAAATGTTTGGGTCTTTCTTCTGAAGTCAAAGTTTGACTTGGTGTGTGACCTCATACGAAAGACTCGCTGGCCTTCTCATTGTAGTCCAGCTAGTCCACTCCTGAAAGACTCAAAATGAGGGTTTGCATAAAGAAAGAAGCAATATGGCTGCCCTTCTCCGATGACAGGAGGAGAGGAGTCACTAAATAATGAGGCATTTAAATGGAGATCCACGTGTATCTCGATGAGAAGAGGACAGATGGAACACAGAGGGTTAAACTATGTTGCTGATGAAAGTGTAGGATTTAATTGGGTCACTGCTGCAGGATCTACTGGTTTACAGAGGGAGAAATAATAACACTGAGAGAATACAAAAGGACAGGTTTACATGGAAGGTGCAGAAAACATTGAGCTAAATAAAGGATTTTCTGCACAATGATTCGGCTTCATTTATTTTTCTATTTCTCTATAATGATCTCCTAATGACCTATAAATGTAGTTAGTAACAGTTTTATACATGTAATCATCCTATTTGGTTTTATTGTTGGATTTCTCTAGCAGGTCGGTACCAAATGCTGTAAATGTGCATTTTGTATTTATCCAAGAACATTTGTGATTTTACAAACTTTCCACTTACATGTAAAAGTTACAGAAACATTTTCTCTATATGTTATTAGAAAACAAGACCTAAACACATGTTTCTACAAAGACAATCATCTATAATATTGTTTATTTTTAAAAGTTGTTCGTATTCTTACACATTTAAAAAGTACACCAGTCTTTAGCTAGTAGAGCAAATACATTCAGAAGATCTGGTTATTCAGAGTTGTTTGTGCATCCTGCATTTTATAAACAGTTTTAAAAGTTATTGTGGATAAAAAGTTTAAGATTAATGGAGCAGATACACCTGTGCAGCTTACAATCAGAATGACCAAAATGAGTAAGCAGCAGCTTCCTGAAACTCGACCCAATAAACGGAGCTCGTCAGGCAGCAGGAGGAAGGCGACATGATGGAGGATGTGGGTAACGTTCAGACCCCGACCTCCGTGGTCCCTGCAGGACCTGGCCCCATGAGAGCCACTTTCAGCAGAAATGTGTTGCTCTTATTGGGGCAAACAGGAAAATGTGATTATCACAAGCTGTGGTTTTTGGCATTATGCAGAAGAATGTGTTTGGCTGTAAGAAGTGGGAGTTTGTTAAAATGCAGACTCGTCTAGGAGCTCTTTTCCAGGTTTTCCTGCTTCCTTTTGCACATTCTAACTTCAAACTAAGGACACAAACTGAAACAGGTTCTTTCCCCTGGATGTGACTGAAGGTGATTTCATTAGAATGCTCATATTTAATAATTTCACAGGTGCATTGTAGAAACTGAGCCAGCAGCATGATTTCTGTCAGCGCCCCGGCCGGATTTTCTCTGTCTGACATGCTCGGAGTAAGAAAACAGATGTTGAAGTCTAATGTCTGGTTTACACATTAACTCCATCTCCATTCATCTCTCGTCCGCTGGTTCCTCTTTCCTCCATTAGTTTTCATTCCGGTCCTCAGTGTCTGCTCTTTTCTCATCGTTTGCTTCTTTTCTACAGTATTTCCTCTCAAAAAGCTCCAAAAGATTCCCTTTGGAAAAAAAGAACATGTGATGCAGCTGCAGGGTGATTCTGTTATATAACAAGGTGAGCTCACTGGATTGAATTAGCCCTAAACCCGTCACACACCCGATTTACAAACCATATCAGAATTCTGTCTTTAGATGGAGAAAAAAACGCTAATGTTTTGTTTTACAGTCCCCTAATTACTAAGTACTTGCATGGTAATTACTTAGTAAGTTAAAGTGTATCATTGTAATGAAGTGTAATTATTGTGTAAAGCAGAATTTACTGGGAATGATTAATAAAATAAAACTAGAACTGAACCTGAGTTACATGTTAATAAGTGTTTAAAATCTCAAACAATAATACACTTTCATTTACTATGTACTTACCATGTAAGTATTTCATAATTAGGAGACTGTAAACGAAAGCGTTAAAAAAAAAGTTTCAGCTGCATGAATGGCCAGTTTGAGGTCAAAGGTCAGACATTCTCCTTTAGAATTTTCTGGTACCGATCAGAATTACAGAGCCTAATGGAATTCATTAACACTGCCTTGCTTAACCCTCCCACTGTCCTAATGGGCGACCCTGTGAGGAAAGTTGACCATTGAGCAGGATTGATGGTTTATCCTTTGAGGTCCATGTGGCAGGGGTGAGGAGTGAGCACCACCTCACCTCTGCCACATGGACCTCAAAGGATAAACCATCAATCCTGCTCAATGGTCAACTTCCCTCACAGGGTCGCCCATTAGGACAGTGGGAGGGTTAAGATGTTTGGCTTCTTCCATCCATCCATTTTCCTCCGCTTATCGGGAGTCGGGTTGCGGGGGCAGTAGCCTAAGTCGAGAGGCCCAGGAGGAATCCTGACCAGATGCCCAAGCCACCTAAGCTGGCTTCTCTCGATGTGGAGGGGCAGCGAATCTACTCTGAGCCCCTCCCAGATGACCGAGCTCCTCACACTATCTCTAAGGGAGATTTGAGTTTTTGTGTCTGAATTTGCATGATGTGTTGCTTTTTGAGATCTTTTATCAGCCAAGTTCTCCCAATCCTACAAGTATGGCAGTAATCAGTTCTAGTTAGGATAGTTCAACTGAGTTCAGTGTTTCTATTTAAATGTCCAGGCTGATTTTTTTTGTTTATGTTTAATTTCATGCCATCATTTTAATATGCTCCAGAATCTGAACTACTAAAAATAAACATAAAAAGCACTGTTAATGACAAAACCAAATGATGCTAGAAAACAAAAGAAATCAGCCACTCTCTAAAGCGATTAAAGCGTCATTCTATTCAGATTATAAAAGACAGCATTACACATTATTGTGTGGCAAGCAGCATCTCCAAGTCCACATGTGGGAAAAGGCAGCCAAGGGCCTGCAGGCAGAGGCCCACACCTGGTTCTGGTAATGTCTGTGGAACAAATCTGTAAGAGCGTTTAGTGATCATGGTCCAAGTCCTCTGTGAAGTTTGGTCTGCTGATATTTATCTGTAACATTCAAACCACAGAACTAAATAAATAAATAATTAAAACAAATGAACTTTTCAGAGTTCCTGTTGTTATTAAAGGTGATGTTTGGAGGAAAAACTAAACATGAATGAACAAGACTTATAGTTATTATACCATCCTGAATTATCAAGGAAGTTTGGCCAGCTATTGCAAATGTGGTTAATAATGTAATTAACTCTAGTTTGCATTCTGGTGAAGTTCCAAAGAACTTGAAACGAGCTGTAATCAAACCACCTTTTAAGACACATGTTCTTGATGTTTCTGTGTTATAGAATTTTTGACCTATTCCCACACTTCCATTTCTTTTTAAGGTCCTTGAGATAGTTGTTTTTAAACAATTGTTAGACTATCTAGATGCTAACCAAATTTAGAAGTCTTTCAATCTGGTTTTTGATCAAAGCGTAGTACTGAGACTGCGCTTGTGAGAGTGTTTAATGATATTTACACTTACACTGCAGGCGACTCAGTCTTTTTATTGCTCCTTGATTTGACTGCGGCCTTTGATACTCTTGATCATGCTAATCTTCTTGATCGTCTTGAGAAGTGTGTTGGTATCACTGGCTCAGCTTTTCATTGGATGAGTTCCTATCTGTCAGATAGGTGTGTGACAGTTAGGATTGGAAGTTTTAGCTTGAGTGATGCCCTTCTTAAATATGGGGTCCCACAGGGCTCTGTGCTTGGCTTTGCTTTTTAATCTATACATGCTCCCACTTGGTGCTATTTTTAAGAAATATGGCCTTGACTTTAATTTTAATTCAGATGACTGTCAGGTCTATGCCCTCACTGAAGTTAAGGTAATAGTTCTATTGTGCCTTCGTGAGGTTAAGGACTGGATGAGCTGTAATTTCTTGCAGATTAATGAATCTAAGACTGAGCTAATTATACTGGCACAGACTGGCTCTGAGTGTATTTCCTCAGACTTTGGTGAATGGCCTTTCATATCGTTCAAAGGTTCTCGGCTTAATTTTGATTTAAAAGTCAATAATGTTGTTCGATTATACTTTTTTCAGCAGAGAAACCTTGACAAGGTGAAGTATTTTTTGCTTAAGAATGCTTTGGAGAAGCTTGTACATGCATTTATAACTTCTCGTTAAGACTTTTGCAAGAGTCTTTACCACGGCATTAATCAAAGGTGCATGTTTAGGTTGCAGCTCCCCGCTCCCCATGGGGATGGGTCAAATGCAGAGATGAATTTTAGTGTGTGATGATGACTATAGTACTTTAAAGTGCTATACAAATAAACTTTTGATTGATTTATTGATTGATTGATTGATTTTGCACACACACACACACACACACACACACACACACACACACACACACACACACACACACACACACACACACACACACACACACACACACACACACACACACACACACACACACACACACACACACACACACACACACAGAAAAGAGATGAATAGGTTAACTTTATGTTTTATTTTCCATGCAGCTGTTTACCTTTAGGACACATTTTTATGCAGAAATGAAGAAGTTATTTAGCCAAAAGATTTAAAATTTTTATCATCTCTGCAGAAAACAACCTTTTGGCTGGTTTTTCATATATATATAAGTATGTTTTTCATTATCTTCATAAGTAGTTTGATTTCTTTCTCACTTCACTCACCCTTTATTTCTGTGCAGTTAAATATAAATGTCTGAGTGCGGCAGATATTATGATCCCTGTGATCTCTTTCCATTTGTCTCTAACTTCCTTTCTGCTTTGTTCAGATTTAGCTCAGTGGCAGTCAGGAATGTGTGTTTACAAACGATGCCTATCTTTAAACCACACTGTGTGTGTGTGTGTGTTTGAAACAGATGTCCAGCTTCTGTGAAGATGGACAAATGGCAAAGTTAGCATGGATTTTGTTCCCTAATGTGTGTGTGTGCGTGTATGTGTGTGTGTGGTCCTAAGACTTTCAAATTTTTAAGTTAGTCATTTATAAACTGACACAGGGCACACACACAACCTCTCTACTGTTTGCTGTGAATCTGAACGGGTGTCCTTCTTCTGCATCCTGCTAGGTGGTCGCCCCTCACCACACACACACACACACACACACACACACACACACACACACACACACACACACACACACACACACACACACACACACACACACACACACACACACACACACACACACACACACACACACACACACAAGCATGAGGGTTATATAAGTTTTTTATGTCATCTTCAGAGGTTCAAAGAGCTTCAGTGGAACATTTTTCCAGGACCTCATGTGTTTGTAGTTTGTACGTCGTTAGGTCATTTTTAAGCTCTATTATTTGAAACCTTCTCTTTGCTAAATTTAAATTTCAGCAGAGACGTTTTCCTGTGACTAACATCCAAATGTGCTGATCCTGTTATGAGAAATCTACTGCAGAAGGAAATGTGAATGTGGAAGTTCATCATGGGAATAAAGAGGTAATCGTTATTCCCCACATTTTCCTGGAAAGTTGATGTGTGTGTGGGATTTCTCCAGAGTCCATTAAACCATGAGTGAAAAGCTGCAGCATGGGTGCAAAGGGTCCATCAGGCAGACTACTAAGCAGATATGAACTCCCAGAATGCTCTTGTGCTTTGAACATCTATTACTGTAGTAAATCATTTGCACCGTTTTTGGTCGTCAGAAGAGATTTAACGCGGTGACTATTTGACTTACAAACAGCAATCCGTCACCCTGTTTAAATCTACATGAGGCTTTCTAACATGAGTGAGTCCTGAGCTCTCCCAGTTCAGCAGCATCTGGCTCTGGTCTTAGTTTCCACTCTGGGATCCTTCCAGTGGCTCTGCTGTTTCCAGGAAAACTAAATCAGACCCCAGGAATGATGTCCACGACCGTCTGGACAGTCACAAAGAGAAGGGCAAAGCGTGACAGAGAAAAGGGGTAAAACTTGATAAAAAAAAAAGAACATTACAATCTTTTCAAACATTTTTATTATAAATTAAAACAAAAACTTTCATCAATGCAGTCATTATCAACCTTGTCTTGGGATTTGGCAAGTAAACAGTATGTGAAGTGTGCTGGGTGGAAAAATGTTTTGCACGAATGAACCTTCCTTCTGCATGGAGTTTGTGACAGAAACAGTAAGAAAGCGTACAGTAAATGACAAATACAGTACGAACTTTGACCTTATCATAAAACGTGTCCCGAGCTTCCTTATGTCATCAAATAAAAGCTTAATGCTCTTGTTGGATAAAAACACAAAGATCAGTCTGGAATCAGCCGACTGACCTCCAGGCTTTAAAAGACAAAGTACGAATTACACAGAAATGGTTTAAAACTGAGACATCTTAACTTTCACAAGAGCCTCGATCCTTTATGGGCTATTACTTAAAAGTGCCCTTTAAACTCTTAAACAGAGATTATTCTGTTTTTATTAGAACGCTAAAAGCTGTTTCAGAACAGAAAGTCTTTAAAAATAAAGCTTCACCAGGTGACCTGTCACCAGCACCAGTAAACAACACAAAACAACCTTAAACAGCCATGAAATCAGATCTTTTCATTTGATCAGTCTCATTTCATGATGTGACTTTTGAGGTGCCAGACGGTGCAGCTGTGTGAGATCACTCCACGTTTTGTTTTAGAAAAAGAGAACATTTTATCCATGCTAATGATTTTTTTAAACTTTGTGCATCATTGTCTATTAAAACGGCATTAAAACATAAAATCTAGAAGTGTACTGTGCGCTAATCCATTCCACAGGATGGAGATCACCAGGCAATCACTAAGTGACCAAAACTTGTCCCAAATTCAGATTTCTTGAGGGTCTTTCAGTAAATGTTAGTTACATGTTCTGCAAGCTTTGAAGCAGGTAAAAACAGCATGAACTGTCCCCTTTAGGTACTGGAGGGTGACAGGCAGCATGAGTCAGACTGCCTCTTCAGTTGGCTTTAGTGATTCCAGAGCCAACTCTTTAGAAAACCCTCACTGAGCTGAAGCAAACGAAGAAGCCCATTATTCTACTGGTCTCTGCAGGAAGACACGGTTGTTGGAGGTCTGTTAACGAATGCTCAAGAATCTTTGAGTCATTTCCACATAAACAGTTTTTTGGCAAGGTTCGGAGATCTGGTCAACTGTAGATCATTCAGTGGTTGCCCAGTGTGTGTGTGTGTGTCTGTGTCATGGAACTCAACTGACTGATCCACAGTCGTATACAAACCAATGATCTGTTGCAGCCAGGGTCTGACCTTCTGTTAGATACACATTACTAATGAACATCCATCTGACGATAATTCCTCTCATCACTTTAATAAGCAAAGATGACATCATACATCATCTGGTGTCCATTGTCCCATGCATACAGCTTCTTGTCCAGTGGGCAGTAAGCCACCTGGGAGGTGTGCATGTGTGTGTTTGTGAACGCCAGACTCGGCATAGTATGTGTAAGTGTGTGTGTGTCAAAGGCGTACGTAACGTTTGCAAAGCGCTGTTCCATACTATCCACGGCGTACAGCACGCCGCACACGAGGAAGGTGTTGCCGTAGCGACCGTGCCGGAGACCGGTGCGGAAGGTTCTAATTGGCTGAAGGTCTCTTGGATGGAGGTGGATGAGCAGGATCACTTCCTGGTGGAAGCCCTCGGTGTCCAGAGCTGGGTAGAGCAGCCAGAGGCCAGACTCATCCACAGCCAGCTCCACCTGGAAATAATAATAGAAATAAAGTTTAAGTCATTTCTTTTAGACCTCTTAGATATTCACACCCACCGTGTAAGGTCCTTTTGCACCCCCCCCCCCCCCCCCCCCCAAAAAAAAAGCATCCAACACCAATACAGATGTCTTACTTCAGTTTGTGTCCTGTGAGTTTGCTCCTCCAGGACTGCATCATGTAGCGTTGTCCAGGCAGACACATATCTGTGTCTCAGGTCGTATCGGATCACATCCCTGCTGAATGCTCGGTTGTAGTAGAACGCTCCATTAAAGACAACATGACCCGTTCCAGTGTATCTGTAGGGCAGCTTGTAGGAATTGCTTACCTGACCTGGGCAGCAAAAACACACAGACAAATCTTCAGGATATTCACAGAAAAATAAAAGCGTCCCATTAAAGTAACTAAACATCTCACTCTTCATGTTGGTGCAGTAGACTGCTCTAGACATACCTGAAGAAAAAGTATTTTACCTGATTTAAAAGTTTCCATGTCTCGGAACTCCAGGAGGCTGTCGCCATAGTGACCACTGGTGAGGTAGATGACATTACCATGGCCACGAGCATCTCTCATCCAGGCTCCATCACTGAGACCGTAGGAGTTCTGCTGGACCGGTTCGGAGATGCTGGCCACCGTGTCCTTACATAAACCTGAAGGACAAATAAAAGCGTTCTTTAAAAAATAAAGTCTGGATAGAAAAAATATCACAATCCTGTTTTTCTTGTATCCAATACCAAAACCATCGGATACGTGCTACATCCAAATATCAGCGCCAATTCCATTCTCTTTAAAGTTTAAGTTCCTCATTGAAAATCTACCTGGTTTTCTGGTGGCCTTTGGTTGGTCAGCAGGGCTCTCCGTCCAGCTGATTCGGCTTTTGGACTTTGGATGAGACTCTGCTGGCGTGGGTGGACCACTGGGTGGACTGGTATTGGGATCTGAGTACAAGGTAGTGGCGGGAGTGGTGTACTGAATGGTTGCTGTGCGTGTTTGTTGGGCTGTAGTTGTAAGTTTGGTTGTAGTTTGTGGAGTTGTAGGATGGGTTTGGCCAGGTAGTTTGATGGGAGTTGGTTTGGGTGTTGCTGTAGTTGTTGTGGAGGTTTGTTTGCTGCTCGTTGGAGAGGTTATAGGGAAGTCGTTGCTCTGACTATTTTGCTTAATGTTTGGTTCTTTGGAAAATGTCACTGCAGGTCCACGACTTTTGGGTGCAGATGGCACCTTGTCAAAGATCTTTGGGTCTCCTTCAGCTTTTGTGGGCTTTGAAGCTAAAAGATGAGAAAAATTACAGAAGAGATTGAACCGTTTTGTTATTGTTACCTAAGTGTCTGTTAAAGAAGTGCACTTACGAGTTTTCCCTTTCTCTTTCTTTAGCTCCTCCTCTCCCGCGTAGCGCTCTTCATCCGCCTTGTAAAAGGTTACTCCTCTAATAAACACATTGTTCTTGTCTTTGACTGAACTTTTAATGTCTGTCTCATTCCTGGTTGGCTGCTGCTGCTCCACACCATCTTGTTGCTGGTTTTTCTTTGCTTGACTTTCATTATTCTTCTACAACAGAGTTTGATATTAGTAAAGAGGTTAAAGGATAAACCCATGACAACATCTGTCTAGTGTCTCAGTTGGGTCGGGTACCTGCTTGTTGGTGTGGCCAGCTGCTCCGCTTTTAACTCCCAAACGCTCCAAATCGCTCATTTTCTTTTTCTTTTGCTGAGCCTTCTTGTCTTTTTCCTTTTCTTTTGCTTTTTCCTTCACACGCTCTTTCTCTCTCATGATTTCAGTCATGTTTCGGGTAAAATCCTGAAGTTCACACCCAGGTTAGCTAACATTACAGAGCTTATTCTGAAGCAAGAACTCATGTAGTGTTGCCAAAGTAAAAAGGAAAGCGAAGTAACCAGTTGTACAAATAATAATTAGCTTCAACTCGCCAAGACGTGCTCTGCTCTCTCCTGGATGCTAAATAAACAACAGCCTTCCTTGTCACGAGCCAAGATGGGTGAGTCCACGAATGCTAATTTTCAGTGTGACGTAGATCTGACTGGATTTTCTGATCGGAGCGTTTCATCGTCGATTTTCTATCTGCAGTTTATTCAGGAAATCGATGTAGAAGACTATTTTCACATTAAACCTGCATGTTAAACTCATTGATCACCGATTAGGCATCCATCAATTTTCCCGCTTTTCTGTGCAGGGTCACGGAGATCACGATCATGTTTAAAAACTAAAAAGTGAAAACTGTTTGCCAGTGAACTTAGTCTTTAAGGGTTAAACTTGTCACAGAAAGACCCAAACTGGTATTTTGTTATGAAGGATCAAAATCTTCCATCAAGAAAATGTTTTACTGTCGTGAATTAAGTTTTTTAAGTCTTTTTGGACTTCAAAATTCATATTTGAATTTATTTTTTTAATACATTTAAGATACAATATATTTTATTAAGAAGAGATAAACAACATCCAGCTTTAATTTTGCTTTTAAAAGATTAGTTGTTTTGGTGTTTTTCACCCTGATGATCAAGTAATCACATCCACCTACTTTTTCACGGTAAATCTGCGGTTTCTCAGCTAAAGAAACTTTGGAACATTGTTAGTTGAAACACAATTTTAGAGTTGCTTTTTTTAGTGCATGACAGTGTATAGTTTGTGTCCGGTCACCTTCTCCATGCGTTCGACCCGAGTCAGCAGTTTGGTGGTGACAGACTGGAGCTTTAACAGGTCCAATCCAAACAAAGAGCCTTCCAGCAAGTCCATGATAGTAGCCAGCTGGACAGAAAAACAAAAGATAAATGACAGTGGTGCAAAAGAAGAAAACATTCATTATGGAGGACATCCACAATCCAAATAACTTCGATACGTGGTGTATTTACAAAACCCAGAGGAGGACGGGTGTTTTTCTACCTTGATGTCATCTTTGCTGGCCTCCTGTAGTTTTTTAAACCTGTACTCTCCCTCACAGGGGTTGACAGCTGAAGGTGGAGCCATGCACACACACTTCTTACAGTCTGTTCCCTTTGTGGTTGTTTCAACAGTGTAGAAAGCCTGAGGCTGGGATGCTGAGTCGCCATCGTGGACACGGCTGCAGTCAGAGCGTCTTAGTGGTCGAACAACACAGCGGCACACACAGTCTGACCCCGATGACACCGTTTTTATTTTGTCATAATCCCCCAACAGCTGAAAGAAAAAGGAAAGTTTTCTGTTTTATAATAATTTTCTAGCTTCAGGCAGCTTGGAATAAAACATATTCAGCAAAGGCACAATAAAAAAAACGAGCTGCAGCAGTGGTGGTGAGTCTTTCTGGAAAAGATGGCTACAGGCGTTAACAAAAAGTAAGATTTTGGGTTTGGAGTGCTTACAGTTTGAAGAATGTTACATAATCAACCAGCAGAGGGATGCACACTCACCATATTGTGGTTGTGCATCCCAGTCAACATTTAGCTGACAATAAGAGAGTGCATTTAAATGTGAAATCAAGCTTCTGGCTTATTTTGCAAGAAATAAGTGGTGCAACTAAAGATTTCCTCAATCTATTTCATATGAAAAAGAACAGAGGCTTCTGAGGCAACACATGCCCTAAGTGCTTTTGTTTTTTGTGTGATGAAGATGAAGTTAAGTTTTTGAAGAAGCGACAAAAAGCAACTGAGATCGATGAACTTGACGAGACGGAATAAAGTCTCCTGAAGACAGAAAGGTTAAATAGTCCATTTGTTTTGATTCTGGCATTTAAAAACTTACATTTAAAACATTATTTCCCATTTTATTAGTTTCAAACAATTAGTCAACTGATTAGTGATGTAAAAGGTTCTTGGAGGACAATCTTAAAACTGACTTTTTTACTCTAGAGGTGCCTTTAAAAAGTCAGAAGGTAATCAGAATTGATTAATAAGTGATCATTCAATCTGAAATGGCATATTTCCTTTTTGAGTCCATAAAGCACCATTCTGTAAACCCAAGTACTAAATCGTCCTGGTGATAATATATCCTCAACACGGAGGCTTCATGAGCTCAGCCCAGAGCTGATAGAGCCTGTTGAATGAGACGAAACAGTTTCAACAGAAGAGAATATCATCCATCCATCCATTACTCCATTTTCGTCTGCTTATCCAGAGTCGAGTCGCAGGGTCCGCAGCCTAAGCAGAAAGGCCCAGAATTCCCTCTCCCCAACCACTTGGGCCAGTTCCTCTAAGGGAATCCTAATTTGTTCCCTGGCCAGGTGAGAGACAGTCCCTCTAGCGTGTTCTGGGTCTTCCTTTAGGTCTCCTCCCAGTTGGACATGCCTGGAAAACCTCACCAGGGAGGTGTCCAGGAGACATCCTGACCAGATGCTGGAGCCACCTCAACTGGCTCCTCTCGATGTGGAGGAGCAGCGGGTCTACTCCCAGCCCCTAAAGAATGACCGAGCTTCTCTAAGGAAGATAGAGGGTCCCGAATTTAGAACACTTATGACTATCATGCCCTGAATGAATGAGAGATTACACCAACGTAAGACCATAAAGAGTTCATTTCCTTCTGGATCATTCCATAGCAGTGACTGAAGACATATGAAACCCATTGATGCTTAAAAAAATTCATATTTTCTGATGGTGCGTTTGCACCTCCAACAATAAGTTTATTTGGTTGTTATAGAACCAAGATATTTCTGTGTCTACAGATCCTGAGCCCAGAGTACTCAGAGGAGTATGTTGAGATCAGAAAATGTAATTTTCTTGGTTATTTGAGATAAATTAGAACTGACAAAAAAAAGTTTCTGCAACTCAATTATATACAGAAGTCAGAAATTGGTATTTGCTCTCAAAACCATAATCGGTGCATCTCTAATTCATTCTGCTAAATAAGTTGAACCATAAAGTATTTCACCTTTTGTACTGAATAAAAATACGTTTTTCATCTGCTGTTGTGCAGTTCCAGATAATACCCAAATGAAAGTAAATTAACTCATTTTGTCATTTGAAGTAAAATGGTCTCCACAACTAACCTGACTGATGATATTCTCCTGGTTGTCAAGCTCATCCTCCAGAGGCTCGGCGGTGGGCTGCATCTGCAGACCCCTGCCGTCCACAACCGGGGACTCTTCTCTGGTGACCTGGGGCTCACGTGCCCGCTGACTCTCTTCTGCTTTAGCCGTAGAAGAGATACCTTTGTCTGGCTGACTAAGCTCCACCGATCCGGTCACCTGCAGATTCTCGCGGGGTGGGTCCGGGCTTGCATCCGCCGTGAAAGCACCGAGTCCCCGTAAAGAAGAGCAGATGATCAGCAGAGGCAGTATGAACGTCATCCTTCACCGGAGGAGACAAAACAAAAGTGGTGCGTGGAAATATTTAGTCTCGAGCGAATGACGCAACAAACCAATAAACTTCACAGGAACCTGATCAGAATATTCTGCGGTGCCGTTCCATAAAGTCGATAGATTAATAATCCATTAAAAATATATGAACTGATGAATTATTTCCGACAATCTGCGCCGGTTGACTAGACGGGACTGAGGAGCTTCAGACTGTATTCAGGTTGGATTTTGAAAACGTAGAACTGTGTGTGAGGATGCCAGCCAATCACAACAGCCGTCTCGTATTCATTAATAAGACTGGACCAACGGTTGATTGGATTGAACGGCAGATTCTGATTGGATATCGTTAGCCCCATTCAAAAGCCTTGAGGATGCAACTTGACAAATGTAACTAGAAAAATGTGCATTTATTGCACAAATGCTGTTTGAATGCTGTATAGCTGAAACTGTAAGCTGAAGCTGCTGAACAGCTGAACTGAAGCTGAAACTAAGCAAAACTGTCAAAATGAGCTGAATTTCTTGAAAGATGTAGAAGCAAAAAGCACCAACATGCAAATAAAGCACAAAAAGTAAGCGAATAAAGAAAAATAATGCTAAATAGCAAAAAACTGAAATCTGTGAACATTGTATAAAAATCTGAACAGCTAAAATGTCTAAACACCTGTTATTTCAGTTGGACAAGTTTAACAGTTTAATCTTTACATTTAGCTGAACTGTGAAATTAGCATTGTATGCTGAATTCAGAAACTAATTGCTGAAGCTGCTGAATAGCTGAAGTGAAGCTGAAACTAAGCTAAACTGTCAAAATGAGCTGAATGTATTTAAAGATTTAGAAGCAAAAGTCACCAACAAGTGTAATAAAGCTCAGAATATAGGTGAAGAATGGATAAAAATGCTAATCAGCAGAAAACTTTAATCTTTGAACATTGATTAAAACTCGAAATGTGAAATGCTAAACAGCTGGAATTTGAATGAGAATAGTTTAACGGGTTAGGGTTACCTACCTGCACATGCCTTAATGAAGCTGTAAAAAAATCTTAATCTTCTTTTTGTCCACTTTGAGGTATTCATATTAAGGATGTGAGGGGGGGGGGGGGGGGGGGATAGAAGCAGAAGAAGAACTTGGATTTATAAAGTTAAAATAGTTACTTAGTAGAAAAACTTCCTCTAAATTCTTTCAAAGACTTTGTTTTGTTGCCATGACAAAATGGTAAATTTGCACCCTCCACTGACAAAATTCAGAACAACACTTTGGTTTCCAACAACATTTAGAAACGAAGGAAACAATTTAGACAGTGTCTGCCTTTTAGTGGTTGACAGCTGTTACTGCACTTTTAGTTTTACCCATTTAGAAGAAAATATTTTGGCCTCCTGAAGAATGTTTCTGTCCGTCCTATTGGGAGTATTAATATTAAGGATGAGAAAGAGAAGTAAAAGCAGAGGAAGGACCTGGATTTTTAAAGTTAAAAAAGTTACTTTGTACAAAGGCTACCTCTAAATTCTTCCAAACACAATGTTTAGTTGCCTTGACAGAACGGGGGAATTTACGCCCTCTGCTGGCAAGAAACAGAACAACACCTTGGTTTCCAATAGCATTTAAAAAAGGGAAGCTGAGGAGTTGCTGCCTCCAGTGTCAAAATGCTGGTACTACACTTTTGTCATTTTTAGCCATTTAGAAGAAAAATTTTTAGCCTCTTTATTTTAAACTCACTGTTTTTCATCTTTTTGAAAAGGAAATGGGAAAGAAGTGGTTCAGTTTGAAAGCAACACAAACAAGAAAAATGAATTAAAAAAATAGTTTACCAGTTTTTTATGTTTAGCTCCAGATCAACGTCTCTGTTTCTGTTCAGTCCCACCACCAGAGGTCTCTACCAGGACAGTTGTGACCTGTGAGTTTGTGTTGGTTGACACCTTTCATCTTACCTGCCCCGCCCAATTTACCACACACACATACACACGCACACGCACATAGAGCTACAGAGGATGGAGGAAATGAGCTGAGCTCAAACTTCAGAGAAAATCCCTCAGCTCATGTGCTCCTGAGTTAAGTGGATGCAGCTTTGTTAGACAAAAAGGAAACAAACAACATGGGAGCATCTTCTTCTGGCTTGTTGGATGAGGCCAAAATCAGCCAAATCAAAGGTAATGTAACATTAACTGTTTTTATTTTATTTAATTTTAAGTTTGCAGGAATGTTTTTGTTTTTATGTATCTTGTCTGGAAAAGTAACTGCTGGTAAAGCAGTGGATTAAAAAAAAGGACAGTTTTCAAAAATGTAAGCTGACCATTTGATTTTTAGTTCTTCAGCTGTGGAGATGTGGGAGGCAGATTAAAAACTTTATTGGTGAGACAGTTTGAATGTTTGTGACCAGAAGTTTCAGCAAAGAGGCAGACAGGAAACGTGGGGAGGGGTGTGACATATCAGCTCAAGTCCTGAGAGTTACACCGAGGACACAGCAGCTGCATGGTAGTTAACCACCAAACCACAGGGATGATTTCAGGGTGAAAGGACAAAACTTCAGCTGAAATGTTTAGTTGTGAAAGGAAGAAATGTCACTCAACAGTCCAAACTTAATGTTGTTTGAATGTGAATGAGCATTTGTTGGTTTGTTTATTCTCCATGTGTACATTCCTATATGTGTTATCAGCTCAAACACATCCTGTCACTAATCTTCAGTCCAACATAATTACAGCTATTTCCAACTATTATATTATTATGGGTTGTCTTAATTGTGTGTGTGTGTGTGTGTGTTTTCAGTTTGTGAGATGAAAGGCAGAAAGAACATGGGATATTGCTGCAAACAATTAAAGCTTCTAAATGACGATGGATCCATTTTTGTAATCATGTAAAGTTCACTTTCCCAAGATTTCTAACAACATTTCAAACTTCCAACTTAGGCTTAGACTGAATCTAGTTGGAGCCACAGTTGTTTATTCAGACATGTGTCTGTTCTTCCAAAAATCTGTTTTTAAATGTTTCTTAAAACCAAACTCCCAGAGAGAACACATCACCTCCTGACATATTTAATGTACTAACACTAATCTCTTACCTTCTCTTTGAACTTCTGCTCCATACCGTCATTTAAACAGAGGTTGTTCTAACTGCATTCCCAGGCCTTTTACTATTCGTTAGCTTGAACGTAGCTGCCTACACATCCACAGAAAAGGTTAAAAACAGCTTTTACCTTGAAGGACTTGATCTGTCATTTATTGCAGCATGCCGAGGTTTTACTTCGGAATAAATATAATACAGATAGTGTAGTGAACAGTTTTTTTGTTGCTTCTTAAATCATAAAATAATCCATTATCAGCTGTGAGGATGAAGTTAAATCATAAAGATTTAACCTGCAAAACCAGTTAATCTGGTTTAGCTTAATAAAAGCAGAATATTTACAGAGTAAACCGTTTAAATTTCTTTTTACCAGAAAGAAATAACATTTCTAAAGTTGAAATACAATTACAGAGTTCATAGATGTACTTTCCTTTATTTAAAAACCGATTTTAATTGTATAATTAACTGAATCAGCTTAGTTTGTATGACGGAATAAAATTCGACATTGTTTTGGTTTAAGTTGGAACTGGGATGAACATAATTTGAACTGGACCAGCTTGTTTTGTGTGTACAGAGAGATTATTTTGTGTCTTGGGTCTATGTGGATTACAAATTAAAGCTAAACTAAACTGAAATCAGTTACGATTTGGTCAAAGAAATTAATCTCTTCTTGATCAAGTGCAACCAGAAGGGAAAGAAAAAAGAAAGAAAAACCATAAAAACAAGATGAAATATTTTGAAATACACTCTAAGAAAAAAAATGTTGAATTAACTTATCTTAATTAACTTGGTTTCACCAAACCTAGTTGCTTAAAAGTACAGAGTAATTTACTTTTTCATAACATTTTTTATTACTCTTTACACTAAAGCAACTAGGTTTAGTGAAACCAATTGGCATAACCTGGTTAAGTTAATTCAACATTTCATTTTGTAGAGTGTAGTTCTTGCTTTCAACCATTTGGTTAGATTTATGTAATTCTAAAAATAAATTACAGTCTTTTCTTAGTAAACCATTTATTTTAAAGGAATTACACTTCAACATTTGCTTGTTAGTTCCTTGTTTGAGGAGAAAGTTTAACATAAACAAGAACATTGCACCATTCATTTGCTTTAAGCACTGAAAACACAACTCCGTTTTACGATTTTGTTCATTTTGTGACTGAATAAACAGAATTATGACTGTTGTGTTTTTCAGGACTTGTTGAGAAAACGTTCTCGAGCTTCAGCGTGTTTTACCGTCAGCAGTATTCTGTCACCTATCTCGGACACATCCGGCAGGAGGTGGAGCCTAAGAAAGAAGGGAGGGGCCTATTGCTCAGACATAGGGTATCTATCATGTTTGTACTAAGACCTGGATAACTAAAATCAAGATTAACAATGTAAGTTATTAATGTTGTTGAAAGTATATTCTCTCTCTCTCTCTCTCTCTCTCTCTCTCTGTCTCTCTGTCTCTCTGTCTCTCTGTCTCTCTCTCTCTCTCTCTCTCTCTCTCTCTGTCTCTGTGTGTGTGAAGCCTAAATATGATGCAGACCAGGTACTGTACCAAGGGACTGTTAAGGTCTCCTGCTGGGACGAGCAGGGGAAAAAATGCAGGGAGAGATATGTTGTCCTGAGAAAAGACTACAGAGTGGAAATCCATGACAACATGGAGGTAGAACGCACACACTGAAAACACCTCACACAAAACGCACCCCCTGCTGAATGACTGATTTACATCTATCTAGACTTTTAGTCATGGAGCTGCAGCTAAGCTGGTCCTCCAGCCAGCCAGAGGGATTGTGTTCACCAGTGAAGAAGAGTCCAGAGCTCAGCTGGAGACGAACTGCGCTGGGATTCTCAGTGGTAATGAGCAGAATTACACGTGTTTCTGGGACACATTTGATAATGGAGGAACCATTTATGCAACTGATCTCTCTTTGATCTTTGACTTTGACTTGTACTTCATTTCGAACTCACGTAAAAAACATTTTTTATACACCACAACTCGACACAAAAGCAATCAAATAATAAAGTCCGAAAAAGAGTAGCTAGAACTTCCTTCTCACTTATTCTTATGAACTTATCTCAAAAACAAAATTAAAAATTAAGAAACATATCTATATGAAAATAACAATAATACAGAGTAACAAATAGATTAAACATACTCAACAATCAACTTCTTGTATTATTCCATTTAACCCAGCTCATCAACACAATTATCCAATAGATGTTTTTTGTATTACAGAATCATCTCATTAACAGGACAGATTAGTGGTTTGGTACACCTCATGGGTTTGGGCTGGCAGTTCTTAAGTTTTGCATTTCCCTCATGACCACTGTTTTCTGCTGTGAAACAGGAAGTTGTGAACATTCACCACACGACAAACCCCCCCCCCCCCCCCCCCCCCCCACATGCTTATTTTGTAATCCAAAAAAAACCCCTCACTGTTGGGAAGTATGCCCTTTAGTCACAAGCTTTATTATTAATAATTTTCACGAGGAGAAGCACATAGTTTATAAAATACCACACAAAACATAAAAAGTAAAAATTACCTTAAAATGACTGAAACGAGGACCATCGTACAACCATCATGGGCTGGCTGGTCATCGTATAATCCAGGGCTTTTATGAGAAACTGCTTCAGTCTTAATCTGAAAATGTCCCAGTCTGGAATCGGTTTCAGGTCCTCGGGTTAACGCCGAAAAAGCTGTCTGACTGAAAGAGGTTTTACAAAAACATGACTTTGAACTCCTACTGGACGTGCTATGAGTTACTAAAGATCCAGATCTGAGAGGAACCACAAGGTCACTGAGCACCACAGCAGCTTGACCTTTCAAGCAAAAGAAAATTCATAATGCATAAAAAAATAAACTTGGTTGTCAAAGTGCATCATCTTTAGTTTCTGAGGAAAATGACAGTGATGAAATCTAACAGGTTTTCCATCGTGATGACACGTCGCCTTTAGAGGCCTGGACGTCGTAGACCATGAGGTCACCCTGGAGAGAAAGTCATGGAGATGTGAAACTATTTGCAGCAAGAAATGGAAGAAAATGTCTAATTAGTCTAATGTATAACATAACTGAAACTTTTGTTTTTACATTTTGAACAAGAATCCAGAACAAAACTGACTTCTGAAACCTGCTCATTCATTTTTTTTTTTTAATTACAATCTGATTCTATCCCAGATACGGGCCCTGGAAGAAAGCGCACTGAAACAGTTTTTGTAACATTTAAGATAAGACATGACTTTAAAACCATGTTGCAATGGAACATGGCCAAAGGATGGTTGTGCAGACACGTATGTGATGTCCTTTCCAGCCACATACACAACTGCATCATCAGCATACATTTAAAAACCTGCACAGAGAGAAGCTTCAGGCAAATCTTTAATCTACAGTTTGAACAGGAGAGGACCAAAAATTTAGCCTAAAGAGCAGAATTCCTCTAGCCTGGCAAGCCAGACTAAATAAATGTATTATTTAGTCTGGCCACGCTCCATTGACGGCTCTCGGTTGTGGGGCGGGTTCTACTGTTGTCTTTCAAACGATCTCCGCATTCCACTGGACAATGAATGTGACATACTCTTGTTTCACTCTGTTGCATCATCCCACCCACCAGGCATATAGAGTGCCCTGATTGGCTCACAAAGCGGATAAAGCTGTGTGATTTGTTCACTAAGCAGATAGAGCACTATGATTGGCCCACCATTATGGACCAATCACAGCTCTTTATGTGTTTGAAACCCCTCTAGAGAGCTGTGATTGGCTAGCCAGAGTCCTGGTAGGAGCTGCGGAAGTTCCAGTGGAGCATGCGTAGACCAAACTTTGCAAAGCAAGAATTTGGTCTAGTTCACTAGGCTAGAATTCCTCTAGAAACGTATATTAAATTCAGATAAACTTTATTTAGACCCATGGACGTAATTTTCACTTTAGAAGTGGGGGGGGGGGGGGGCATGGGGGGGGGGGGGGGGTCTTTACAGTATGCTCTAATGGGAAACGGGCTTCAACACAAATGGTTGTTTTCTGCTTGGTCCTAGAGCTCAACCAGTGTCAATTAAATATAGTGTAATATTATTTTTGGATGGTAAAAAGTGCAGGGGCCAAAACTTGACTTTGGAAAAAGTGGGGGGGACATGTCCCCCCCCCCCCAAAATTACGTCCATGTAGACCTACTTCACATCATTTTCTGGCCCTTTCCCCTCAACACACTGAGGTCATTGCTTTATTGGCCACATTCAGCCATTCCAGGGAGGGGTTCAAAAGCTGTTGTTTGAAATATTTGCAGACTTTGAACAACTGTAATCAATTTTCTTTAAATTATTTCATTTCTCCTGCATTTTCCTCACGGCCCATAACATGTCCTGTTTTTTCTATAGAACTGTCACTCATTTGTTTTGTTGTGTGTATTTGGGTCCAGGAGTGAAGGAGGACTCTTTTTCGGTGGCTTCGTCTCCAGACGGCTTTGCCGTTTATCTTCACCTGTCTTATTCAGGCTACACCTGCTTCATGTTTCAAAAGGAAGAGGAACGAGATCACTTCCTGTCTGGCCTCGAGACCTGCATTAGACATTGCAACCTTGGTAAAACATAAATATGTAATGCATTTTCATCATATATGTTGTCGGGGGGTTTAAAATCTGGAAACAGGATGCAACATAGTTTTTTTTAAATCCACACTAAGAATCAAATCGGTTAATCAAACTGGAAACCTTCCAGCTGTGGGTAACAAACTTTACCACGACACAGCCATACCAGCCTCAGAATAAACACCTGCTGCACTCGAGGGATAGTACCCAGATCATGTTTGTATTTATGTGCTTCTTGGTTCAGACCTGATTTTAACTTCATAATAGATGCTTGAAAAACCTCTGTTAAAAATCTTAAATTGATTCAAATGGATTGTTCTGTTATATTCCGGCTGAGGGTGGAGTCATGTTTCACGTGTGGCTGAACAGTAAATGACTGAAAACACTACGTGTGATGAGACGCGAGGATGTAAAAGCATCTCGGCGTGCAGCAGCAGAGTGCTGCTGCTGGCTGGTGTGTTTTCAGTTGCCTGGGTGACGGATAAAAACATTAATGCAGCTAACTTCCTGTGTGGTTTGGTAGAATAAAAAAAAACCTGGACCCCTCTACAGTCATAGGGTTGCTACATACAGTCATCTGCTCAATGATCTCCTGAACGGTTAAGGGGAATCGCACAATTGACTACAAGGAAGTATTAAAGCATTGCAACATTAGATGTGTGTGTAATCATCCCAAACAGATTATTAATCCTAAACTCTTATTTTCATAACTTTTTCGACTGTAGCATGTTGTACAGCTTCCTCACAGGAAGCATGGACGTTTCTAAAACTTCTTTTATTTTCTGGATAAGAGGCATCAAAATCACCATGAAGTTAAGAGTTGATCACCATGACAATTCTACTCTGTAGTACTCAAACTTTAGATTTTATGACTTCCAATTAAAATAAGTCATTATAAATCCAGTTATTCCCATGACCAGTAAAACAAAGCATATAGCTTCTGGGGCTGCATGAAGCATATAGTGACCTCCCCAGTGGCCTAGTGGGGGGAGTGTCCGCCCTGGGACTGGAAGTCAGGGTTCAAAACTGGTCGGGTCATACCAAAGACTTTAAAAATGGGTTGCCTCCGTGCTTGATGCTCGGCTTTAAGGGGTTGGATTGCAGGGATTAAACCACCAAATGGTTCCTGAGCGCAGCCATTGCTGCAGCTCACCACTCGTCACAGGGATGGGCCTAATGCAGAGATGTAATTTCACCAGTGTGTGATGACTAACGGGACTGTAAAGAATTTGGATGGACGTGATCAGTTCGTGCATGTGAGGACTTCATCAGATAAACACCAAGTTTTCACTTTGTCATCAGTCAGTTTTTGGGTGTAGTATTACTCATACTGATGCTGACAGATGTACTTCCTGAAGGGTTTCCGACGAGCTTTCTGTTCCTCAAAATTTCACAGTTTGGCAAGAACCATGTGCCCAGCTGCTGCAGGAGAAATGGCTCGATGAAAGACGTCATCATGATGATGATGATGTTTAAAAAAAAAAAGGGATGTGAACGCACACAGAACCTATTTACAGAAAAGAGATTGTTAAACTGAAACTGGACAGAAGAAAATGTTATAAACAGATTTATAGCTTGTAAAAGTAAAATAGGAAAAAACAATATAATAAAACAAATGAATAATGGTGTTTGAAGTAAGACACTGATATCCGAAATGGGACATTCAGATAGGATTGTTACCCAATTCTGCCCTCCACAGACCCCTGGAAGGATCCGTCCCACGAGAGCCAGGCATACGCCCAAGCCCTCCATTTCTACCGTCAGGACAAAGGATGCTATGAATCCTGGGAAATGCTGCTGGGCACTGAGGAACAAGTCAGCAACCCAACACACATCACATTGTCTCTCTCTTTCCAGTCCCTCAGCCATTTATCTAATAAACTCATGTCTGTGTGCAGGCGCTGGCCTCCCAAGTGATGGAGGAAGTGTTGCCATGGTTACAGAATCAGCTTCAGTCCAAACTGAAGGGCAAAAAGAATGAAAGGATACGACAATGGCTGGCAGTGAGTGAACTAACCAATCTAGTTTATAAAAGCAACTACATCATCTCACTTCAAGTTTATTTAGTGGTTTCTAAATTCTGATAGTACCTGAAGGCACCATTGTAATCTAGAGACATGTCTGAAGATGGTGTTGTGTTTATGGTTAACCCAGGTCATACGATAAAACAGCCTCTGCATAAACCATAAAGGTTGATGTTTTAGGGTGGTGGTAACAAAGCTGTTTCCCGTTATTTATTTAGGCATCATCTAAGCGCTGCTTCTTTTAAAATTCAAAATCATAGTGTTTATTTTCAGAACTTGTATTTTTATTTTTTGAAAACCAACATGGATTTGTTGTCCGATGGGGAAAAGCTCTAGACCTGTGCAGAAAATTAAAATACAATTAAAATAAATTATAATAAATATGAATCTGACTAGCTCTAACCCTAACTTCTAATTTGATGAACAGCAAATAGCTAAGTTTTATTTATTTTTTTAATCAACACAAAGAGGTAAAGTAAAATTTAATCATAAACTAATAGGTCAGTAAAAGTGTTTTGTGGTGAAAGTTTCTACATTTTCTCCTTCAGTTAACTCGCTGACCTTGCCTTAAAGATAATTGTTAAAATCTAAAAGATACCAGGTTTATCTTATTTATGCCTGTTTTCCTCTCTGGCGCCACCCTCTGGCCAATTACGGTCACACAAAACCATGGTGACAGCGATCCAAGTATTATTATTATACAGTACCAATGTATTTTTCTCTATATTTCGGCTCCATTTCTTATAATAAATCACAATTTGAGAAAATTGCTCAAATGGTACAAAACATCTCAATCTGATCAAGATTTAAAGTTGGACCAATTAAGACCCATAGAATAACATCAATTTCTACATTCAATTTCTACATTCAACTATGTAAAGCCACACTTTAGTGCTATCTAATACATTTACTGATGATGAATTGTATGCAACAGCATTTTATAAAGGTGCTGTGGTAAACTACTAGTGTGTGTGTGTGTGTGTGTGTGTGTGTGTGTGTGTGTGTGTGTGTGTGTGTGTGTGTGTGTGTGTGTGTGTGTGTGTGTGTGTGTGTGTGTGTGTGTGTGTGTGTGTGTGTGTGTGTGTGTGTGTGTGTGTGTGTGTGTGTGTGTGTGTGTGTGTGTGTACACAGACGGTGCAGGCAACCCACATGTTGGTGCTGGAACAGCTGACTGCAGGTTTGGAGGCTCTGAAGGAGGAGTGTCGTCAGGCAGCATCAGCGAGCCAGACACTGATCAGGTCAAATCTGGACCAGATAATATCTTCTCATGACTTCCTGGAGAACAAAGTCAGAGGTAACATTTCTAGATGCATACTTACAGAAAATCAAAATGTTCAAGGATGAAATACCACACCCAAGGCTACAGTCGGAGTTTCTAGTCTGATGAGTTTGTTTCACCTCCAGCCTGCATTTGTGAAGAAGCAGAGGAAGTGTGCGGTGAGTCGATCGTACCCTACATGTCCTCCATCCTTGAAGCTCTTACAGAGCACATTGGAGATGGAATCCTTGGGATGCAACACACACTGCAAACACAAATGAGCTCTGCATTTTCACTCACAAATGGAAAGGCAGAAGGGACGACAAAGGTGAGGAGTGTCTGAATACCTTCCTAAAAAGTGCTTGCTGTTCCATTTACTTGAAAGTTGACAGTTTACTGTTTTCTGAAGGTGTGCGTTCTCCAAGTCTTGTCCAGTCTGCACTCCATCAGTCTGGACCGGAACTATAAGCGGGTGGAGAGCCTGGCTAAGAAACTGGAAGATTTAAAACAGAGATTTGGAATGGGCAGCGTTCAGAGACTTGTTCACGCTGCACATCTGGAGATGGAGCAGGTTTGATGTGCAACCTTCAACTTCAACAACTTTGACTCAAAAATGACTTTGAAAACTAAGGTGTGTGTGTGTGTGTGCGTGCGTGCGTGCTGCAGTTGCTGGATAGTGCTGTCTACACACTAGAGCAGTTCCTCCAATCATCATCCAAGCTGCAACCCTCTCAGGTTCCTGTCAAGATGGAGAGAGCTAAAGAAAGAGTTCTCAAGGTTAAAAAAAACATCAATTCAAAGATACTTTCAGATATTTACAAGCTAAAACAAAACTTTAAATCCTTCAAACATTTAAAAACTCTGAGCAGCAGCTGGACTATGACAGCAGGGTGGTGAAGAGGAGACTCTATCAGGAGGCTCTGCTGGAGATCACTCTGCCATCTCTCGTCAGGAGGATGGACAGCAAGTGGAAAACTGTAAGTCGGACACCGTTTTGCAGATCGACTGACTCCATTGAGCTTTACATGTCATGGCGTGTGCTGTCTGTGCAGGAGCTGCAGCAGTTTGAGCAGTACATCTTCTCTGACTACAGCAGTTTCATTCTGGTTCACAACGTCTATGACGACGTCCTGAGGAGCATCCTCAGGAAGGAGATACAGACAGGTAAATACCTTGTCTTGTTAGTTTTGATCCTGTTTAGAAGATGAAAATATGTAGAATTTCTAGACAGTCTGGAAAAGATTATTTGAAAAATTACAAATTTTCTTTTGCTTTTTGTCACTAAAATGTTTCATATCAACAAATTTCAGTGTCAGACAAATGTAACCCGAAAATGAAACTAGGCATATTCTCCTAGCTGACTTCCTCTTCCTCCCGCAGTGGTCCAGGATGCTGCCAGTAAGAACAGCAACAACCATCTGCTGGACATGGCCGATTTAACCATCAGCCAGTACAGTCTGCTGGGACAGACGCCTCCTCGCTCTGCACCAGACAGTCCAGCAGTTCATTCTCAACGCTCCTCCTCCGTGCCCGGTGAGGACCAAGAGACCACTACAGGGGTGGAGGAGGGGAGGAAAACACCTGAAGTTTCCCCTCAAACTGATGCAGAAGTCAAGGATGAAACTAGATTTGATGTTGGGTCTTCTCCATGCTCTGACCAGAGCTCGTTGATTCAGTCACCTACCATTATTGTGACCCAACAGTTTGATGAAAATGCAGAAACTAGTGAAGAGGCCAAAAATGGAGGCGATGCACAAACATCATCAGACATGACAGCGGATAGATCTTCCAAATCAGATGGAGCTTTGACTCAGGAAGTCGATACCACTAAATCCCAGGCTGAACCTGAATTTCAAATCCCCAAGACTCCTGATCTGGCTCCTGTGGTTTCGCTCCAATCATCAGCAAATATTCAAGCTGAGTGTACTCGGAGTGGTGATTCCACATCATCTGAGAATCCAGCCACACCTGACCTCTCAACCACCAACCAAACATCAGAGGAGCCTTCCTCACCTGGGACAGAAGGTCCAAAGAAAATCACTCTCTGTTGTTTAAGTGATGCGATTGCTCCGTCCTCCGCAGAGCCTGCTGTGATGCAGACACCGATCCAGCAGCCCACCGACAGGGCCGTCTATTTGACGGGACAAATAAAGGACAACTGGGAGATGGAAAAAGCAAGGGAGGAGAAACGGAATGAGGCAGCAGAAAAAGAGATGACTGAGGAGGAGAGGGATGGAGAAGCCCAAACAGATGAGTCCATCAACGAGACGGGAGGTGGGATGAATGGTGAGGTGCAAAAAGAAGGTCAGGTCGAAGCAGCAACAGAGGAAGATAAATCAGAGGAAAAGGAAAATAAATACCCAGAGAAGAGAGAGGATCTCCAAGGTCCTAAACCAGATGCATCAGAGCCAGAGAGCAACCCTGAGGCACCGGTGGACAGCGTGGGGATCATCAGAGACCTTGTGACTGAGGTCACTGAAGTGGAGGAAATAATCACTCCTAAACCACCAGCAACTCCATCAGCGTGACATCAGAGCTTCCGACGAATTCTTCCACACTGATCAACATTACTGGTTATTAAACGGTACCTGGGACCACAGTTGTAGCCACCTTTACGTTGTTTGTATTTTGGAGAAAAACAACTATTTTAATTTAGCTGTGATCCTTTTTTCAGACTGTAAACTTCTAGTTTTCTGTTTTTCTTGAATCTGTAACTGAATAAATGACCTAATAAAATGTAAAGCTAACTGAATGAAAACAAAACTCCATTAAGTGTAAAAGCCAGAAAATAAATGACAGGAGACAATTATAACATGAGATTAATATATTTAAATAAACCTGAGGATACATGACATGAGATAGAACATGCACTAACTGCTTTTATTTACAGTGTTTTGACATCAAGGCTACTATAAAAAAACAAAACAATTAACATGCATTGTATTTAAAACTATGTGCAAAAATGCCTAAAAGTAGCATGTGTCCTGCAAACAGAGCATCTGAGACCCCTAGAAGTGGCTGGTTTAACAGAGGACTATTTTTAGTGATCCCCATATGTCCTTAATGGTCATTGCATAATTTACAGAGATAGACACAGAGTCTCTGGGTTGCTTTTTCCACCAAATTCAAACTCAGTCGCTACTTAGACAGGTGAAACTGAAAGAGGTGCAGGTGACCTCCTGCAGGGGTCAGCAAGGCTCCTTTCTCATCAGTGAAACTTTACAGTCTTAAATTTCTTCCTGCACACCCGATAAAGCCAAATTTAACTTAAAAGGAACTTTGATGAGACTACTGAACCTCTACTTGCAGCTGTGTCTGAGTGAGTCGTTGCAGAAGAGTTCAACTTTGAAAGAAAAGCATGAAATAGGATAATTTGTTCATGCAAACAAAACCTGACCAGCAGTGTGCTTTAAGACCTCAAACAACCCCGATGGCTGAAACTTGTCAGCTACATTTCTGACTCACGCTGGCCAAGATTTGTGTGGTTAAGACAACTGTAAGACGTCATTTCCAGCTCCAAGTCAACTAAACCGAGACATTTGCCCCTCCCACCATCACCAAATAAACACTAAATAGCCAATTAAACTAAAACAGCTCTATTATAATGTTATCTATGTCAACACTTGTTTTAGTTTTCTTATAATTATAGGAGTTCCCCTTAAGACCACTAATTTAGTGTTTCTTTTTATTTTCTCGTTCTGAATGATCTGAAGTATCAATAAATATTAAAAGAGAACAAATGTGCAAAATAGGACGACAAAAACAATCAAAACTTTCTGTTCATATTCAGAATATTACTGGCCACAACAGTCAGGTAAAGTCAGACTCAAATACTCATCTGTTGCAGATAATGAGGAATGAATGAATGAAAAAGCTGAGTGAATATGAAAGTGGATGTAGCCTGCAGCTTTCCTTTTACTGCAATCCAAAACATGTATTTTAGGGTGTCTGCTCACAGTCCGAGTAAAGGCAAGGAGAACTGGAGCTGTGATGGAACTGGACATGCAGGAAGCTGGAAAGACGGGATGCGGTACATCAGCAGGACCAAAAGTGTGTGTGTGCTCTTATGAGTACTGAGAGAACAGCTGCTCATCAGGTCTGAAGCCGTAAGCAGTAACTGGTCGTCCAGGTGATGAGCTGGTCTGGTCGAAGACGTCGCCCACATCTCTGATCCACAAAGACATTGATATTAATATTACTACACATAAGAAAACTTCCACTTCAGCTAGAAGGTTAGTGATCTTGTTCATTTTCTGATCTGGCTCTGTCTGAGGTCGACTCACCCTGTGAGATGTGAGTCTCCATTCTGAGACTGCAGATCACCGAAGAAATCTGGGCTGACTGAACCATCTCCTGGGGTTATTCCATCTAGAAAAGCATTTAGAAATTTGAATGAGCTGTACAACCACTGCAGCGTGATAGCAGCTGCTAAATCAGCACAGACACCAAAAGCTTGGCAATTGTTTTAAAAGTAGCGAGACGTTTTCTGTGAGAATTTAGTAGCGTTTGTCTAATTATGTGACATTCTCATAACCGGTTATTCTGTATACCTTGTGAGATCAGATAAGAAGCCTGATTGTGTGGGCAGGTGACCCAGAAACATGAAGAAACCACAAACTTAAAGTTTGACCTGATTACATCACTGGATGCAAAAGGTGGACATGAATGTTGGAGCCACAGGAGGCCACAAGGCTAACATCTGGTCTGAGTGGCAGAAATAGACAAGGTCTAAAAAAATGCTTTTAGTGTGAAATTTGCACAAATAGAAGAATCTGCTGCAGCGCTCATCTGGTTTCTACCTGCGCTGTAGAACAGATCAGTCCTCTCGTCGTTATCGTACAGATACGGCTCAGACTCGTCCACTTGGCGACTCTCGACCATGTCCAACCACTGGTTGTTGTGGAAACGAAATTTCTCCGACTGGATTTTCCTCCCCCACTCCTCGTCGTACTCCTGTATATATACATATATATATATAAAACATCTGCGAGTAAAGGTGGAACAGGGTGAGGATACGATGTGCAGGTTCACTTACAGCGATTATGTCGAGCGTGTTGTCGCACACTTTTCTGATCTCGGTGTTCTTGTCGTGCATCAGGTCTATCAGGTAAGCGGGAGCCTCTGAGGAAACACTTAAAGAAAACTAGCAACCTAAAACTTTAGCTCGCATTAAAACCCAGTGAGAGGCGACTGCTGCAGAGAGCGCCCCTGGGAAGGATACGCGTGTCTTTGATGATGACGTCCCGTGTGGCTTGGTGAAACACCATCTGATAAAAGACGTAGACGATCTGACACACAAACTCGTCATCTTCTTGGCGCGCTGCATAAAGGACAGGACATGTGGAGTGAGAGTTGATAATAATCCAGGGAAAATGTCCTAATCTGGTTTTCTTTTTTATTTTTACCATTCAGTAGTTCAATAAGGGCAGGAATGATGCCAGATTTAGCCAACATGACAGCGCAGGCGTCATCCATGGAAACTGTTCCAATCATTATGACCACCTCCAGTATGAGGTCATCCTCTGCCGAGTCTGAAATATGAACAGAGAGGCTTTCTGGCAAACTGAGACAACGGGTAATTTCTTCTAATTCTGTCTTCTGAATGATTTAACTGATACCTGGTTTGAGATTGTCTTTGAGGAAAGGCACCAGGTTATATTCTTTCAGCAGCAGCTCCCAGTCCAGGTCAGGAATGGTGAGGTTGGCCAACGTTCCCAGACACTCCAGGATCCACACCTCCCCTTCTACAGCACGGATCTCTGCAGCCAGATCTCCCACATAGTCCTAGTGAAGATTACTCAGATCATCAGACAAAACAATCCTTCTGTGAAGCACGAGTGATGCTTTAGTTTGTCAAAATGACAAATTACTGTGTGTCTCACAACGTACTATAAACAGCGGCTTGGTTGGACCATCATGCTGTGAGATGTTTCTGATCATCTTCATCAGAAGGCAGTCTTTAGTCTTCAGAGCTCGCTTCATGAGCATCTTCAGTCCATTTCCTAAAACCGGAAAGGCACCAAGCAAAAGCTGTTCAGTTCAAATACAGATTTAGCCCTGAAACATCAAAAAACCAAATACCTTCACACATGAGCTGTGCGTTCTTCTTGTTAGCAGACAGGTTGATGCAGATGGAGATGAGTTCCACATCAATTTCCTCCTCGCCGTGGTCGTAGAGCATTTGCATGAGCTGGTTCCAGACACAAACACAGATTTGGCTCATCCTCTGGAACGCTCAGTCACTATGAATGGAAGTGGATCGTGGCGTACCTGAGGGATGCAGTCGGTGTAAACGAACATGCCTCTGAAGCGGTCGTCCATGCTGATGTGGTACAGGAGGCGCATGGCTACCTGTCGGTTATTCTCATCACCTGCATCGTAACAAACGTGTTCGAATATTCATACACTTACTACAATAATAATAATGATAATAATAATAATAATAATAATACATTTTATTTAAAAGCGCCTTTCAGGACACCCAAGGTCACTTTACAGAAAACACATGATAAAATACAATAAAACAATAATAAAACCCAAACAAGAAAAAACAAAGAGAGAAACAGTTCAAGGTTGTAGGCAGATTTAAACATGTGTGTTTTGAGTTTTGATTGGAAAAGGGTAAAACTGTCGATGTTCCTGATGTCTGGGGGAAGTGAGTTCCAGAGACGGGGAGCAGAGCGGCTGAAAGCTCTGCTCCCCGTCTCTGGAACTCATGGTAGCGAGACGGGCAGAAGGAACCGCAAGATGGATGGAAGAAGAAGATCTGAGTGAACGGGATGGGGTGTGAATACTTATAAGGTCTACAACGTAGTTCCTGTCAGACAGTGGGTTTGACTTCTGTCTCATTTCCGTCATTTACTCAGGAAGCTGTGAAGAATCTGTGTTTAACGTTACCCAACAACGCTGTCAGTTTGGGCACCAGCCCGACTTCCACCATCTTGGCTCGAAGTCCGGAGTCAAACGAGAGGTTGAGCAGCAGACGTAGAGTCAGATTCAACAAATCATCGTGTTCACAGGGAATCAGACGAGCCAGTCGCTCCACGGTGTCCAGCTCAGCCTGCGTGCCACACACACGGTCACATCAGAGCTGGACTAATGACAAAGCTTGCTGACTTCTTGTTAAAACAGGCAAAAGTAGTTAGTGTAGAACAACTAAGCCCTCCTGCTCACCATGTCGTTCTTATTCTCCAGGAAGATCGACAGCTTTTTGAGGAAGGAAACCACCAGAACCAGCAGCTCCTCATCATCACGGTCAAGAACTTTGACCAGCAGTCCAACAATGTTTTTGTTCCTCATCTTCAGCTCTGTCCTGGTGTCCTCAGCGAGGTTCAACAGCAGGTAGAGAGAAACTAAAAGGAAAAAAAAATGAACATAACCAAATAAATTCTATTTATAAGAGGTTTTAATCCCATGAAAATTTAAAAGGAAAAATCCTGTTTCACCTCTGAGCAGCTGCTCCTGCTTAGCCAGAAGGGCTTGGTATTTTCTCAGCGTTTTGTCCTGGTCTCGTCTTAAGGAGCCATTTTCTGGCGCAGACTCACGTGCACAAAAGATAGTCAAGGGCAACAGAAACAATACAGAAGACCTCAAAAAAATCGATCATCTTAAATTAAATGGACAAAATGATAGCAGAAAATGGATATAAGCTTTGTTTTTCTTGCGTAGCTCCTCACGCCACATGTCATGCCTCTTCAGTTCATGTTCCACCACACTCATACAAAGCGCTCCGATTTTATAGTGACTCACTGCAGCGTGAAACTGGGAGAAACTGGAGGAAGGGATGTGAAAGGATGAATCATTTAGAAGTACTGAAGGACCATCACGCCAGCTGTGCATCAGGGTTACCTTGAAAAGCAGAAGAAGATGTAAATGATAATAGTAGCAAGCTCTACGCTCTGTTTCCAGTCCTCTCTCAGAACCCGGGCCAGCGCACCTAAAGCTGCTTCTGTAGACACAAACAGGGAGAAATTCACGCTAAACAACTAGAGGATGGCTGCGTAAGCATGTTGGAAGGAACATGTACCGTTGTAAAGCAGCTCCTCCAGGTTATCTGGGTTACGGGCGAGCTGCAAAATGAGACCAGAGCCTCGGATCTTCTCTGGGAGGCCTTCATAAAGCAGCTCAACATACTCATCCATCTTTGTTATGCTAGCTTCCTCGTTCAACTACACACGAAAAATAAATAAAACAACAAAGAAAGAAACACACACTGTTACACCTAACACAACGAATGAGGAATGAAACGAGTACTTAACATCATTACCTCCGTTCCCTCAAATGGTGTCAGATCTTTAGGCTTCACTGTTTTCTTCTCTTTCTTTTCCACTAAAGGCAAACAAGAAAAGCAGTGAATGTTTTACATCCTGCTTCTTAATGTCACTGTGCAGTTAGTCCCTCTCATACTTTATTGGTGTGTTTGAACAATAAATCAGAGCTAACAGGTAAAAGCTTCTAAACGTACCCCCTTTGGCCTCCACTGGGGAGGATTTCCTGTTCTGTAGGTAATAAAGCAGCTGCTCCACCTGTGGCAAGCGGGAGGCGGGGATGAGTTTACACTCCTCTACCACTTTCCTGGCCAAAGCGGCCACATCTGTAGTAGGAGAGAGGCTTTTCACGCGGATTCTGAAGGGGAAAGGAGAAGGATGACACATAACATGTTACATAAACCAGCAAAAACTGCCATTAACTGGTTATTTCTAATAAGATAAAGAACAGGGGCAGATGCTGTCAACGATAAATTAGGAGCTTACTCACATTTTTTGTCCCTCCTTGCGTTCACCCAGCATCGGACCTCCATTCTCCCCCAGGATGGATGCCTCCACCTCATACTGGACCACAAGGGCTTTCTCAGTGGGATGGACATCCAAACTGCCTGCAGTCACTTTTCTATGAATGATAATAAACAGTTTACGCCTGTGGTTTTAGTTTCCAAAGTAAATCTGAGTTAAATACAATTATTTCCATAATGCAATTTAAAGAGCAAGTCACCCCCTACAAGAAACTTACTTCACTCCCTCTTCATGTTTGAAAAATGCAACAAATGCTGTTGCCTAGCAGACCGAGAGGGCGGAGCCACTAACAAATACACACACACAGGCTCACAATGGCATTGTGACATCATAATAGACCAGTTTACATCATAGCATACCTCTTAGCCAATAGCGGTGGCAGATTTAAATTCAAATGCAGTGCAGAGTTTTTACCTGACAACAGCGCAACACTGACAGTTTTAGGCAGAATATTTAAATTTTAACTAAGATGCACTGAAGTATCAAATTATTGACGACACGTGTCTGCAGCACAGTTAGTTACACATTTATATAGTTTATCAGCAAGAAAAAGTTGATTTGGGGGTGACTTGCTCTTTAATGTTGAATGCAGTAATAAGCTCTTGGCAGTGACAGCTATTTTTATTATATGTGTTCCTGGATCAAAAGCAGTAGGACACGCCCATGCACAAACATAACAAAGACTGCTTTTATTTAAAAAAAAAGCTAAACCTCGTCAGCTACAACACTGAATCAAATGTCCCGTGATAAACCTAGTTAGTATGATTTATTATCCGGCTACATTGTTTTTATGTTTAACAGAATCTTCAGGGTTAGCAGGAGCCCAGATTTCCCAGCATTCCTTCCTCTCTGGAGCAGTTCCACTGATTATTACAGTTAACAGGAGGATTGCGACTGAAACGTTTCTTCCAGAAACAGATGCAAGAAAAAGCACATGATACTAAAATCCTGTTGTTGGTCTCTCGTTCTGATGAGCTAAACGCTAACGAAGCAGGGGGCGGTGATTGTAGAAATGCTTTTCAGGAATAGTGTATCTTATAGGTGACAGCTGTGTGAAATTCGTTTATGCCGAATGATTTCGTGGCTCGGGATAGTTAATAATTGCCTATATTCGAAATAAACAGGAATGGTCCAATCTTCAGTCCAGCGTCGGAACCTTAAATTCCCCTAAATTTTAAACAAGACATCGGGTTCAACCTCCAAGCATACAGCTGCACACTAAAACTAGGACGAATTCAAATTAAAACAATAATTAAAACACTCTTACGTCTCACCCAGAGATTATTACTTGTCATCCCTAAAATTATATCAACATGGCTAATTTCAACGGCCAGTACGGTTCTAGCCGCACCTTTCAACTCACCGTTTGAGGTACCGCGCGTCATCCTGCATTTTCTTCCGATTTATGGCTTCAAATTTTTAATTTAACAATTTAAGATCACCTGAAGGATCTCCTGGACAAATAACAACCATTCGAGTCTTTTATTTATCCTCTAAAGACCGCTGAACCTCAAGGTATTCTTTTTCTACTTAACAGGCAGCCTTTAGAGAACACTACTGCCCCCTAGTGGACTGGTTATAGAAATATATGATTCCAACTCTAATGATGTAATTAAGTATTTATTAATTTAAAAAAAAATAAGAAAAATTTGGCTAGAAATATATAATAACTTTACTTTTTACACTTTCATATTTTGTGTGTGTCTTTTTGGGGATAAAAGGTTTAATCTAATATTTACTCCTTATCCTATGTTGCTATTTTGTGCATATTGTTTTGGGGTCAGATTTTTTATTCCTTTAATGCCTCTATGAACTGGGATGCACATTAAGCTTCCAGCTGTCACTCTGAGAGGAGCTTAAAATTTGTTTTGTCTAAAACCTGGACTATATTTGACTTGTTTTGAGATGGCAAAACACGGATGCTGATAAAAATGCTAAATAAACCAGAACATTTAGAACGCTTTGTTCTCACTTCAGAGCCACTCGGATTTAATGTATAAATATTATCAGTGCTTCCTAAATTACTATTACTTTTTTCATTTAACCACCTCTATACTGAGAGGATGTAATACTTGGTAGTGCACAGCAGAATTTATTATTTTTCCACATAAATAATTTCCACGTTCCCAAAAGACATCAGTTATCTTTTCCCTCTCGACAGTAAAGTCCTCCTGGTTCCTCTGTGCCTTTATAATCACTCTGAGAGCAGAAAGGTCAATTTCCACATGAGTCTCATGACTTTAATTTAGCTTAAACCACATATTCACATCACGTAATGCAAACCATTACACAAGCCTTTTAGTTAGAGGAATTATATTTTCATGGTAGCAGCAGCATAATGTTCCATATGTTGCATCTTCCTAATCTGGAATTAATGCACATGGAAATAACTTCCTGTTTTCCATTTCAACAGACAGAAAGAGTTCGAATAAATATCTTTTATTGGAGTGCAATGATACAAGTTTCTGCAAAGCAGGGTTTCTGTACGGACTTCCTCACGCCTACATTCTAAGGCATCAGCATGAGTATTGTTGACTGTTGGGTGCTCGTTCTTTAATTTGCGTGCATGTGACCTGATTGAAACACGTTTTATGACATTCTCTGTCTTTCTTCATCTTCTACTCCACGTCTGCTCCATCGTCTTCATCATCCGCACACGCAGTGAACTCCTTCTCTGGTAAGAGGCCGTATTCATTGAGAAACGCCTCCACATCTGTGGCAAAGAACTCTTCATTGAGGTGTTTGGTGACAGCCAGGAAGTTACCCAGTAACTCCCCGGCCTTGTAGACCAGCAGGGTCGGGAGAACCTGAGATGATTGAAACAATAATCAGATTGTTTCAGAAGACAATTATTTATCAGTGACAGTACCAATACATTCTAATGTCTCGGTTTTTAAATGTATTTTTAATGAATATTGATAATTAATATGTAGTTTTAGGCTGCAGAAACACCAAACTAACCAATCTAAATAAAAATTCTAAGTTTTATTAGAATTTCAGGTATTTTTAAAGCCTGCTGCTGTTGTATTTTCAGGTTTTGTGCAGGACACAGCTTCTCTGTTATTACAAGTTTTTAATTTTATTTAATGGACAGAAAGCACGTGAATTGGTCATGATCTAATTTTAAATTCAGAGTTGATTTCTCTTTAGAAAAGGCCAATCTTGGTCTGTTTGTTTATTGTGTTTGCAGTCCTACAGGAAGGGATATTGAAACGTTCATGGCAAGTTCTCTCCAACAGCAAAACCATAAAACTCAGATCTCTTTCTTCTGGGATTTAAAAAGCAAACTCATTTTAGATCAAGTCCACTGCAAAGCTCTTGGGCTTCGAAAATGTTTATTCTTACTAAAACGATACAGCTAAAACCTAGAACACTTTAGTAATGTCAATCTATTCTCAAAATTACGGTCAACTAAAGTATTCATTTTTATTCTTTGTTTTTATTTTGTAATGCACAAACCTCAGAGGAGAAGCGCTCTGCAGCACCTGACGCCACAGCATCAATACGACAAAACTTAACAGTGGGGTACTCCGCTGCCAGGCACTCCAGACTCGAGTTCATCTGCTCACAGCCTGATAGAGGACGGACAAGTAAATGAGGTTAGGAGGCAGGGACATGTAGCACTGTCACAGGAAAGAGGAGCCCGACCGTTGACCCCATGCTGATAAATGTGGACCACCACCAGGGTCATCCGATGCTCCCTCTCTATCACTTCCAGGAAGGCCTCTCCACTCTCCAGCTCGTGGACACATTCAAACCTGGGACCGAAGCTCAGACGCTCATGCATTTCCTGCATGCACTGCTTTCTGTAGCGTTTCAGGCAGCGCTCATCCTCGTCTTTGATCAGTTCGTACTCCTGAGCGCCCATCTGAATACAGGAAGTACAGCTCTTCTCAGGAATCTGAGCAGATTATTAAATCTGGTTTCCTGCGCGTCCTTTCTCACCTTTCTGTTAGCTCTCTCCTTGTCGTCCTCCCGAGGATTGGACATCTGTCTGAGCAGCTCTTTCTTTTTTTGAGGGACTGTCTGGTCCACACTGTCCAGTTTGAACCTTCTCCAGTCATTAATAACACCCTTTGGACCTGGACACAGCAGAGATATCTGTTAGAGGTATTTGACCATTAAAAATATATTCATGCTTTCATTTACTGAAATGTATTTTTAAATGAGTGGGCAAGATAAATTAATATTTCTACATTGAGCTGTGATACATAACAATAGCAAGCTAAATAGTTATTTTAGTATCTCCAACCTGTGTGATTTAACGGCAGCTCCTCCTCTTCCTGTGTAGCAGCAGACATCCTAGCAGGTGAAATGACATTATTTAAATGTGAAATCTAGTCAAGATCAACTATTCTTTACAGAATTTGACAATTCAATAGTCATTCTTCATCACATGTAAACCTCTTAAAAGTACAAATCATTCAATAATCTATCAATTATATCACAAGGGTTCTGAAACGCAGAACTGGCCCATATTTGAGTAAAGAATTGGCCTCACTCAAACTTAAATTTTAATGCTGGATGCTGAGCTTGTTAAGATGATGACTCTAATTGTGTTTTATTGTGTACTTTGTATGGTTACACGTCTAAATCTAAAGTGTTCCTTATGTTTGCATAATTACTCAGTTGTCAGAAACACTTACAGCCAATCAGGCTAAAGTTTACTTATCAGATTAGTCTGAGATTATGGTTAGTCTGACATGCACACACGCTGAGCACATCTTATATGTGTACATGTGTGTGTTGTGACACACATGTATGAAAAAGCTAATGTATCATTTTGTTATCAATCACATTTTACTTTTGTGTTTGGATGTTGTTTTTTCTTGACATGGAGAATATCAGCCTTCAATATTTTGACTAACATTTAAATTTGCCCTTATATTGCTACAACATTTTTAAACAATAAATTTTATATTTGAGGTTTGAAAAAATGAGAATTAAAATGAAATATGAATTAAATGTGAAATGGTACACTGTTCTCTGGACTCATAGTCTTCATCGAAAGATGCTGAGGTGATGATGACAGTGGGGTCCTGATTAAAGTCACATCACTCAAACAACCGATCAAGCTTATGAGTCAGAAGAAGCTAATTCTTTCTTGTTACCAAACCAATGCATAGCTGCATTTTCTTTATTCTAACATACCACCTTTCTATAAATAAACATGCACCCTGGCAGGCGATGTTTTTTAACACTAAATCTTCTGACTAGAAGGAGCATAGCACCGTTTTTCTAATAAGATAACAACAATTGAAATAAATCTCTAAATAAGTTTTCTTTATTTTACTTTAGCATGAAAAAATAACCCTATTACTCTTTTTCTGAAACAGGAACAAGCACGGTTAGGCTAAAATACTTACATTTGATATAAGATGTACAATTGCTGTCTAAATAAAAGAGTTTTTACCTTTGTGGCTGAGATGAGAAGTGTTGTCAGGTTTTAGTAACGTGTAAAAACGTATCTCCTGCCTGTCTGGGCATCCACTGACTGGAAAACCTGCAGCAAAGAGGCGTACATACGTTTGGAAAGGGGTGGGGGTGGCAATGAGATGAGGGTGTAAGCTTTATCTCAGGCGTCATCTTCACTGCCACTGGAATGTGATGTTGTTTCATACAAGCTGTTGACCAACTGTGTGTGTTAAAAGCAAAGGTTTTTAAAATTGTTCTTTAAATTCCAAGAGAAAATAAATATTAAAACAACACAAAGTCGTAATCCCCAAAAAGTATCATCAACTAAGTTTTGAAGAATCAAGAAAAAAAAAAAACTCGCTGTTTTGGCATTTTTTATGTTCTGTTTTTTCAGTCGTCCTTTTCAAATTCACATGCATGTTAAATATACGATCATGGACCCTTTCACGAGAGTATTAGAGGCTGTCAGCGAAACTATTAGTTGGATTTAGTCAAGATATTCAGTATGGTGATGGAGAAGTGGTTATAGTTTTAATGTAATAATGAAAAGATGACATAAAAATAACCGTTTCTCACAAGGAGAAAACTACTCGTCCCTGGGTGGGCTCGAACCACCAACCTTTCGGTTAACAGCCGAACGCGCTAACCGATTGCGCCACAGAGACAACTGCGCACAACCCTCACAAATACTTATAATAAGAAAGTACTAAAGAAAGCTTTGCTTTCAGTTCTGTGAGGAAAACATTTATTGAAAGCTCACTACATAGAAACCTTTCCACTGATACAATCTTTATAAACACATTTTTCTCTTATAAGTAAATTTTAAACACAAACTTTTGAAGCCGTTTATCAGCGTGTTCAGAGACTGACTTTCTGGAAGTTAAATTAAAAAAAAATTTTTAATCTTTTTTTTTTACTTTCTGGAAGTAAGCATTTACTTCCTGACGGCCTGGCAGTCGTTTCCAAAATGGAGGCTGGCTTGACTGCTGTCCGTTACGATTGTATACACTATTTAAATTACACGGCCTACTTCAAAGCTACACAGAAACATGTCACTCGTTACAAAATGAAACGAACTATAATTAACACTCACTGTACAAAACCGCTATTATAATTATTTAAGTACCAAATGCAGTTATCAACATCGCATAGCAGAATGGCGCAGCGGAAGCGTGCTGGGCCCATAACCCAGAGGTCGATGGATCGAAACCATCCTCTGCTAATTATTATTTTTCATCATTTATTTGTTTTTTCTTTCCTTTATTTGCATCAAGCTAAACATATGATCTTAACACGGAAAGTGAAGAAACGAGCAAACCTTAGAGTTCAGTTAACTGAAATAATCTGCTTAGATGTTCTTTCTTTAAAAGAAATTAATGGTTCAATTGTTTTTAATCAAAATAGTTTAATTGTAATTAACGAGTGAAGAACAGTGAAAATGCTGTATGAAAATGGTGTATGAAAATGGTGTAGGAAGGAATGTCAGTGACTGTTTTGGCAGATGATGAAACATGTGATATTTAAAGTTACTAACAAACCTCAATGTCTTCTTCTAAAGGCAAAACAGAACAAAACATCCAAAAGTCCTTTATTGAGCTTTACGCATCCTTTTAGCTACAGAGGACCTGTGGTGATTCAAATTATTAAGGACACAACTGTTGGTGAGCATTGATATTTTGGAGTTCAGATTGTCTTTACTTTTTCCCCAGTAACAATCTCCTCCTTGATCTGTATTTTCCTCTCCTCCTTTTTCCTCCTCTTCCTCTTCAACTCCACTTTCTTCATCACTGCGCTCATCTTTTTCCAGCTGCAGGCACAAGCAATTACAAAGGCTAATTATCAACTTCTGCTTAAATAATGCTAAATTTACTGTCTTACAATCTGTTCTAGTCTTGTGGCAGCTTCTCACCTTGCCTTTCAAGAACTTACAGACCATACGCAAGATCAAGCATGCCCAGAAGATGTGTAGAACCTGCAGCACCATCAGCAGGATGTTAAAAAAGTAGTAGCCAGGGAAAGGCTCAAACGCCTCCATGGACAGTAGCAAGGTGTTCCGAATGATTCTGTAAGAAATCAAAGAACTGAAGTCCTTTTCACCCACACTAAATAAATATATAGAATAAAAAAGGAGGGTAAAAAGTGATCTCACTTGCTGGGGAAAATCACCAGTCGGGTCACAAGGAAGACCACAGCAAAGACAACAAACAGAGAATCGCACATCTTCCTCCAGCCGGTGCCGTAGTTGAACATTTTAGCTGACTGTAGAATGAAAAATTGGTAATAAATAAAAAATCCATCATAAAACTGCAGCATCATGTAATGCAAATAACCTAGAGGATAAAAAGCATAGCATAGCATAGCATAGCATAGTTTATTTATATAGCACATTTAAAATGCAGCATGGGAGCTGCCCAAAGTGCTGCACAGCACAGGCTAAAACAAAACACAACCATTACAAAAAAAAGAGTTGGATCTGTTTTAGATTTGGAGGGTAAATTCAGTTCAGTTCAGTTCATTTTTATTTCAGACATTTCACACATGTATCATTACAAAAGCTGATAAACTGGTCAAGAGAGAGAGGACATTTCTTAAAAACATATGTAGGACCTCTAACAATATGTCCGACGAGTCATGGAGCAGCATCACCAAGGTGCCGATGCGGATGTAGTTGGCACAGTAGGAGAAACTGAGCAGGTAGATGGTAGCCAAGTGATGGATCACTTGTTCCTTAAAGTCCTGGCAATGAAAATTTACACAGAAACATGAATAACCTTCAAGTGTCAACAGACCTTCCCATCCTCCAGTCACTAATTAACATGTGCGGCTGCGCTTTCTCACTACAGCAGGAATAAAGTGAGTGAAGCATGAAATATAGGTGAGCTGGAGGTAACAGTCCTTTAAAGGGCAAATGCAACATTAATCTGAGAAGGAATGGTGACATCTTCACCTTCCGTTTGATGTCCACAGAGATGCGAAGCAACAGAGAGCCATAAAAACCCAACTCCAGCATGTAGTACCAGAAGTGAGCTCTCTCCATGGGCTGATGGGGAGGAAGTAACAGAAGGTTTATTAAACACTGCCATATTTTATTGTGAAGATTTAACCTCCAAATCCTGAGTTATAATGTCTTGAATTAGCAATTTTTACAATTTGCTTTAAAGTGACAGTGTGTAGTTTTTACCATTAATCTCTGGAAATATCCATCAAAACGTTGTTGTAAATGAAATAAAAGATGCCCAGTTGTTGAAAAATATTGGCGGTTTCATAACACATAACCATAAAAATCTGTTCTAAAATACATGGAGCAGGTCTAAGTATCTGGGCGGCCATGTTTCCTTCTACGGAAGTCTGTGAGGGCAAAATGCATTTACTGATTTGTAACAAATGGTTACAAAACTTTCACCATTAATAAACATTGTTGCTTTACACATTTACCTCTTCACTCGTTCAATTCAATTCAATTCAATTTTATTTATATAGCGCCAAATCACGACAAGTCGTCTCAAGGCACTTCACATAATAAACATTTCAATTCAGGTCAGTTCATTAAGCCAATCAGAAAAAATGTTTCCTATATAAGGAACCCAGCTAATTGCATCAAGTCACTGACTAGTGTCAGTGACTGTACAGCAATCGTCATACTAAGCAAGCATATAGTGACAGCGGAGAGGAAAACTCCCTTTTAACAGGAAGAAACCTCCAGAGAATCCCGGCTCAGTATAAGCAGCCATCCTCCACGACTCACTGGGGATCGTTGCCAGTGATGAGAGGGAATCTGATGTTCTTCTTATTTTGTTGGAGGTTGCACTCCCAGGGATTTAGGTATCTACTGCCAAACCTATCGCCTGGGAAACCACACACTGTCACGTTAAGACTTTAAATAAACTAAAGCGTACATTTGTTCTGGTGAGTAATTTGCTGATTTGAATAGTTTTTTCTGTTGATTAGACATCGTATTATGTCAGATTTTTGCATTGCTTTGTTGGTTTATCATCTACATGTGCAGCCTAGAGTGGAGCTACATTACCCCTCAGACTATAAACTCTACTTTGTGCACTCAGGCTCCTCCTCTGTAGCTGCAGTGAGATAACAGATAAGTTTCCAGTCAAGTGCTGGAGTTGCTCCAGGTGTATTAAATAAAATTACTTAATGAAGGCTGCAGGAATCAGCGCACAGCAGCTTCTGGACTCTAACTACACCTCCGTTAAATCAGAACATGCACTATAAATCTAGGGTCTAACATCTAAACCAAAAGGATCATTTGTTTATTTCACAGAAAACATCAGAAATAAAAGAGTACACTAGAGAGATGCTGCATGTTCACCTGAACTGGATATCGCCTCCAACATTCCCTGTGATCCCAGAACCAGGGCCTCTGAGCAGGGAGGGTGAAGAAATGAACCCAGAACAGGTAGAAACGCATGGAAGAACATAGTAGCAGTCATTTTTTAAATAAAATTCATTAGCTTTAACATACAAATTTCAAATTTGAGTCAAAAATGTGTTTGTTGTTACTCACGTCGACTAAGCAGGCCAGTCCAGCCATAAATGCTGCGAGGTAGAAAAAGAACCTCCAGCTGTGGACAGATCAGAGATTTTAACCAAATAAAATGCAATTTAATGACAGGGGCATGTCAAGAAATTCACCTTGATGACTATACTTACGCAGCTTCTGCAAACTTCTTGGTACGACTGGGCCTGTCTTGGTTCCTGCGGCGCCTGAACCAGGTTTCAATCTGTCTCTGGGTTTTACCGCATGCCAGCATCAGATGGATGATTTCCCTCTGGAGCAGCAGAAAATACAGAAGAGAATGATAGAAAAGAGAAGCTGACAGATAAAGGCTGAGTAACAGGTGGGGTGATCTCTGTGTATTCTCCAGTCTCAACATGAAAGAATTAAGCATATTTTTAATCCTATGCTATAAAAACCTAAATGAACTTACCAAATGAGAGATTTTATTGGAGAATTTCAAGTTGAACTACATGCCACAGGAGAGTGTGTTTGTTTCCCCTCGGGCTAAGTTTGTTAGCATCATGCTGCTCACATGTCAGGAAATCATCTAATCAACAACTAACTGAATATTCTTGCATTTGAAAGGCTTGAAACCAAGAAACTGGAGAAAAAGGACAAGATAAAACTGCATGTTACTGTGGAGATCATTCATTATATAAAGCAGCTTTTCTCTCTGCGCTCTCAAAAACTCAGATTCCCACATCTATGGCCTTATGGCCGACCTGATCAGCCAAATCAGAGCCATCTGAGCCCTTACACCTGCGTTAGGGACCCTAGAGGCTCCAGAGACTTTGCCGGTAGAGTCAGAGTGCTGGCTGGCACAGATGCAGGCTAAGTAGTGTTAGATTCTGCCTCTCACATGCTGAACATCTGGGCCAGACTCACCCTGAGCTATAGCTGAGTATGCTTGCTACTCATCCTGGTACTTCACTAACAGTGGTGGAGTTTGCTTCTGGGCACGAAGCTGAAACTAAACGTTATGTTTATTTTTTTAATTCAGAAGTATCAGCTGATCCACACACTAGGCGGAGAGAAAATCTATTAAATCAAAAAATCCTACAACTTAAATTTTCTATGAAGACATATCTTGTTTCACAGAGTCAAGGACAGAGTTTTATGTCCTGAGTGGAGTCAACTGGCCTCTGAAGAACTCACAATTTAGATTCTTGGAAATAACTGCTGCCAGTATAATGCTGCCCCAAGATCTTGATAACAAAAAGTTAGAAGTTTAAAGGTGCAATGTGTAACAATGAAGTTAGAACCACATCCTGTGGTCAAATTTGGGTACTGCAGCTCAATTTTCTAAACAAAAAGTCTCTCTCTCACTCCTGTTCCATGAGTTTCAAGGCAGTCACAGATCAGCACCAGAAGATTCTGACAAGCGAAGAAGAGTCATACACAGTAAGTTGATAAGTAGAAAATACATAATAATTTCTGGTGTTAGCTTTCTTGGGTGGTTTACAAGTGTTGAGTGTTTTCACACACACACTGCTACAGCTGTTGCTGTTTGTCCCAGAAACCTGAAGCTGCAGATGACAATCGGTGGCCTTCCACCTCCTCCTACCTGCACAGCTGCACTCATTTGGACTGATCACCTCCTGAGCTACATAAAAGAGGGAGCTGCCAGGGGGAAGGGAGAGACTAGATCTGTGCCAGTTCTCTCATGTACTCCATTAGTTTAGTGTTTTAATGGCTTCTAAATGGGTTTTAGTTACGCTTTTAAACTTGGTGAAGCTTAAGAGCTTTAAGAGGTTTTTAACAGACGAGTGACCAGAGAGCTGGCTTTCTCTTTGCTTCCAAACTTGTGTATAGTCAGTGGACTTTGTTTAGTGAATGTTTAGGAGCATTTCTATGTCTGTTTTAAACATAAACCTGTGGCCATTTTAACAATGTGATTTAAGTACTTTTAGATTTGGAGCTTTGTGCCTTTTTTAAATCATAAAATAAAAACCTTTATTCAGAGGACGTAACACACACATTTCATTCTAATATCGAGTCGTTGGATAATAGCTTGAGATATTTTTAGAGCCAACTATTTGTTTCTAATTCATCGTTAGCATTGTAAGCTCAACTTTAGCATCTAGTCTGGTTCCTCCAATGTTAGAGTAAAGCAAAAACATGCCGTAACCATCGACATTAATATACTGTAAATCTCCTTTCCATAGGCTCCAATAACACGTTTTTGAGGCCAAATGGGAGGTGGCCACCACCGCCATTTTGACCGTGTCACAGGTTCCGTCAAGCCCAGACAATTCCATAAAAGGGAAGAGAGGAGGAGCTGAGGGTGGGGCTGTAAGGCTGGGATCAACTGACGACACCCGGTCGAACTAGCTGCAAGCTAACCTGAAGCTAACCCTGGCTAACCCAAAGCTAACGCGGAGGTGGAAGCTAAGCTAACGGAGGTAGCAACCTAGCTACAACCGGAGTCAACTGTGCACAACACCAGAGATTCTGAGTCAGAGATACGCTGGGCTGACCGCTGGGTAAAACCAGGTGGAACACAGAGGTCTCCGAGACCTCCACAAGCCGACAGCCGCACAGTAGACAAGCGCTGCTGCGATCTGAGATGCGCAGAGCTGCTGCTGGGGAGAACCGGGTGGAAAGGTTTCCATCCCAGAGCTCCACAAGCCGGCAGCCCGCTCAGCACACAGAAGCCGCAATCAGACAGAGATGCGGTGAGGGGAGAACCGGGTGGAAAACATCGGTCCCCCGAGAGCTCCACAAGCCGTTAGTCGGAACCCAGCTCCACCAACATGTTATATTTCAACCCATTTTCTAAAGTGCAGCATTATGTTAAATGCACTGGGTTTTACCCTATTACATTTAAATTTCATGGTTAAACAGTACATGTTAAAATCTAAGCTCAGCTCGGCAGTGACCTAAAATACATAAATATAATTTTACTTACCTTAAAAAATGAAGTGGAGACTCCTTGGACGCTCTATTAGTGCAATTAATGCCACAGCAAGTCATTTTGTCCAACAATTGCACTAAAAATATCCAAAAAGGAATACACAAACACAGAGACTCAAAATGCCGGAGCAGTTTCCAAGCCAGACTGAGGCTCTACTGAGGCCTTTCCACAGAGCTAGCTCTGCGGTCACGTGGGTCTGATGCTCATTAATTATACAGACTTTTAGGCTTTTAATACACTTAAACAGAAGAGTGAGAAAAAAATTCTCCCCCCTCAGAGTTGTCATGAGTGTAAACTAGATAATTTAAACAAAAAACATGTTTTGGTACCATGTTGTAAACATTTTTATTTCTGCTGTGAAATTGGTATTTTTAACATAGGAGTCAATGAGGATTTGCTCACTTCTGACACCAGCCCCCAGTGGATGAGAGTGGAACTGCAATTTTTGGTACTTTCGGGTTTGATTCAATTTAGGAGCTGCATTGTGGGGGCTTGGCCTTAACTTCTTAGGGGTACAAGAAATAACTTCTGGGTCACTCCGGTTTGCTGGCTTTGGTTCTTTACACAACTCTGGAGCTTTTTGTCCGCTGGTGTCGAATTACAAATGCTGGCAATGCAGCGTTAGCTCAATGCAAACACTGCAACCTCACAAATTCACAGATGGTAAATGAAGACTACGTTCCTCTTTGACCATTGTGAAAAGAGAAAAACTGACAACCCCCCAGCCGGCTGAGAAGAAAATCTGTTTCAGAAAACCAACCTTCCTTCCTTCCTTCCTTCCTCCCTCCCTCCCTCCCTCCCTCCCTCCCTCCCTCCCTCCCTCCCTCCCTCCCTCCCTTCCTTCCTTCCTTCCTTCCTTCCTTCCTTCCTTCCTCTGTGATTGAGACGTTAGACTGTTTTGTAAATATTTCCCTGTAGAATTCTTACATATTGCTCCTTTAACATTTAGTGAGGTTGAAACTAGTCAGATTATCCCTTTTTGTTCAAAATATAGAATGACCTTGTTCTTTTTACTGATTAGGTTCAACTCAGCATGATGCACGATGAAGGAGGTGAAGAAAATGCTTTGAGCTTGATTTTTGGCACTAAAAGAAATACGATCAATTCTAGAATATTTTCATTAATATAAAGGAAGGATTTCACAGTAAAATAGACTCAAAAACTCCCCCCAGTATTTATGATTATGTGATTTTTTTCCATCTACTTACATAATAAACAACATTTAATCTACATTTTTCATGATTAAATTTTTTTCCATTCAAACATCTTTCGAATAACTTACTTAGTCCAGCTGATCAGTGACAGTCTTCAAGGTAAACATGTTTACACCTGTAAAAAGACTTTTCAGACTCACTTGTGTTGGCTGTTTGCTCCTCTGGGTGTAAAAGGACTCCAGCTGCAGGGATGGGGCAGCAGTCACATGCACTGTATTCTTTACCCCCAGACATCTGCCCATGGGTGGGGCCAAGAACCTGGGGACAAAAAGCAGGTTACACAAATTTATGTGTGGGTTAATCAGGACAAACGGATGCCAGGTTCAGCCGAGCTTTACAGACCAGGCAACGCCTGTTTGAGCTGCAAACAGGTCTGATTTTATTGGTTTATTAATTAGCATTTTATGACATTTGAATAATGTTTAACAACACTGGGCTCACATGCTTTTTCCTACTGGGAGAGGAAGAAAAACTACTACAGATTTGGTTCAACCCCAGAAACATACAAGGACGCCTTCTATCTATCAGCGATCTTTAATATAATTTACAAAGTAAAAGTCTGAGGGAAAATACTGCTTGTTTGTTCAGCAAATAACCACATTTATAATTATTTTCCCCTCTGTTCTGCCATACTCTCTAATTCCCCTAAGTCTTTTTTTTATGAAAACAAAGCCTGCCCTGCCCTCCCAATACACCTGCTCATATCCTATTACAAATACAGTCACCAGCATGATACTAAACACTTGGTCGTGTTCAGGAGGAACTGCTGCACTCACTTAATGCTCTTGTTTTTAAACAAAATCTCATTCATGGATGTGTTACAGGTTACAGGCTCAGGTGTGCTGTACCTCTCAAACGCATAGCGAAGAGCAACAAAGCCCAGAGCGAGGGGCAGAGCCATGAGAAGGTCATGGGGTTGAGGTCGCTCAGTGTCCACCAGCTGCTCCATGTCTCCCCAGGTCACACCGGGAGGGAGCCAGTAGTCTTCCCTCCAAAGGTCTGGCAGCAGGTCCATGTTTCTGAGGGTGATCAGAAAAGCCGCAGATCAGCAGAATATGGAGACCCGTTTCCACACTGATGAACCAAATCTGGTGAGAAACAGGAACAGATTTGTTTTTGTAGGAGGCCTCAGATGACACCTTGCTGCACAGGTATTTGTAACAGGGCATCCTACTGGAATCTGACTCCATCTCAACACAAAATATCACTTTAAAGCATTAATTGTTACTTTAGACATTTATATTACTGACAGAAAATCCTCCAGGATGTTATAAACATGAAGAGTGAACAGGACTCATATAAATAAATCCTTATAAATATTGCTTCTATGTTCCAGACTAAAGCACAGTTGGTGTCATGTTTTCCTGTGACTGGAATCAGAGCTGCAGCTGAAGTACAGAGAGTTCAATTCAGTCAGGCACAACCAGAGACATACCAGTCAGCAGCTCTGTGGGAGCGAAGGTTGGTTCAGTCCTGGAGACGGAGGTGAAAAAAGAAAACATCTGTCTGGGCTGTGGTTGAGTCGGAGCTGCTGACAGATGCGCCTCCGAGCCGCTGGAGCCTCACGACGACACCAGCATAGCTGCGCGAACCGCTCGGACACATCCGTCAAGATGAAAATATGAGAGAAAGAAGCGCATTTGCCACTTCCGCTTTCAAAATAAAAGTCTTACCGTCTCTTTTTCAAAATCTCAAATAAATTGAAAAAATACTTATTTTAGCCATGTAGCCTACAAAAATATATTTATACCAACCCATATAACCGATACGTTTGCAAAAACTTCCCTTGAATGCATCCACTGGTTTCTACTTAAATATTTGTTTACAAGTAAAACAAAGTCTCTAATTTAGGGAGGATCCTCCTCAAGCAAAACACGAGAGATCAATCAGAATCAGCACATTTGCATTAAAACTGTTTATAAGGTCTCTACGATTTGTAAATTGACACATTTAATTAAATTAAAGAGCACTCGAATCTTCAAATTTGCATTTAGTTTTATTGCTAATTTCCCTTTTATAGCTATTTTTGAATGTTTTAAAATGTGTTAGTGCATCTGTCGAATGGTGATGAAATTAGACTTTTAGTCAATATAATCTACAGTAAAAGTCTCTCTCTCTCTCTCTCTCTCTCTCTCTCTCTCTCTCTCTCTCTCTATATATATATATATATATATATATATATATATATATAAATTCTTAGCTCTATTTCTAACAGCTGCAACACCTGTAATAAACCTGTAATTATAGATATATAAATGCAGGTTTATTACAGGTGTTTCAGCTGTTAGAAAAAGAGCTAAGAATTTATTTGTATTTCATAAAAACAATTAAAAGAGAGAAATTGTTTTGAAATAAAACCATGTCAGAGCTTGAGTAAGAGAGTGAGATATTTTATTTAACTAGTAATCGTACAGATGAAATATGACTCTGGCCTAAGATCAAAGTAAAAAAAACTGAATTTTTTAAATTTTTTGAAGCTGAATTAAATATATGACTGGTACTCATGGCAAACCTACCGCAGGCCATCACGTTCCCAGAAGGAAGCTGTTGACGGCTGCTGCAACGATCCACCTGCAGGACACCTTCAGGACTTTAAAGCTGAACAAGAATTTATTGTATTGTAGATAACAAAGGAGCATCAACACTAAAGTTCCTGGAACCACTTGATGATGCGCAGTAAATGTGTGTATGGAAATGACTAACTCAAATGCACAATGATACTAAAACCAAAAATCAAATGCAACATTTTTGTGATGCTTGGAACAGGCTTCATGAATTGGAACAAAAATTTTAAATCCCCTAGATTTCCTACAGCTTTTAATAGTTCAGCCACCTGGTTATGTTTGCAGTGAAGGCTGTGGTCACTCCTTCAAAAACACAACCTTGTCCCAGACCTACATCAACACACACTCACAAACAGAACCCTCTCACCTTTCATCGCTGCCAACAATACACTGCCCGCTTACTTCCCAGAAAAGGAAGATAAAATCACCACTTTAGCACAGATAAGCTGAGCTTGTGGGTCATGCAGAACACTCAGAGCAACAGCTGCACTATGTCTCAAGAAAAGGTGAAATAATCTACCTGTTTACAAGACCTTGTCTGTTTGAGGTTGTTTTAAAGCATGTATTAAAACAACCATCATTTGCATGTATTTGCCTGTGAGATGGAAGTACCCCAAATGTCTGTGTGGCTGTTTTTGCATCAGTGTTGTGGGGACAAAACCATTTAGAGTGCCAAGTATGCATAACTTTCAGCATGTTTTTTCCTGGTCTGTGTTCATAAAATTATAACAGAAAAAATGACACCATGCAGAGTGTCCAGGTGTTAAATATATGAAAATTATTCACTCAGATTAGCAAGTCTTCAGGCAATCTAAGGCAATGTTGTTGTCTCTGATGCAAACTTATTTGCCTAGTGGTGCACCAGTGGAAACCATCATGGGTCGGTGCAAGTGAGTCATTGTCAGGGAAGTAGTCAGAACTCAGTGAGGCAGAGTTAGTCCTATTAAGCAGCAGACTAATGAGGGGATTGGGGTGTGTGTGTGTGTGTGTGTGTGTGTGTGTGTGTGTGTGTGTGTGTGTGTGTGTGTGTGTGTGTGTGTGTGTGTGTGTGTGTGTGTGCTCCGACCATCTGAGAAATGTAGGGCTGTCCTTTTAAAGTATGATTAACAAACCCTGAGTGCATTCTTTGTTCTGTCCCCATGCTGATGCCAAACCAGGATGCTTATTTTTCTTTGTAATCCCCTTCATTCTCTACAGTTTATTAACAGAATACACACACACACACACACACACACACACACACACACAAACGCACGCACGCACACACACACACACACACACACACACACACACACACACACACACACACACACACACACACACACACACAAACGCACGCACGCACACACACACACGCACACACACACACGCACGCACGCACACACACACACACACACACACACACACACACACACACACACACACACGCGTGCACAGGTTAACTCATTAAACAACTCACAAAAGCCTTAAATGTTACTTTTGAATGCAAATGTTTTCTCCGCGTAAAATAGAAAGAAAAATAAAATAAAATTCTCTGTCCTTAACTCATTCTTTGCATTTTGATTACACTCTGCTCCTAATTAAACTTTTTCTAAGAGGCGAATTCTTAAAAATCACTCTTGCGAATCGAATCAACACAGTGAGGGACTTCATGATGACTCTTCTCAGATCGTTCAGAAGAGGGCGCTGTAAACCAGATCTGGGTGACGGATCAGAAACAGACCAGCACTAGAAGAAATAATCATTTTAAAACTTAAAAATACAATTAACAATTAAGTAATTTTCCCCATAAATGTATGTCAGGTGGTGATGATTAATGTGAGAACCAGAATATTACTACAAACTCGGCATGACTGATCTACGCAGTCATATGCGTGCGTAACAGAAACTTTATGTTTGCATGTCTTCAGTTTAATCATATTTTGTGTAACAGTCACAACAAAGACAGAAACATTAGTGAAAGACCTTACATTCAGGAACTTGGGTACACTTGATTTTTCTGTTAGTCATTATCAGTAAACTTAGTCTAAAGCCTCCTTTTAAATCTAAACTTTAAAGAGCTTCATAATTAATGGTCATAATGTGAGAAACCAGATGAGAAAATAAGCAAACATGAAAGATTTCTCCATATTCCTACACAGCTGAACAGATTTGCTTGGAGCTATGAGTGGAAGGCAAAGCAGATTAGAGGGAGGGCATTTCATAATCATAACTTAATGCGGCTGGTTATCAGTCAGCGCTGTGACCCTGCCCACTGAGCCTCTCAAGCCTCTTAAGGGATGGCTGACATGAAATAACAAAAACGCATGACAAAGTGCGCCATATTAACCCACGCATTAGAGATGGAGCTTTTAAAATGAGATCAAGTCCAAATTTAGTGAATATTAAAATGCCAAAAATAAATGAAAACCTGATAGTTTACTTTTAACTTGTCTTTATTGAAAATGATTTCACCTGAGGACCATTAGAGAGGTGGCACACATGCTGCCCAACATCTAGCATGCTGTACAGTGAAAATATATTTTATATAAATCCAGGTTTCCAGTTCCTGGTCAAACTAAAATAAAAAAACATTAACTATGACCTCTTTCTGCTACACATACAATAATTCAACTTTTACTTTTTAACTGTAAAACAGCATTACAAATGTTCACTTCTGTCTTTCAATATTAAATCTATTTTAAATGTGTTTCATGAAAACCTTTATTTTATAATTCAGTAGTGAGATTTGTAGAAACATTACAGAATTATAAAACTCATACAAAGTGGAACTCTGACCATATGCAGAGATTTTGATTCTTGCAGAGTTGGTTGCTAAAACATTTACACACCTCGTGACTCCAACAGGAAACTAAAAGGAAAACATGGATTCTCATGCTTTTGGCTTGGATGTCATGCAAGACATTATTTTTGTGCAACCCAGTCATCAATCGCACATCTTTCTGCAGATCCACACCAGATCTTCATTCATCTTTGCTCTTTACACCATTGCATAATCAAACTGTCCCCTGTCCAGCCCCTTGTGATCTGTCCACGATGAAGACGGCATGCTGCTGTAAGGATCCAGCAAGATCCGCACACAGCGCACCACAAGGAAGAGCAGCAGTAGCACCAGGAGGCCCACAAAACACAGGGCTGATCCCTGTTCAGGGTGACCCGTTGTGGGCTGCAGGGCCGTTGAACCCCTGGGGAACCCGGGCGAGACAGGAGAGGAGAAATCATAATCCGCAACCCAGTAGGGAGTGTCGCTCATCTTGGACAAGAGGGAATATTTTTAGAGGAGAAGCAGCTTTTTACGTGACCTTTGTTATGCGACCAAAAGTCTGATGATGCTCTGCCTGCACATCTTCATTAGAGGGTTTGAAATCTAAAGTCACACACTGAGTTTTAGCTGCCGACTACGCCCACGTGCAGTGTTTCCCCAAAGCCACAGGGCAAGCAGGAAGAACACAGCCCTTATCAGTGGTGCAAATGAAAACACCATCAGGTAAAGTGAGCAGCAAGTCGAGGCGTGATCGGAGAGATTTAATCAGTTGTAATTGGTGTGCGTCAGGTCCCCCTCCTTTACCCTTCTCATGCACATCTCAAGAGAACTGAACAATGTGCATCAATACTTAATCTTGACACTTGAAACTTAATAAACTCGGTTTATTCAGTGTCATTGAACAGAAGCCTTAGCAATGCCTTTATTGCAAATACAAAGTGATGCACAAATCTGGATAAAGTTGCTCAAGATGCTCCACTGATAGATTGCACACCTCGCAGGATGTCAATGGTTCGTCTTGTGCTGCTTAAAAGAACATTTTTGCAATCAGATCCTTTAAATGCTTTGATGGTTCTTTGCTGAGTTGTTGTTTTCCTGAAAAGCTCCTGCCTCTTGATTGTTTGACTCAGCTTGAGGCATCAGGAAATCCTTAGCTTGAGGATTTGCTCACCAGGAAACCTAGAAAAGAGAAAAGGTAAAAAGAGCAGCAAAATTAAAGTGAAAAGTTTTATTTGTTGAATTACAAGCCTTTTGTAAGGTTTAGGGTTATTCTACTATTCCTACCTGTTACCCTTCTAAACTGTGAAAGCGTTCTGTCAGATTTTACAGTTCTTAGAGGTCAAATCTGCCTGAGACAAAGCAGAAGCACAGCTTCTGTCTCCAACTCAGGAACAGTCTGGGATAAGTAAATCAAGCTCAGAAGATGGGGGGGAAACACAATCATAAAATACCCTGGAGAGTCGCTTCACTCCAGCTTAGAAACCCTCACTGTGGCCTCTTTAATGAGCCATGGGAGTGAAAATACATTTCCTGAGGGTAGGAACTCTCCCAAGTCAGCATATTCTATTCCAGGAGGCTTTTTTCTCCCTCCTGACGACCCCCGCAGATCCTCACAAACACACGTTACACTTTCCTCGCTCTCTGGATGATGGGACTAAAGGGCTAAGTGAAGCTTTAATAGGGGGTCTTGATGGGACAACGAGAAGGAAGTGCCTGCCTTAGGATCAATTGTGAAATTGCCCGTGGTTCCAACAGGACTGGAGTGTCCAGAAAGCAGCAAGAAGTGAAAAAGACAAGAGCAACTCTGTCGTCAATCAGATTTATCCTGATTTATTTATGAGCTTAGGAGTTGGACTCATTTTTATCAGCTGCCAAAAACATGACGGTAAAGGTTTGTGTCTGCTTAAATCAATCAGCATTTTTGTAGAGTGGATCAACCAATACACAACAAATCAAAACTTTTTACTCATATTTATTTATATGTTTATTGCTCTGTTTTCTCATGCTACATGCTCGCTTAGTATGAGGATTGATGTAAAGTCACTGAAACAAGTCAGTGACTTGATGCAATCTGCTGGGTTTCTTTAGATAGCAAAGTAACTGGTCATAATGAACTGAACTTTGTGTACTAATAAATAAGTTCAACTGGAATGTTTGCTTGCAAAGGGCCTTAAAAAGACTTGCTGTGAATCGGCGCTACATAAACTTAATTGAGAATTTTATTTAATTATTTTTAGAAAGAAAACGCTAAATTTAAATAAGTTATGGCATTTTTAAAGAAGTCACGAGTGTTTCAAGAGTCATTCTTTGAAAGTAACCCAAGGTCAGAACAACACTAAATACATGTTGTAAACAAAATAAACCAAAAATGTTTGTGAAAATAAACAATATCAATATATATACTGTATGTCACCACTGTGTTTACTGACCAGTGATGTCCAGTGCTGGTCCTCGACCTGACCTGAATCTTTTGGCGATCAACATGCTTCAGAACATTTTGAACAGGTGATTCAATCATTAAACCAGGTGTGTTGGATTAAAGAAGCAATCCACAACCCAGTTCATGAATCTATTTAGTAAATCCATGAAAATTTCATAAATACAATATTTTTTCATTTGAGAGGTGAAGACTAAAATCGGGTGGCTGCAGATCCGTGAGCTCCAAGCCACCGAGCTGCTAAACTTTGCCATCAGTCCACACGCTGTGCCATATGGTCTTCCTCATGGCGTAATACCTGCTTCTATTATTGATTCCTGTGGATTATGTTACTGCAGCTTTGAAAATGTCAAGGATTCAAAAAAATAAATATTAATTGGTCAAAATTTATCATGTAAAAATAGATTTGCCCTATACAGCAGATCTCTGTCACACACCACATTGCAAGTGCTGCGTGGAACTATAATTATAATTAGTGAAGCCATTAAAATGGGAATAGGTTGGAAAACATTTTATTTTAGTTTCTGTTTAAGAGAATTTCAAAAATCTCAGCTTTGAGATATTTTCCTTCTTCGTAAATGAATTTCTGCATGTTGAAGAAAAGCAGGAAGGGCTGCAGATAAAAATATTAAACAGTTTTTTTTTATTCTGATGGCAGGAGATTAACACAGCATCTGATTACAGCAGAAGTGTGTGAGGCACACTTTTCACATTGCAACGTATTTGCAGGGCATTGAACGGGATCACTCGTTCTCAATGAAACCACACGACAGCATCTAACCTAAAACATCTTTAATAAGGTGGCAAGCTTAGAATCACAACAGGTTGAAATTAAAAATTTAGATGTAAAATTGTTTGTTGTTATTACATCATATGGGTGTAAACAGGAGGGTGACTGGACTGAATCAGGACTTACTTCAGTGCTGGTGTCACAGGTCAGAAGATGAAATCTGAAGTTGAGGATCCTGCAGCAGCAGAGGCGTTTCAGCACCAGGGACAGCTCCAGTCGGGTCCTCAGCACGCAGGCAAAGCCTCCGGTCTGAACTTCCTGCTGCACATGCTCTGACTGAAGCTTTAAAGTCTTCACCCCTCACAGAGACCTCCCCTCCCTCCCAGACTGCCCCTGAATGGCTGAGAGTGTGACAGTGACGCTTGAAACTCTTGATGCCAAGCAGTCGCAGAAAGTGACAACTAATCTCAGGAGAATCAGTGTAACTCTCCATTTCCCCCCTAACCCTTTCTATAAATAAAATCCAAGTTGATGGCTCGGGGGGAACTGCCTGCGCTGTAGAAAATGTTTCCAGTGGGATTTTATCTGTTTTATTTACACACTGTGTGCTATTCATTAGTAATTCTGAGGTTGAGCTGATGATCAATAGCTAAATCATATAGCAACATGAATTCATTGCAATGTTTTTTAATTTTGTTTGTGTGGGATTTTTGTGTTTTTAATAGAACATCCTCTTTTTGAATCAATAGGATTTATTTTTTATATAATTTGGGCTTGAGATAATGAGTTATTTAATATTTCCAAGATCACCTATTTGGGACATTAACTTACATTATTTTTCTATTTCACAGATATTTTCTCACTGATTGAAAACACACCCCACCTTAAATGAACTACTTTACCTACTTGAATACGTAGAAGGATCCAGTGGCAGTAACTGCTAAAACTTAACTAAAGACCACGGAATGTCTTCAGCTGTGTGATATTTTAGGAAGAAGCTAATTATCAGTGTGCAGTGTGTAGTTTTGTCTGACTTCACTGTAAGTAAAGCTGAACATGTGACATGATAAAGACATGAATAAACAAGGAACGCCACTTGAATGTGCCTGTGGCTGGACCCCAGATCCATACTGGAAGAAGTCATGTTTTCTACAGCTGAATGAAGACTGAGATCCTCATCTGTGCCCCAGACAAGCTGTTTCCCAAAGTCAGAGACTCTCTTGGTCAGGTTGCTTCTCACACCAAACCTTCTGTCAGGAATCTTGGCGTGACCTTTGACCCAGCTCTCACCCTGGATTCTCATGTCAGTTCTCTTGTTCGCTCTTCCTTCTTCCATCTCAGGAACATTGCTAAGCTGAGTCCCATTCTGTCTCGCTCTGAACTTGAGACGGTTCTCCACACCTTCATCTCCTCACGCTTAAGACTACTGTAACTCTCTTTTCACGTGTCTGAGCAGAACCTCCCTGAACCGTCTACAGGTGGTTCAGAATGCCCTTGCTTGGCTTCTGACAAAGTCCTCCAAACACACCCACATCACCCCGCTTCTCCTCCAGCTTCACTGGCTGCCAGTCAGCTTCAGGGTTCATTTCAAGATCCTGGTTCTGGTCTATAGGGCCTTACATGGGCAAGCACCATCTTACATTGGTGATCTTCTTAGGCCTAGTCCACACGTAGCCGTTTTTTTTTAAAACGAATATCCGCCCCTCCAAAAACTTGCATCCACACCACCTCGTTTTAAAAAAAAAACTGTCCACACGTACCCGGATAAATACGTTGTTAAGGACACGCCAGACCTGTAGGCGGCAGTACTTCCCCCGTTCTTAACCTCGTCCTTCGTCTATGGTCTTCCGCAAGGAGCAGTAATTCTGCTTGCAAAAACAAACAAGCAAAAAGCGCTTGGACAATTGATAAAGCGTGCGCAGCTCTGAGGGCATCCATGCTGTCGGCTAGTGTAAACACAGGTTGCACACGTGATGTCAGCATTTTTTTTGTCGCGGAAAGTGACGTTGCGGAACTTAAAACTCCGGTTTTGTCTGTCCACACGCAGACACCCAAAACGGAGAAAACGCAGATCTTCACTTTGGACGGAGTTTTTAAAAAGATCCGTTTTCGTGTGAAAAAACTCTGTTTTCGTGTGGATGACAGGCCAAAACGTAGAAAAATATCTACGTTTTGGCAGATCCCCGGCTACGTGTGGACAGGGCCTTAGTCCCCACACCCCCAGCAGGTCCCTGAGGTCCAGTGATCAAAGCCTACTGGTTGTATAGCGCACCAGGCTTAAGACCAAAGGTGACAGATCATTTGCTGCTGTGGCCCCCAGACTCTGGAACTCTCTCCCCCTGAGCCTGAGATCAGTGGACTCAGTGGTCTCCTTTAAAAAGCAGCTGAAGACTCACTTGTTCAAGCTGGCTTTTGTATGACCTTCTTCACCACTCTCTCTTTATTCTGCTCTCCCCACCTATTCCACCTTCCTCAGGATCCACTGATTTCCCTCTTTCCTATTCACTCTCTCTTAACATTTTTTTAATCACAATTGTCTATTTTTGCTCATTTTAAATATACTTTTAACCATTTACCTAAATGCTTTTTTGTATTTTTACATTTTTTGTTTTTGTGAAGCGCCTCGTGATTTATTTCTTGAGAGGCGCTATAGAAATGATATTTTCTTCTTCTTCATTATATTTTTCAGACTGCCTTTCATGCGCATCCTCACTTCTCCTGCCTGAAGTCACATGGGATTGGAGGAGGATTGTAACACCACCCTGAAGACGTTCATAATCAAATCACAGAGAGGAGTCCTCCAGTGGGACGCCCACTGTGGTCATAATTAACAAGAACCTCAAACACAAGGTTGTGAAAGTCTGTTCTTCCATTGCTTTTCTTCTTGTTACACAAAGGGTTTCACAGCAGAATGGGTCACACTGTGGGTCAGCAAATTAATGGTAACAACTACACATTGTCTCTTTAATGCGTATGTAATGGTTGGTAATCAGCCACTAATGATTCAATAATGATGACCTAAGCTTTACACCCTGTCCCAGACCAAATGTATGTGCTGATGATTTCTGAATATTACTTAATGTTTGGTCAGTCATTAATACCGAATAAGGAACTAATGACTCATCAATAAATGAAGTCAAATGTTAACTTAAAGGGGATTAAAACAAGCTCAATATGTTGTATAAACATAGCTAAAATCATGTTAGGATATTTTTAAAAAGAGGCAACCTGCCTGGAGAGATGTTTTCCTGTCAGTGTGTGTTAAGCTCCACACTAGTTCTACTCCAAAGGGACACTCGGGGACAACTCTTGATTTCGCTTTTCATCAACTTTTATTTTTCAACTCTGAGATTTGTTGGTTTCAAGTTGATCAATGCATGATTTCATCAGGTTGATAACTCTGACTCTTAAACAGAATACTCTCCAGGTACAACTTAAGCACTTCACTAACATAAACCATAAGTATTCACCAACCACTGGCGTCTTTAAAGTTCATGAGTAGAGCTTGCTGTGCTGTTCCTGTTTGACTGAAGACTGAGAGCCACTTTCCTGCATAGGTGTCTTTTATCAGCAGTCGCCTTTTGTTGGTGCATTCTGGGAGATGTAGTTCTCAGTGGTGGTGGACCTATTAGACATTTACTCAGCTTTAAAAACACACACACACACACACACACACAGAATTTTTCCACCTGTTGTTACCATCTTTTCCTATTTGACAAACTAGGGTAATAAACTGATTATTGTAGGTTATGCATAAATATCAACTTAATTTAATAAACTATGTTTTGATGACCGAAGCAAATTTACAAGTTAGCTGTAAAATTAAACTAAATCACCTAGAATAGGCTGCTTTTACCTGGTAAATTAGATTTGTTTCAGGATAAAACAATCAAGTGTAAAATAAGGAATCATAAGCACACACTCGGGACTTCTGACAGACACAACAGGACCAGGAAGTGAACGCCAGAATAATCTATTTTAGTTTCATCAGGGATAATTCACGTTGTGCAACACAAATGACAACAGCAGTCTGTACAACAGAGCAGTCCACATAATAAAATACTCGTTCAATTCTGTCTTCCTCCTCAGCTTTTACCCATTTTAAAACATAACAGTTTAATAAGACCAACAGATAATCACCAAAATGAGAACTAATCCTAAGACAGGCCAGTTCCTTACCTGTTTTTAAGTCACTCTTGACTGGTCACGCTCTACGTCTCATATGTCTACTTTGTTCTGGTGTGTGTGTACCTGTCATTATAGGTTTAAGTGGACACATTTTGCTTTCTGTTTATTCTATTGTTTTAATGTATTTTCTGTACAGCACTTTGTTCCTGTGCTGGGTGTTTTAAAGTGCTTTATAAATAAATGAACTGAACTGAAATGAACTAATCCCCCACAGCTGGTCCCATGTGATAAAAAAGATAACATCTGATAAATATACAAACAATAGGCTGATACCAAAATAAAGATATAAGTCAGATTTAGATGAAGGCATTGTGCTGAAACATGAGAAAACAGGCTTTTTAAAAACTACTCCTAGAAAATCAGAGAAGTTTAGACTCACCTGGCATTACGAATGTATTTTATAATGAAATATTCTTGCATTTCCATTTATTTGGCCTCTGACTGGTTTTTGATCTGAAATATAACCAGTTCAGTTCGTTCAATCATCCTTAAAAACTACATTATTTTATAAAGGACTGTCACCCGACTTGTTTAGAAAATAATAGGCCCAGTTTGCTGTCAAAGCTCAGTTGGTTTTAGGTTAAATGCTGATATTGACACAAAATGAATATTTTATAAAGTATATGTGAAAATATTAACAAGTACACTTTTCCATACTTTCCAAAAAGAGAATACAACTCTGAATGCTGTTTTTTTTCTGGTCCATAATTTAAAAAAAAGTGAAGCTGAGGTCACACTTTAAACCACTTCACAAACCCACCGAATCAAACATGTATGTTTTTCCACTTCCTGTGACGTGGTTCTTTTAACCTTTGCCACAAAGATCCTATGGATGATCATCAGTAGTGCTGGATGAAGAGATGCAGGATGGTGTTCAGGCGCTTTTCTCAGACGCAATCCAAACTAACAAGCACGGTGCATTTCTCCTCGCTGTTCCCAGAAGTGCACCAGGAAGTGGTCAAGCATGTTCATGAGCAGGTAAATCTTACTGATGGGAATGAGTGCAAACAGCCACAGAGGAGCCCAGCTTCACCTCTTCGGTTAATGTTCGTATACAGGATGAGCAGCTGTCCCAGCTACAGGTTTGTATCCTCTGTCCTCCGTATCGGTTTGAGTTCCAGTTGAACCGTCCCCCCCGCCCCCACCCCCCTCCTGATTCAGAGGATCTGCTCGGTGCTGGAGGCGGAGATGTCCAGCAATCTCCAGGCTGCACTGGGGTTCAGCTCCTCCTGGTCACGACACAAGGCCCAGACGTACATCATCCTCATCACTTTCTCCTGTTGGGGGAGGAGTTCAGTTTAATGAAGGACTCTTCATTAGTTCAAATTTCACATCAACAGCAGTAAACAAAACAATTTAAACAGCTTCTCTCCATGAAACCGCTTAAAAATGCCAAATTTATTTTTTTAAATGTTTTTCAGACATTTAACTTGATTAGCAATTTATCAGACACCTTGCTAATAAGAATATCCATAACCCCACTTGAGTTTTAGATGTAAATGTTTTCATTTAAGTTCTACTTTTTTGTGGCACCTCTATTGCATCAACTAGCTTCATTACAGAATTGCAGTAATTAGACAATGACTGACCGGATTTCCCTCTACAATGTCTCCTTTGGGGCTTCGGATCACCATGACAACCTGAGCCTGGAAGGTGATGATCAGCACCGGGCCCTGGTCCATCATCTTACCCATCGCTAGCTAAAACACAAGAAAACAAAATAAAACAAATTCATATCAATTCCCTTTGATGGTATTTAATGATTACTTGTGGAAAAAACTGAATTACCAAAAATAAAATAAAACAATTCTGGAAAAAAACAAAAAAATTAACTTTTTTTTTTGTTGAGAAAATTGCCAACCAAGAGCAGTGCGACATTAAGTTTGTGGGGAAAAGCGCCAGAACTCACATCTATATTATCGATGTCGAGGACTTTCGACTGAAAGAGGAGTCCCAGAGCCTTGGCCTGCTGGATCGGGTGGGCCAGCTGACTGTACGTCTGACAATCAACACACAAAAACGTGAAACTTCACACAATATCTTGTGTGAGGATTTGTGCATCTGAAAAAGTGACTTTCGGTTTCATCACTACCTAACAAAGACAGCTTTACATTTTCTCTTTGTATCTAGAAGCTAATCCAGCAGCTACGTGCAGCCCATTCTGGTGTGGATCAGGGCTTAAACCTGATTAAATAGAAATGTTGGGGTGGTCGGTGAATAACTTACAGCTTCATAGCACCAGTCCTTTAATACGTCCAGCTCTCCACGGATCATAGCCTGCAGAGTAGACACAGACCATCAATGCAAACCAATCACTTCCACAGCAGCGACCTTTGCTGCAGTCAAACTAGGACTCTGGCAACGTAAGTGTGTATCAAGCAGTCTGAATAAACATAGATTTTAAATTATTCTACGTTTATACATTTTGATGTCTGTACCCAAGCAGACTTTTTAAACTAAAATGAAAAACTAATCACCGCTAAATGCTTCCAGCTCATTCACTTTAGTGGCTAAATTTGCTTAGAGCTTCTAATTCTAACAGTATGAAAATCCTTTAATGAGTGTAAACTGTGTTGCAGTGGGGGGACAACAATGCTCAACTAAGCAGGACTGTTATCAATATGCTCCTCTGTAAAATAAACCTTCAGAGCAGAGTTAGAATGAAACAGCGCCCCAGTGACAGGCGAGTGTTTGCGTTTACCTCCAGGATGTTAGGGATTATGTCTTTCTCACACTGTTTGAGAAAAGTGTCTTTGTCAAAGTTGGGGTCAATCTTCAGGATTTCTGTCAACACTTCAGACATTTCTGTCTTTGAAAAAAGGCCACCTAGAAAAGCACGTATTGTTCATGATATTTATATAAAAATGACTGCAACACAAAGCATATAGGGAGCCCAAGTCTCCTCCCTTTCCGGTCGGCTCATGGGTCCCTAAAGAATGCAAGTGAACGGTGCTAAGAGAGCTATTCTCTAATCCGCTTTCCCTTACACTCTGAATCCCACGTTGCACTTGAATGTAAATGAAAAGTAATGTGTGTTTCGACAATGCCAGTCATGTACTTTGAGATTTATCAGCTTGTAAAAGTTTGTAATTAATATGACTACAAACCAGACGTCGGCACGTCACAAGGATGACGTCACCGCAGAATCTCCTCTGCCTCAGCATAGCTGCTACTTAACCAAATGGTCAGATTTATGGTGATAGTTTCCTCCTGAGGGAAGGATTCGAAGTTTGCTGAACTTACAGCCATTTTACCTCTGCTTCGCCCGGGTCTGGTTCGCTGACATCAATTTGGTGATGAGCAATTGTAGTCCTGGATGCTTTTTCACTCAAAACCTAGATTAACTCCACCCCCCCATTCAAAAATAAGTGCATTCTTGGTATCAAAATGAGTCTTTAAACTTCACGGACATCATATGTGAAATGCACGGCACATAACAAATCAGATTAGAAAATAGCATTTTAGCTCCGTTGACTTGTATTCATTTGTTGTTCTTCTGGGGACCCATGCTCTGGAAGTAGACGGGTGTTACTTGGGCTCCCCATTTTTCCTTACTGACTGTACATGAGCAGGAAGAATTACCTAGAAAGTCTGTGACTCTGTCAGTCATAGCTCTGGATGCTCTGATCAGGGCGTTGTCACTTTCATCATATTTCATCTTCATCTCAAAGAATCCTGAAGGCAACAAAAAGACGTTTTTAAAGGTTGGAGCATTTTTGGTGACATTTTTAGACAAAGCCGGCTGTTATGGAGGATGCATGGTATAATATGCTGCCACCTGTTGCCTTTAAATAATATTACACCTGTAATGTTGGTCTAATCCATGGTCTAATCACACTCCCCAGCCACTTTATTGGGTACACCTTGCTAGTATCGAGTTAGAACCCCTTTTGCCCTCAGAACTACGTTAATTCATAGATTCAACAAGGTATTGGAAATATTCCTCTGAGATTTTGGTCTATAGACATGATGGCATCATGCAGCTACTGCAGATTTGTCAGCTGCACATTCATGATGCAAATCTCCCTTTCCACCACATCCCAAAGGTGTTCTATTGGACTGAGATCTGGTGACTGTGGAGGCCATTTGAATACAGTGAGCTCATTGTCATGTTCAAGAAACCAGTCTGAGATTATTTTAGCTTTATGAAATGGAGCATTATCCTGCTGGAAGTAGCCATCAGAAGATGGGTACACTGTGATGGACATAGTCAGCAGCAATACTCAGGTAGACTGTGGCGTTGCAACGATGTTCAGTTAGTACTAAGGGGACCAAAGTGTGGCAAGAAAATGTCCCCCACACCATTACACCCCCACCAGCAGCCTGAATTGTTGATATAAGGCAGGATGGATCCATGTTTTCATGTAGTTGACGCCAAATTCTGACCCTACCATCCGAATGTTGCAGCAGAAGACTCATCAGACCAGGCAACATTTCTTCAATCTTCAATTGTTCAATTTTGTTGAGCCTGTTCTTAGCTGACAGGAGTGGCACCCGTTGTGGTCTTCTGCTGCTGTAGCCCATCTGGTTTGATGTGTTGTGCGTTCAGAGATGCTCTTCTGCATACCTTGGTTGTAACAAGTGGATATCTGAGTTGCTCTATCAGCTCGAACCAGTTTGGCCATTCTCCTCTGATATCAACAAGGCATTTCCGCCCACAGAACCACCGCTCACTGGATATTTTCCCTTTTTCGGACCATTCTCAGCAAACCCTAGAGATGGTTGTGCGTGACAATCCCAGAAGATTAGTAGTTTCTGAAATACCAGCACCAACAACCATGCCACGTTCAAAGTCCCCAAAATCACCTTTCTTCCTGCAGCGGATCGTCATCAACATGCCGAAATGCATTGAGTTTCCAGCATGTGATTGGCTGATTAGTCATTTGCATTAACGAGCAGTTGGACAGGTGTACCCAATAAAAGTGGCGAGTGAGAGAATGTATATACATGTGCATTGGTGCTGCCTACTGGAGCTGCCATAGTGGCCTGCCTCCATCTTGGATGGGCCTCCATTCACCCCCAGTGCATTTATTTCTACTGAGGAAGGTGTGTATTGAACTTAAAAAATAAAAAATAAAAACACACACACATGTATTATGCTTTTCACAAAATCAGACATGTAGTATGTCATGATAGTTAAAATATAAATACAATAAACAAAAAACATTTAAATAAAAAATCCCAACAGGTAGGCTAGAAAAGTCATCAGTAATCCCACATGATCTATTTTCAAGAGTGCACTGGTTGTTGCCCACTCTGTTGACTCCAGTTGGGTTTGGAGAGTGAGAAACCCATCCAATATGGCGGTGATGCTGTTGCTCTCCAGGCCCAATAGCACATCTACATATTCATGTCTATGGGTCTACTAGTCTGGGAAAAAAAACTCACTTACTATTAAAAACCACATTATTATCCTTGAAGTCCTTCCACTGCTGGTACCATTTTGAATCTTTATGCAGAACAACACCTATAGCCTCCCTACAGCACAGAGTGCAGGAGAACACACACATATGAAGTTGTTGACAGGTCAAATACAGACACTATTTATTACTGCATGTTGCAGTGAAAGTGAAAATACTTCTTTAACTCACTCGTTGGCCTCAAATACTCTGGTGTCGCCGTCTGCCGTTTTAAATGAGAAATCACTCCTCATCCTCAGCTGAGACGGAGCCCTGTAAGGGCTGCCGTCGTCGACACGGATCTCCTTTTTCATTGATTCTACACCCTACAAACAAGTTGGTGGCTTTTAATAAAAACCATTAACTCCAGTCACAATCTGAGCTTATAATTCAACAGAATCGACGGTGTCAATTGTTGATCTATAATTAGAGATGGCAAGGCTAAATCAAATGAGTTCAGAAGTCCAGAATATTTGTGTTATTTCTCAGTGAATCAATTAAAGGCCATTTCCTCAGCCAGAACATTAAGACACAGAAAAGAGCCACAAATGAGTGATGTGAGCTGAAAATCATTCTACAAACAATCTGCAGACAGATGCTGAATCTTATATACAACATGTTTTTCTTTTCCTGACCTGTGAGATGGCTCTGAAGGCGCTGGTCCTGCCCAGTTTTTCTCCACCTTTAGAGACAGACTCAGCAGAGTGCATGGCTGTCTTGGTCGCCTCTTCCACGCCCTCTTTTAGCTTCTTCCCTATGTTGGAGCGACTCACCTCCTCAAGGCCCTTCAGCAGAAAAGCAACAGAAGAAATAGGTAAGATATCAAGTGCACAGGTAATTATACATTGAGGGAAATTTGAGGTGTCTGTTGACTAACTGCAGTGCTACTTTTGACCCGCATTATCTGTGATGACTTATTCTAACCACTTACCTTATTAACCGTCTCTGAAAGAGAGTCCAAAGTCTTTTTAAACACCTCAGATGTCTTCACTGTCTCAGCCTCAATAGATTTCTATTAAAAGAAAGACAATAAATTAAAAACTCAAACATCAACAAGCATAATCAATTTTATATATAAATATAAGTCAAACTAAATCCTCACATATTTCCTACGGGCCTGCTGAAGGGCATCAGATTCCTCGAGCCTCTTGGCCTCTTCTCTGAACTTCTTGATGTTTTCTTTCATCTCTTGATTCTTACCAAACTCCTGACGGAGGTTTTCAACAAACTCTCCCAGAAAACCTTTACGTCCTGAAGAATATCGGACCTAAAGGAAAAACAAAAAGACAGACTTTAGTAGAACAGGGAAAAACTAATGAGACTAATGTAAACAAATTTGTTTTCAACTTTGTGAAATAATATGTGAAAGTAACAGCAAAAGGGAGATGATTGTGAATACCTGCATTGCTGCAGCAGGACCCCTGTGTAACCTGAAAGCATCTCTTCTCCATGTCGTAGAGACCAGAGAACGAGTGCAGAGCACCATGGCATTTCTGCCAAAAAGCTGCAATTCAACAATATTGTTAGTCAGCAACCAAATCAGTGATTTTACCCTCCCCACAGCTACGACTTGTCATCATGTAGGGGGAAGAAAAACAAGTCAGAATCCCCCCCAAAAAAGCTGATAATACTTTCAACAACAATACTATTCATTTGAAATACAGTCATTGTGTGTTTTTATTAGTGATTGAGGATACAAGTGAATCCTACACGTTCTGAGACTTGGTCACTGAGACATAGTTCCAATTATTATGACAAATTTCATTTTAAATATTTGGATGGGATCGTTTAAGTACTTTTATAGAGTCAATCTCCCATGTTTAAACACGCAACAAGCAACAACAAAAAATCATTACGCAGCACAAAACTGAGGCCGAGACTTCATATAAAACATGTTTGTGTCAGTTTATCGGAGGAAACACTTAACCAACTGTTGAAACAGCAGCTTATCTAACCTGCAGCTCGTGAATAAGGTCGTTTACTGCACTGTCCTCCAACAGGCTCAAATTTAATCCCAGAATAACAAACCTGATTTAATCTGATGCAACAAGGCCTGTTCTAACGGACATTTCGCGCTTTCTGTGTAGAACTGACACATAAAAATCACGTTTACATCACTAGACATATGAAAGGCTGTCTCCAACAACTTAAAGATCAATTTCCGTTCATAAAATATGTGCCGAAGTCCTGAGAACAGTACAGAATGACATGAATGAGTGTCTAACCTCGTAACACCGACACACGGAGGCTGCCATCTTGCTCTTCAAGTAAAAGCACGTGCGTCTTTGCGGCGGCAGCTGACGTTCTGTTTGACCAATAGGAGCAGGAAATGAGAAAGAGGGCGGGGCCAAGCACCGGAACAAATTTAAAGGAAACTTGCAACTGCTGAACTGAGTTAATTTCAGACCTGTTGATTACAAAAATCAGGTCTGGATTATACGTCAATCTCTCTCTCTCTCTCTCTCTCTCTCTCTCTCTCTCTCTCTCTCTCTCTCTCTCTCTCTCTCTCTCTCTCTCTCTCTCTCTCTCTCTCTCTCTCTCTCTCTCTCTCTCTCTGTGTGTGTGTGTGTGTGTGTGTGTGTGTGTGTGTGTGAAACCCAGCTGAATGCATTTTGCCTTCTCTTATCATGTTTGTCTGTGTGTCCAGGCCGTTCAGGCAGCCTTTTAGCCCCCTGAACCGTGATGTCATAAATTAGTGATGTGCCTTCACTCTGCTGATATGGCCTAACGATTCATGTTGTGGATATAACCTTTTTTGACCTTGAAAGGTGTTGGGAGTAGAGTGTATGTTATCTTTTATCCTCTGTGGAGTTGGTCCAGATGCTAAAAGCATATAAATAAGACATCTTGTCCAGCAACGAGGGGATGCCCATTTGACCCTGGGCAGAAGAAGAGGGAGGGGTAATCATGAGCCATATCCCCCTCTACTGACCAATGGCTATGAAGAGGAGCGGATGCAATCCCACAGGAGGAGGAAGGACACATGACCAGGTGTGGATCTTCAAGCCGGAAGTTTGAAGGCAAAGGACTGTGTGGAAGATGGGAGGGGCTGGTGTAATAATAAAAGTCTGTGGAGAGTGGGGTAGGGAGGACACCATAGACTGTACAGGACACACACGGTGTGAGCTGTTGATCTGAAAAGAAGTTTGGAACCCGCTGTGTCGGGATTTAGTTTGGAGTACTCTTTTTTCATCTTTTTGGAATAAAACCTTGGGTTCTTATTGTGAGAATTATTGTGTGTGTGTGTGTGTGGGGGGGGGGGGGGGGGGGCTCGAGTAGCTTGTACGGGATGCGGTGGCGGTGATCGAGTCGGTGAAAACTCTGCTGGTGATTGATTCAGCCCCAGGGGTGTAATCTGCGGTAATTGCAGCAGGAGGGGGAGGGACCGCGGGAAAAAAATCACTGCTAGCAGGGGGGTGGCCCAACACGGCCACAGTGACAATAATAACGACGATGGCTGGGTTAGTTTGGGAGAAGAGGAACAGTATTCCAAGTGGATCAGGCATTTTGATGAGCCAGTTGGATACTGTGGAGGCAGGGATCTGTCAAATTCAGAACACATTGATTTTCTTTCTGTTTTTTTGGATGAGGAATTCTGAACCCTCATCACAACGGAAACTAACCGATATGCTCACCAGTATTTAGAGAGGGAGGAACTGAAATCTAGCTCCAGATATAATGACTGGTATGAGTTATATATGTCTACATAGGAATATGTATATGTGTACCTTAAACAATAACAACACTAAACATAAAAAAATTCTGCAAATGTGATGCAATCCAATATGGCTGCCACCTGATGGCGTTATAATATGCAAATTATGTGAGTGAATTTGTTCCTATCACAAAATTTGGCTCATACTGAAGATTTTTCTAATTTACAATATTCCTCTATCTCTAAGCTACAAGCTCTTTAAATAGTGATATAAAAAAATCATGTTTTACTGAAAAAACTATGGCGCCTAAAGTGTTAGCATCCCACTCCAAGGTGTGGTTTAGGAAGCAGGAGAAGCAGAATAGAGTCATTAACCTGAGCGTACATGTGACTGAGGGTGTGTTGTGAGTAAACCGAGTCTCCCTTGAGCTGCATAAAGTTGGTTTTGCCAGAATCAGAGTCTAGGTTATCGTTGATTGCTAATTAGCTCCTACAGAGTGAGGGCATTTTAAAGAGTGGCTGTTGTCACGCCCACGCACATAGAAATATAAGTCAACCCTGGGACATTAACATCTTTTAAAGAGTGAGGCTAGCCTGGGAAGATGACTTGTAACAGCAACCATAACGATGAAAAATTTACTTTTTGTAAAATAATGATGGTTTTAAAACTACATATGATATAAAGGAGAGGAGATCATTTCAGTAAAAAAAAGGATAAAATTAAAGTAAAATAAAAAAAGAAGATAAAAAATGTTGCAATGGGTGTTAAAATAATATGTTGAGGCAGAGAGTAAGTTCTAATTGGTTTAACATGTTAATTAGTTTATTGACTGAGAACGATTTCAACACAATAAATCAGTTTGAGAAACCAGGAATTTATTAAATATACAAATAATCCTTGAAATAAAATAAAACAAGCATGAAATAAAAATAATTCTAAATTAATTACAGATTTTGCTCTCTTTTGTCCTCTTTCTGTCTTTAGTTTTGGTTGCATATTTTTCAAAAGACTGAATGGCCTTTTCAATACAGCCTTGAATTTCAATTATTTATGTTTATACACAAATCACTGCAAGATTGTGTGTTCATTGTACGGGTATTTGTTTAATCACGCTCCAATTTAGCTTTTATTAAATTGTATTTTATTATTTATTTTATTCAAGTTTAATCTCCACTGAGTTTATGTCTGTCCAAAAGTCACATGTTGGCTATATTCCATTGCTTTAGCATCTGATTGCTTTCATAATGATGGGGGGGGGGGGGGGGGGGGGGGGGGGGGGGGGTGTAGTTAAGTAATATAATTTTATTAATTTCTTTTTGGACATTTAAGTTAAAAGGTTATATTTAAAAGTAAAAAGGCTTTCAAATAAACAAGATGTGTTTAATTTGATAAACAACCACTCATTAAAATGGACCTGAATACAAAAGTGGTATAATCTGCACTTATTGTGGCAATGTTTATCTAAGTCAGCACATTTAACACAATATCTGCAGTGTAATTTATTTGTATTTTCTGTCATTTTAGTTTTCTTTTGCTGGAATAAATGTTATCTGGAGTTAAAAGTCTTTGTTTGACTGGTTAGGTAGCGGAAGAGGAACCAGCTGGCTGACAGGTAGCCAATCTGCTGGCATGTCCATGCGTGGCGACCCCTAGAGACAGGCATGTGAACTGCAGGGACTCCTCCCCTCCCTCTGCAGAGTTGGGAGCCCAGTTCCCCCCTCCCGTTTGTGAGACCAGCTCGCTTTGACAGCCAACACTGGCGCAGAGTCTCAGCCTAAATCTTTACCACATTTTCTAGCATAGAGCGAAAACTCAGACCGACTCTTTTCACTCATCCTCTTCCGGAGAAAAGCGCTGGAGCGGCCTCGTCTAGAATGGGGAACAGAGACGACGAATACGATTTCTTGTTCAAAGGTAAAGAGAAAAACCCGCATGTGTTTTCTCCTATATAAACAAATATATTTCCAGATTCCTGTGCATGTTTTTTTTCCTGAGCAGCTGTGAGGAAACGGGGTGTTTTCCTCTCCGGCGTCTGCCCGCATCGTTTATTATTACAACACAATGCGTAACGACACAGCGCCTGCAGCTGGATTTAAAAGCAAAGAATGCGCAACCAGGTTCTGTCTCAACCCTTTATCAAACTTTTATCAACTCATAAAGCGGATTTCATGGTTCCAGCCGGCAGCCTTCTTGGTTTCCGTGTGGAGATTGATTAAAGGCCTATTAGCCTTTACCTTTCCTGATCAATAACATCCATCCCCGCATGAGAATGGCTCTGCAGCTCTGAACTTCCTCCGTCCTTGTGCTTTCTAACGATCAGAGAACCTGAGAGGGTTCTACCGAGCCTGGAGCGGTAGATCCAGGGCTTTCAGGTCCAGAATGGCTTCTTTGATCGCATATCAGCTCCTGTGGCACATTAACATCCCGGGCTTGTAACAGCCAAAAGGCCATTTAGATGTAACAAAGTATCCTCTGTGGGCTGAATAGAGCATCTGCCGGAGGCGAGGGACCTCTACCTCTCCCTCCCTCCCTCCCTCTCACCCTGCTGGCCCACCAGAAACAGGAAGGCCAGGGCGGCCCCGAGACTCTCGATTCAGGTTCTGATGGAGCTGTTATCAGCTTCCTGCAGCCAGAACCAGCCAGTGCCGACAGGCAGGACAAAGATCGGCTTCGTTTCCTTTAGTGGAATAAGAGGGGAAACAAAAAGGCTCCACCTCTGCTTCTGAACAGCAGCCCAGTTCCCCCCTCTCTCAAGTCACCTTTACCCACTGACTCAAAATACAAAGCTGATGGTCAAGTCATGACTTTTCCTCCACTTCTTCTGATTTCCGACAACTAATCTAATCAGCTTTGCACCACTGCTTTAGCAGAGTCAGTTTAAATGTCACCAGCAGCTTTTATTCTTTGTCTTTCTTTCTCCCCTTCCTCTGTGTTTGTGTTCCTTGAAATCTGAGATAAAAGATTGCTGCTGAATCAAATTAACATCACATTAAAGCCTTTTGTCTGTGGGGAGACTTCAACAGTTTTTTTGCCCTTGGAGTGTTATGTACAGATAAGCTGTAAAAGATAAAGGTTCACATTCTCTTAGTGGTAAATAAACCTTTCTGCAGGTCATGAAACGAAGCACTCTTAAATTCAAACTTCTCTCTCTCTCCTCAGTTGTGTTAATCGGTGACTCAGGCGTAGGGAAGAGCAACCTGCTCTCTCGATTCACGCGGAACGAATTCAATCTGGAGAGCAAAAGCACCATTGGTGTGGAGTTTGCCACACGCAGCATCCAGGTGGATGGCAAGACGATAAAGGCTCAGATCTGGGACACGGCAGGACAGGAACGCTACAGAGCCATCACTTCGGCGTGAGTCGGTCCTTCTGCTGCATCTCCTCATCATGTCACCTGCAGTGGGATTTCACATGGAGAGTCGCTGCTGACTGGGTCATAATGTTAAATCTGATGAATAAAAGCTAATCCAAAATCCACAGGTTTATTTAATGGGGCCATGTCATGGAAAATTTACTTTTTGGAGCTTTTCGCTATGTGACATTGTTATTTCCTCATGAAAAAAACCCCAAAAGTCTCATCCTCAGACCCTGCTCCTCTCCTGGAAGCTCTGTGGTCTGAGACCTGTCTCCGATGGCCAGCCTAGGGTATGCGGCTTAGGCGACTTCTGTCATGTAGCAGACTTGGTAGTCCAGTGTTTAGAGTGCTCAGACAGATGCCTTACCACTGGACTACCATAGCCAATACAATAAGTGCCTCGTCTAAGAAAATGACCCAAAACATCAGCATGTTTCAGCATTATTTAAAGAATCAGACAACAATCTGATCGTAATGGAGCAGTCAGCACAGATCCGAACCCTGAGCTGAATTGAATTGCATTCACCATACAGTACAAAAGAAGCCTCCATCTAGTCAACTCATCAGGTTGGAGATGCTCCAGGAAGGTGAAGAAATTTAATCAGACCATCTTGGATGTTCTTCAGAAAGGAATTTTTCAACATTTCCATTAAAAATATCTCACTTTTACAAAGGTATTTATGCAAATTTAATTTGCTATATTTCCCACTCAGACTAGTTTATATGTGTTTCAATGGAAAACATGAAAAATTCCAAGTGCTCATTAACATTTGAGTGGAAATGTGAATCATTAATATCCCTGCAAAGCAATTGTTGCCGCCCATAACGTTCTAATGCCATCTACTGTACATGGAGGGGAGCGGTGAGCTGCACTCTGGAACTATTTGGTGATTTAACCCCCCAATCCAACCCCTTGAAAGCTGAGTGTCAAGCAGGGAGGCATTGGATCCTGTTTTTTAATGTCTTTGGTATGACCCAAATGGGAATCAAACTCCAATCTCCCAGTCGCAGGGCAGACACTACCTCTAGGCCACTGAGCTGGTTGTAAAAGCTGCATGTCAGTTTGGAGTTAGCCTGGTAAAATAAAAATTCTAATTGAACCACATCTTTACACACTCAAAGTGAGTTGTCAGACACATAAGTGGAGGGTTCACGATTTGGGTTGTTCTATTTCGTATAGACGCAGCCCTTTATTGGGCAGTATCCCCTCGCTAATAGCAGCAGGGCTAAATCGATACTCAGACGATCTGGGGTTACAGTACTTAACCATTGTTTTGTGGTTACAGGACCTAGGTACCAAAAGTCATTAATTACTGTGATTTCCTCTGTTTATCAAATTATTGTAGAGTCAAACTGGAGGCCATCTGTCCACCAGCTGAAGCTGTTTACGACTGGATTATGCAACAGGAAAATTACTATTAAAACATCACAGTCCACAGCAGAAGGCTGAAAAACAGGGAATCAAGATGTAACAAGTGCTAGGCAAGAGCTTAAACAATAAAAACAACCAAACAGTGGGTAAAAAATCATCCTGAACAACACAAGAGTATGCTCATACGTAGTTTTTCAACATATTATATGTAACACAAATAATACCACGGCGAATAATTTCCAGTTCCAAACTCAAGGGGATGCATTCTCCTTTTACAGATACTACAGAGGAGCAGTGGGAGCGCTGTTAGTGTACGACATAGCCAAACATCTGACTTACGAGAACGTGGAGCGCTGGCTGAAGGAGCTAAGGGACCACGCCGACAACAACATCGTCATCATGCTGGTTGGCAACAAAAGTGACCTGCGCCACCTCAGAGCCGTGCCCACAGACGAAGCCCGCGCCTTCGCAGGTAAATGCAACATGGTTCAGTTTCAGATATTTCCAGTGATTTTTGCTATTTCCAACATTATGCTTGATTTCATTCATGTTAAAGTGGCAGAGTGTGGTTTCCTGCTGCTAGGGGGCAGTGCATACATTTCAGGGTAGTTTTACACCATAACGCCGTGACTGTCGCTAGTTTAAAAAACATTGTAGTAAATGTTGTTACTTGTGGAGCAGAAAGCAAGCAACTTTGGCGTGACTCTGACGTGACTTTGATGGTCCCTCAGTTAATTCCAGTCAGAGAATGCAATGTGGATTGTAGTTTTGAGCTGTAGTTTCTGGATCTGCTCGGGGTTCCACACCTACCAATGACATCATCATACTACAGCAATACCGCTTGGCCACAATATGTTGCATCTCTTTTTCTATTCTGTTCTTTCAGATATGTTTTAGAAAGAGTTTAGCAGTTTTGCTATTAAATTCATGTTTATTACTGCCTAAATGTTTTTGAACGTGTTAACGTAAATTCCGTAAGTCGTACGTCCAGCCAGTCATCTAGCGTGATGTCATCTACAGGCGCAAGAACCCAAACTGGCCAGAAGGAAATATGGCGTGCCCCAAAGATACAAGTCCCGCGCTTTATGCACTGGGCCCGATTTTTATGGTTATACGTTACAAAGCTGCCAACATTTTTCAACAACTGGATATCATGTCATTCATTTGAAACAACGTTTCGATGGTTATTTCCAGAGATTAACAGTAAAAAGTACATATTGTCTCTTTAAAAACAGTTCAAAGGAGCACAATAATTCTAAGTTATAAAACTTGTGTAGTTCGGTCATGCAACTCGATTGGTTGACTGGTGTAAATGGGTTTACTTCATTATGTGTTTATAAGATTTGTGCTTTTGTTAACCCACAGAGAAGAACAATCTGTCATTCATAGAAACATCAGCCTTGGACTCAACAAATGTTGAAGAAGCCTTCAAGAATATCCTAACAGGTACGATCATACAGAAGCTACACCATACACACTGGAGCAGGAGAGGGAAAACACGTTATAACCAAAAATGAGTCAAGTTTGCGGAAAAAATGGTCTTTTCTGCTTCAGGAAGAGTCAGTTACCATGGTCACAGACTTGCCAGTTTGCAGATTTTCCTCTACAAATTCTGTTTCTCTCCGACTCTTCCTCCTACTGAATCAGTTCCTCGTCCGTGCATGCATTATCAAAGCTCTCATCAGATTATGTGGAACTTAAAAAAAAAAAACAATGAGGTTACAGTCAGACACCAGTAACTGTGACAGAATTACCAGCACAGTTGACATGATGCACATCACCTCTAAGGTAGCTGCTCTCTACTCAACCAGTGTATATATGGAAACATTACTGTAGTAATCATTCTTCAAAAGAGCCAGATCTACACGAAATGGAGAAGACAGCAAACTAATCAGAGAAAAATAATTGTTAATGTTGCAGGAGCTCACAGTGAGGAGGGTTGTAAGACTCTAATTGGCCATTTCCATCTGTACCGGGTCGGCCCGGGCCGGGTAGCCCCAGTCGGCCCCAGCCTGGCCCGGTTGATTCCACACATCCTTGTCTTAAGCCCATGTGGGCTGATTCTACCACCAATCAGAGGCTTGCTCTAATGGAAGGTGTGAATTTGCTGTCAGCAGTGGGTGTGTTCGCCCTGGTCGGCCTGAAGCAGACCCCCTCGAGAAGAGGGCTGAGAATGAGCCTTGGTTGGCCCGGAAAAATACCAGGCCATCCAGATATGTAAACAACCTACGCTACCCGGCCAGGGCTGACCCGGTACAGATGGGAATGGCCCATTAGACTGGATCCCGACAGAAATCTAAGCTAGAACAGATCTATGGAAACTAGCTATAATTCTTTAACTCCAGGATGGTGTCTATTCAAGGATATCATCAGGTCTCGGGTAAACACCATCGATCAAATCAAACGGCTTCAGATGTCAGAGTTGAGATGAAAAGGCATCAAGTGTCAGAAAAAATGTTGTCAGCCTTCAGTTCAGATGAAACACTCGGCTGAAGTTAGCTTCTCATTTAGTGTTTGGTCCATGGGATAAATGTTTGTCTGGCACTTTTTCCTGTTTCATCTAAAGCCTGACATCTGAGGCAACTTGGTTATTGTTTATATCCATAAACGATCTGTTAAGACAGGATGCCAGAGAAATTTCAGCTCAATCCGATGTTAGAGGAAACTTGACGATGAATGGGTGAATAATTTGCAATAGCGATAACTTAGTTACTGAGTTTCCTGGTACCTTTTTAACATTATAACACATTTTTATGTTTTCACGCTTCACTGGAGTAAATAAAAGCATTTTCCTCTATAGTTACCCCTTTCTTTCATATGTTTTAATATGAAAACAACAGTTAACATTTTGTTAGTGACCTGGCTACTCAGACCTTAAAAATGCGATCAGCTGTTTTGTAGTTTGAAGGGATATTCCACACAAAATTAGTTAACAAGTGGAATAAACATTTTTTTAACCAGTCCAGTCATTCTCCTGACTCCTTTCGCTTTAGCTTAGCGTAAAACACCGTAAATGAATGGATCCAACTAGTAGTTTGTGTGTGTATTTTATGCCAATTTGCTAATGTGTGTATCTATGTGTATGGAAGCTGGTGTCTTTGGGGCTGCTAGTGGAGGCTTACAGCTGTGCTTTGCCATAAAGTAGTCCCAAGTCTAAAATGGCACCCATGATTCCTTTGTTACTAATTATTTTCACTTGCAGTTGGTCTGATTATTCAGGTCACCAAGCACATTTTTACTCACATCCATTCATTTACTGTATTTTATGCTAAGCTAAAGCTAAAGGAGTACAACCGGATCAGAAAAATTACTGGGCTGGATAAAAACGTTGGTTTTTTTCCCACTTATCTAACTCTGGGAAATATGTCAACAGACAAAATTTCAATTTTGGGTGGAATATCCCTTTAAAACTTAGTTTTACAATCAGAGTTTTGTGTTTCACTCGTCTCTATGATGAACATACCGTTTACTCTTTGGACATTTAACTTCCTCTTACCGAGGTTATTTCCCCTTGCAGCTGAGTTATTTCATGCTTTTAAGCACTAACCGTGTTCTAAAAAGGTCATCCTGTGAGGTAATAACTGAACACCAGGAGTATTTCAAGATGATGTTTTATTTTTTTCTCTCTTTTCAAAAACAGAAATATACCGCATCGTATCACAAAAACAAATAGCTGAGCGGTCTGCCCACGATGAGTCCCCTGGGAACAACGTGGTGGACATCAGCGTTCCACCGACCACCGATGGCCAGAGGGGGAGCAAACTACAGTGCTGTCAAAACCTGTAACCCATGGCAACAGTGCCATTTCACCTGGGTCAATTATTAGTTGAAATCCACAGTGTCCATATGGTTTCATTTACCCTAGATGCATCTTTATCTGAATCTGCTTCTTCTTCTTTTTTTAGTAATTTGAATCGGTTCCATCATGTTACAAATGATGAGTCCCAGAGAGAATAGTTGGATTTCAGTTAGTAATCTGGCCCAGGTAGTGTCTGGTGCAAAAACAGGACTGAGGGAACAACATATGCAGCTACCACCATGAGTGAAGCCTGATGGCATAGCGGTGGAGCCTAATATGAAACCGTGTAAGTCTAGACGTCTGTTTGGTAGATGGTTATTGCTGCAACCTGGAGCGGCTCGGGTTTTAAACCCTCACCCGTATCAGCAGTCCTGCTTTTGGGCTTCTCTCCTAGTTCAGTCATCATCTCCAAAGTGGTTGTGACGCTGCTGATGCTCATTTCATTTTGTGTAAAATATGTTCTGTTTTGTTTTGATAGCTTGCTCACATCCATTATATTAATGCCATGAAATTAAATATTAAATTTTACAATATTGCTTTTGCAGTCTCATTTTTGTTTTCTAGGAACACACTCCGGGTCGGGGGAGAGGTCCTACCTCAAGTGGAGGAGTTTAAGTATCTCGGGGTCTTGTTCACGAGTGAGGGTAGGAGGGATCGGGAGATCGACAGGCGGATTGGTTCGGCGTCTACAGTGATGCGGACGCTGAGCCGATCTGTCGTGGTGAAGAGGGAGCTGAGCCAGAAATCCAGGCTCTCGATTTACCGGTCGATCTACGTCCCAATCCTCACCTACAGTATGGTCATGAGCTTTGGGTAATGATCGAAAGAAAAAGATCGCAAATACAAGCGGCCGAAATGAGTTTCCTCCGCAGGGTGGCCGGGCTCAGCCTTCGAGATAGGGTGAGGAGCTCTGACTTTCGGGAGGGACTCGGAGTAGAACCGCTGCTCCTCCGGATCGAAAGGAGTCAGTTGAGGTGGTTTGGGCATCTGGTCAGGATGCCTCCTGGACGCCTCCCCGGGGAGGTGTTTCGGGCATGTCCTGCCGACAGGAGGTCCCCGGGTCGACCCAGGACACGTTGGAGAGGTTACATCTCCAATCTGGTCCGGGAACGCCTTGGGGTCCTGCCGGAGGAGCTGGTGGAGAAGGCCGGGGAGAGGACGGTCTGGAGCTCCCTAGTTGGGATGCTGCCCCTGCGACCCGGACCAGGATATGCAGAGGAAGACGACGAGGAACACACATGTTGTCAACCTCTTTTGTATGTTAAAAACCAATCTTACAGGTTTTTTAATATTACTGATTTTAATCACATTTCTGTTATAAAAAAATCATGAGAATCAAATAGGGATGTACTACTTTAAATGTGACCCAAAAGTGCAAAGCGATCAGGTTTAGGTAAGCAATATCAGGAAAATATGTTTAAAATTGGTTTAATTTCTAAATGTTTGGGACTTTTAGGAGAATATCAAATATGTTTCACAAATAAAACAAAACATGAGCCCAACCAGTAAAGGGAGTTCACTCTGAAATGCAGTTAAGCATATTTTTACCTACAGAAAGAGTTTAATGTGCTCTGGCTTCTTGGTTTTCTAGAACGTAGCATGATGCACTGCTTTTTGAGATCGTTTAGCTAATCCAAAATGGTTCGAGTAAAGGCAACTGGACTTCTTTGGTTACTTGAAGATGTTTCACTTCTCATCAGTGCATCTTTGTCAATTCTGACTGGAATATGGGAGAGTAAAGTTTATAAACTGTAGCTGTGCATTGTTTAAAGGTGCAGTATGTAAAAATATACTGATAATTTTACAGTAAGAAAATCCCAAGAGTATGTCATTTTGCAAGGAAGGTTATACTGAAACATATTTCATACCCTCCTCCTTGAACCGTCACCTTATCGTGGTGGAGGAGTTTGAGTGCCCTAATGATCCTAGGAGATCTATTGTCTGGTGGAGCTATGTTGCCCGATAGGGTCTCCCATGAAAAACTGGTCTTAGTTGAAGGGTGAAACAAAGAACGGTTCAAAAGACCTTTCATGGAGGAAAAAACAAAGAGTCAGAGTACCCGGCCCAGAGGGTTACCGGGGTGCCAACCTGGAGCCAGGCATGGGGTTGGGGCCCGTAGGCGAGCGCCTGATGGTCGGGCTTTTGCCCATGGGGCTCAGCTTGAACCGGATACATGGGCTCATCCAAATGTGGACCCACCACCTGCAAGAAGAACATGAAGGGTCCAGTGCATTGTGGATCGGGTGGCAGACTGAGACAGGAGCTTTGGTGGTAGAATCCCCGGACAAGAAAACTGATGTTTTGTAACGTAACCTCTCTGGCGGGGAAGGAGCTGGAGCTTGAGGAAGAGGTTGAGCAGTACCGGCTAGATATAATTGGACTCACCTCGACACATAGCATTGGCTCAGGGACCTGAGTCCCGGAGAGGAGTTGAACACTCTGCTGGAGTTGATCCGGGAGAGTGGCGGTGGGCTTTTTATTGGCGCAAAGACTCACTGCCTTTATGTTGGGGTTTACCCCAGGGGATGAGAAGGTAGCTTCCCTGCACCTTCAGCTGGTGGAATGGGTCCTGACTGTTGTTTGTGCTTAAGCACCAATTAGCAGTTCAGTATACCCATTCTTTTTTTAGTTACTGGGACAATTGCTATATGGTGCTCCAACTGTGGACTCCACTGTCTTGCAAGAGGACTTCAACGCTCATGTGGGTGAAGACAGCATGACCTGGAGGCAGTGGCGTGCCCAGATCTTTTAAAATGGGGTGGCCCAGGCAGTGCACTTCGTTATGCATTGGTGGCACCAAAGGTCATGCTTTTTTTTACCCCAAGCTTTTTGTGGACAAGTCTATTTAATGGGAATTCAGTGGGGTGGCCAATCAGATTCCAAGGGTGGCATGGGCTACCCTAGGCCACCCCCTGAACACGCCCCTGCCTGGAGGGGCGTGACTGGGAGGAACGACCCATCCAAACTGAACCAGTAAATAAATCCATATAAATGATTAATATTTGATATATTGCATTTTTTTACATTAGTAAATAATTTTACATAGTTTTGCATTATTTTTGGTGATAAATATACTTTACGCAACAGAAAATCTGAGGAGCCACTTGGGAGCCAAAAGAGCCGGCTCTTTTTGGTGAGCTGAGCCAAAAGAACCGGCTCTCTAAAAAGAGCCAGAATTCTAATCACTAGGAGCCACTGCTCCTCCGCATCGAAAGGAGCCAGTTGAAGTGGTTCGGGCATCTGGTCAGGATGCCTCCTGATCGCCTCCCTTGCCGGCAGGAACACCTGGGTGTCCCAGCTGAGGAGCTGGCGGACGTGGCCGGGGAGAGGATTGCCTGGGAAGCCCTACTTGGGATGCTGCCCCTGCAACACGGATAAGCGGAGGAAGGTGTGGGATATTTCAGCTGGCTGTGGGGATTGTCAGTTTTTCTCCTTTCAATACAAAGGAAGGAGGGACGTAATTAGTTACATCAGTGTGGAGTTGCTGTGTCTCCTGCAAGCTAATACTGTAGCACCGACAAATCTAATTTGAGGACAGCCGGCAAAAAGCTCCAGAGTTGGTTTAAGTGGTTGCAGTAACCATATTCTACCACAGGATGTAATTTTTACTTCATTTGTACATGATGCACCTTTAATGAGCTTGAAACATATCTGCAATGGCTTGTGTCCTTCTAAACCGTTTGTTCAGCCCCAGTTCAGCAGTCGTAACTAGACCACTCCCCGTAAAACAAGAAAACCACAATGAGACCAGGAGTCCCTTGTGTTTTATTGCACAATAACCCAACTTTCCAGGGGATAAAGCAGGAAGACTACAGTAACACAAAATACTTTTAGCATACGCTGTATACATTGATTGACATCTCAGAACACATTATCCTCCTGCAGATTTACCGAGCACCCACCTGCTCTGATACATGTACTTCTATGGTTGTGTTTTATTTTGTTTACAAATCTGCAGTCTCACAATTCCCAACACTGCTTTTTTAACCGTTTCTGTAAAAATTGCATCTCTTGCAATTTTAAGACATTACTACTGGTCATAGCTAGGCAGCTCAGTTTGTGTGCATTTACACGTGGAGTGAGGCTATGTGCTAATGCACTTTCTGTAACAACATAAAAGACATAATCCAATTAGACTGTGAACACTTTTTCAAAGCTTCAATACGTTTAACTTTTGCATCATTGCACCGCAGTTTTGTGACTGGAGCTAGTGTTATGCAATAATCTGTAACCCCGCCGATAAGTGTGATTAATACATGGAGCCTCTTCTGCTGTCTACACAGAAACTGGGTTCGATTTTCACTCTTCAGACAGAAATGGAAACGCTTTACCTGTAAAATAAAAACTTCAGACTACAGACATGGACAGTGGTAGGAGTGAACGCTGACATCTACTTGTCAAACAAAGAAAAAAAGTAGTATTCACAGCTAGACGTCATCAGTCATCGTTCTTAGGTTCTCCACACAGTTAAGAGTTCACCCATTATTCAAAACCAGCTAAATACATTGTGACAGGGCATGGGGAAATTACAGGTGTAATATGTTTCATATTATACTGTAGTAGCATGCTGAATCTGTTATATCCTGCTACATTAGCTTGTGTCTTAGTATCTGTTAAGTTTATATCACTGACATGAAAGTTCAGGCTGGTTAGTCCGTTTTCCCCGTGTTCACATCCCAGCTCTGATAGTCAGGTGACTTCTCAGTCTTCGTCTAATATGACAATGAAATGAGTTCTTCTCGAACTCACTTTTGTGGCCCATACCGTGGTATTCTTCTTTTTTTTATATAATCAAGTGCTTCAAAAAAGAAACATGAGGAGAAAAAAAAATCTCTTCTCCATCAGGATGGTCCGTATGAAGTGCAAAAGTTCATTGTAATGGTTTTTTTTTAGAGAGTGCTTGGGTGAGCGCTGATTTTAAATACTCCTTCAGCCACCGGTCCGCACTCATACGATGGTTTCATCAGTCATTTTCTTGGTTGACTTGGTCGGAACCGAACGCTGGGTGGTGTGCGCTCCTTTCATGTCAGGCATGAGCAGGCGCACCTTCTGATTGGTCCTCCGCCACTCTGAGTACAACTGACAGTGATACCGAAATGACACCTGAGATTAAACGACACGAAAGGAGGGAAAATAAAGACGGTCATTAATGAAACGCAAAGACAGATGTATCATTTTCATGACTATTTAAAGGCATACTATGAAACTTTTTCCTGTTGTTAAATCATTTTCTTGAGCCAGTATGTGATAAAATGCCTCTTTACAGGATTAATGAAAAGTAATTTAGACCCCCACCGTCCCCTGTGGCCAGAATATTGCACTTACAACTTCAGACTGGCAGGCCACTTCCTGTGGACTTTGAAAACATAAAGCTGATATGTCTTTCACTGGAGTCTGTTTCCTGCATGTTTTAGATCACAGCTGAGTTGTTTAATTTAGTGATGAATCACTCCTGTAGACACTAATGAAGGCTGTGGAGACATTTCAGCTGTTAGATTAAGGTGTTCAGAAGACAAACGCACAGCATGGAGATAGGCTTTGCTTTTGGTCCTACTGGTTTTGCTTTTGGTCCTACTAAACAGACACAAGAGTGCTAAAGGCAAGCCAAAACTGCCAAGTGTGCCTTTAAATAAATGATTTCAGATGATGTTTCAAACTAAGTGTTTTCTTTGTTTGCAAAGCAGTTTGGTTTAAATATACCAGCAGGTAAGAAAACTGGGCAAAAATAAATCTAGCTTTATCTCACTGTGATCTCATTGAGCTGTGCATGTCTGCGCAGGCATGAGGTTTCTGGCAAGCTTTAAACCGAACAACTCCTCTGTACAAAAGCATTTACACTTTTCTAACTCAACATAAATGTCTGGCTTTGGATGTATCGATAAATCTTTGCTAGAACACATAATTTCTCCCCAAATCTGAAAATCTTGCTAAGATGTTATTCTTCATTCAGATCAAACCAGATAAAATCCAAAGGGGAGAGCTAAGCTAATATCCATTAGTCTGCTTCGCTCTTTTACAGATTATAACTGAGAACTGTTTAAATTACCAATGTCCAGAGGATGTAGATGGTGAAGAGGGCGATGGTGAGGGCAATGAGGCCAACAGCCTCGAGCCTGCTTTTCAGTTGCAGGTGGTCCTGGGCTCCTCTCAGACACAGCCACCCAGATATAGCTGCCAGGGGTGTAATTAGAAGAAAGCAGGCCATGTCACAGAGCAACGTGCGCTTCTCGCTGCGAGGTCCAGGATCCTTCAGCCACTGAGCAGCAAAACCAAGATGTCAACCCAAAGTTTACAGCAGACGATACAAGCCTGGTCAGAGTCAGCCTGGCCAAATGGTGCTTTTGTTCATAAAGGATCAAATCAGGATCTAGACAAAGGACTTTTAGGTTTAACCTCTCCTCCATGAACTAATGAATAAAGCTAAAGAAAACATAAAGCATCAAAAATGTCATACCTCACACAATGATTGCATCACTTTCTGATGCAAATTTAGTGTCTCATTTCTAATCACAGACTCTTAAAAATGACTTACAATGTCCTCTCTTTTGTGTAAATGGAAAAAAAGGCAAGAAACACATTCATCCCTGCAGTGACGCCTCTCTAACCTGTGTGAGTGGTTGTGGTCGTCGCTCAATGGTAAACTCTGTGTGACAAAGTTCACAATAGCTGGTGTTGGAGGACGACAGCCACTTTTCCAGGCAGCTCTTGTGTACTTTCCCTAAAGTACCAGTACAGTCACAGGGTGAGAGCAGCGTCTCCCCTCCAGCTCCCTCGTGACAAATCCGACACATCCCCACGTCGCTGTGCAGAACAACAAAACCGCATCAAAGTCAGACATGTGTTAGCCACATTAAGCACAACATTTATTAAAGCCACATGCAAGCCTTAGACTCACATACCTCTGCAAACTCACTGCTTTTACAACAGTAGAGAGTGGGCGGCCATCTTTGGCTGTAACCTTGGCAACGTACTGGGCCTGCGTGGTAGAGTCAGACTCCTCTGACTCCTTGGAGGCATCAGGTTCATTGTTCCCAGAATAATCACAAAGGGAGCCGGGGAGCTGGCAACACCCTGATGAAGACATGGCTCATCTGAGGTCGACAGTGATGAGGAAATTGGTGGAGGCTGCTTCAGATGAAGAACTGATGCTAAACCAGATGTTTGGGATCAGATGCTCAACTGCCCTCTGCTCCACCCACAAGCCAAATGCCTTGGAGAAACTAAAGAGGAAATGGGAGAAAGCAAGACAAAAATTAAAAATGTTAACACAAACATTTATAACATGCATCAAACTGAATGTCCTGGTGATGGAATGCTCATTCCACTGACAGAATAACGAAAATGTGACATGATTAACTGGGTCAATTAATAAGTATTTTTAGATAAATGGTGTTTTATGCTGCCGAGTATTAATTCGTAAGTCCATTAGCAGACGAGACAAATGTATGTGACATTGTCAACAGTGCAGTTGTTTATGAGACAATGTCATTATTATTCAAAACATTTTTAAAGTGATAGTTGTTTTTAAATGAGCACAATGCAGACACACTAAGCAGTTCACATACCGTAAATCCTCTAATACAGGCCCGGGCCTGTATTTGACTCAAGCGCATCAAGCTCCAGGCCTTTATTGGAAGGAGGGCCAGAATTAGAGGCAGGCCTCTATTTCTATTTGAGCAAAATGAACTAATGGTTCGCTGGAGTTTTTGACAATTAAAATTGCGCCCACATTTTCAAAGTTAAACACATTTCTTTTAACAATGGTAGTTTCTGCTTCTGCCCCTCCCCCCCCACCCCCCCACCCCCCGCGCAGCGGCCGCAAACTCACTGATGCGCCTGCAGCCTCTCAGAGTTCCTGCTGCTCTAAACATTAAAATAATTATTTCATTTTCTGTTCCTCACTTCTGATTACCTTCAATGGTGTCTGTTTGTTGCAACCACCAGGTACAAAACTAACTTGTTTTTATTTGACCATTTTTCTGTCCTGTCTGTTTATTATCCTCCTGCATCTCCTCTCAATCCTAAAGAAAAACTGCTACCTGGGTTCATATATATTCACCTCATGAGTTACCTTTGACTGCAGTTCTAAAAGATCTACCAACCGCAAAAACAGCGGAGTGCTCGCTGCTTGCCGGCCGCATCAGTGATCGGTGCGTCACCGGATGACAAGGTGATGCGCCCCGCTCCACAGCAAAACGCATCAGGCGCAAATAAAAGACAGAAAACATTGAAGGAAATGAACCGACATGAACGATCGCGTGTTAAATTAGTTTTTGAGGTGGAGACACCTGATTTGATAATGTTACTGTGGCTGTGCTCAGGACGCAGATCTACCGACCGCAAAAACAGCGGAGTGCTCGCTGCTTGCCGGCCACATCAGTAATCGGTGCGTCACCGGATGACAAGGTGATGCGCCCCGCTCCACAGCAGCAAAACGCATCAGGCGCAAATAAAAGACAGAAAACATTAAAGGAAATGAACCGACATGAATGATCGCGTCAGTACCGACGCTCTGGCACAGCGCGTTTCCCCCCGGAGCGCAGGAGCTTGTCACCTGCTGACAGCAGGCTGCGGTCTTTTCCGAGGGCTTGCCGGTCATTATCACGTGACAGCGACTAGTCAATGACAGGCATAAAGAGTCACTATAGTGAAGTCGACTAGTTCATACAACCCCTATTGCTCCCCAGTGTTCTGCAGCGCACGTTCTCTTTGAACTTGATATCAAATTTTCGCCTCCTCTTTGTCTCCGCACGGTTAAAGTTACCCTCGTGGTCTATCACTGGCAAATCAAAAGTGAGACGATGACACAACCGCCTCCCGTACTTGCTTGTTACCACATTCCACCCGGCCACAATACGAGACCGGCCATTATTCACCTCCGCCGACTCCGACACCGGCCAAAATATGAGACCCGGCCGTTAATTGAATACAGGCCTGTATTAGAGGATTTACGGTACATCAAAAAACAGAAAATGCATAGGTGATATCAGCAAATGTGTATGGCAATTGGCAATTTTGTGTCTTGGTGTAAAACTAATTAAATCGAAGTGAAGCAACAATAAAATATTCTTGTTTTAGAATATATGATGTCAAAAATGCTAAGCAGACCATGCAGCTTTGCATGCAAATTAATCTGCAGTTTTTATGCGTAAGTGGACATTTATAAAAATGAATCTGAAATGTGAATAATTCAGCTTCAACAAACTACTGACGTTTGCAAGCAGATGAGGAATGCAGCACGGTGCAGAGAAAGTGTTTTGTTTTTTTTCCCGGTGGACTCTCAGGACTAGTCTCTCCCAACAGTCTTTTAACTGCTTTCATGTTAATATGAAATAAAAAAAAACTGCAACAGCACACTGCTGCATGCAAGGCTGCAAATGGCAAACTTGCAGCAATTTAATATAATACGTTCTTAGAATATACATTACAGGTGACTGCATGACCACACTGAACGCAAAGAAAACACAAGCTGAAACCATAGCAATGATTATTTAGAGGGCTTATTACGCGGCAGGTTTGTTCACACATCCCAGCTTTAATTATGCTGCTACAGTTAGTAACAGATTAATCTGTAATTAGCGATAAATAACGTGAAATGCACATAAAGTCGAGAACACAATGCAGTCAAAGTGAGTATGGGTCATCCATCTAGCTCGTTTTTTGTTGTAACAAATGGTTTTCTTTACAATTTTATTTTAAAAACCTAAGGAGGTCTTTATAGTAAATGTACTCACCGAAGGCCTGTCTTTTTTTCGGTTGGCCCTCCGCTGGCCACAAACAAGCGAGACGAGCTAACTGGACAGCCCTAGCTATAAATTAAAACACTGACATTTAAGCAAAAGCTGGTGATGCGAGAGGATACAAACGACGACCAAAAGTGCTGTATCTTCTCCATGATAGGTAGCGAAGGTTTGCTGGCAGATTTGTTTTGGAAAAACTGGAAAAAATGGCTTCTGCCAGAATTGCTAGACGCAACTAACGAAGCTAGCTGGTTTGCAACGGGCAAGCCTACCTCAGCTGTGCCCTGGTCATGTGACCCTTTGTTGCCTTCAAAGCCATCTATAAAATCGGAATAATGAAAAGCCCGTTTAATCGTTGCAGAAACTTCACATGTTCACATTACAAGTCAGCCAATAAGTTTGGGAGAAATAAATAAATACACAAATAAATACATAAACCTACACACAAATAAATAAACAAATCCACACACACACACACACACACACACACACACACACACACACACACACATATATATAGAGATAGATAGATAGATAGATAGATAGATAGATAGATAGATAGATAGATAGATAGATAGATAGATAGATAGATAGATAGATAGATAGATAGATAGATCTAAGATCCCTTAAATGTATCAATAATAACAGCTATGAAGATATGTATAGACTTTTTTGTAGACTTCCTGGAACTGTGTAGTGGTCCCTTGCATTGTTTTTGTGTTTTTTTGTTTGTTTGTTTGTTGTTGTCCTCCCCCTTTTCACTGACTGTTCAATTCTCATCTGAATACATTGGCATGTTCGCCTTATTTGTAATGTAAATATGCTTTTCTGCAATAAAAAAATAGATAGATAGATAGATAGATAGATAGATAGATAGATAGATAGATAGATAGATAGATAGATAGATAGATAGATAGATAGATAGATAGATAGATAGATAGATAGATAGATAGATAGATAGATAGATAGATAGATAGTCATGGCTAAAGAAAACACTAGGTGGTGGCATTGAATCAGGTGAAAGAAACCTTCAGATGTGGCTTTCACCTTACCCACGGAACTTTGATGTCATTTATATACCTATTTATAGCATAACACAACACTTGCTACACTATTAGGATTTATAAAGCACCAATGGCTGAAAACAGCAGAAGGATTATGCATTTTATAGGCCCTGTCTTATCTTCTTGATTTGTTTTTACACACTGCTTCCACGGTCAGAAGCAGGGTTTGAATAGCCTGGCAAGCCAGAATTTGGTCTAATTCACTAGGCTAGAGTTTGAACAGAAAATGAGTAAAGAGCAGCCAAAAGCACATTTTTTAGAATTAGTTTAGTTTATTTCAAACAAAGAAAACATACATTTTTTTTTTAAAAATACCACAAACAGAAAAAATACATATCATCCCTTCTTCTGTGTTTGAAAAGGAGTAGGCTGAAGTGGAAACTTATATGTCCCTACCCCTTTATACAAGTAATTTTTACTTGTTTACTAAATCTAACACAAAACCGACATTAAAACAAACAAAATGGTACAAGTCACCAAAAACCACCAAATTATATGGAAAAAAAACAACAAAAGAAAAAAAAACATCTTTTTACAATTGATACAATTTACTTTTCCTTAGAATAAAGGACACTCACATAAATCATCTATTTTCTACTATATACTTGTTCAGAATATGTTTTTTATAATTCATTTTAAACACATTTATATTTGTACTTACTTTAATTTCTTCTTCTAAATTGTTCCATAATTTAACCCCAATTATTGTGATACACATCTGTTTTAATGTTGTTCTAAACTTATGTATCTTTAAGTTTAGTGTCCCTCTCAGGTTATATCATCCTTCTCTCTCTGTGAACAGTTTCTGTATTTTATCAGGCATTAATTTATTTCTTACTTTATACATTATTTGTGCTGTTTTGTATTTAACCAAGTCCTGGAACTTCATTATCCGTGTTTTAATAAAAAGTTCATTTGTGTGATCCAAATATCCTGCATTTGTTATTAATCTGATAGCCCTTTTCTGCATTGTCGTTATTGTTTGTAAATTACTTTTGTACGTGTTTCCCCAGACCTCTACACAATAGCTCAAATATGGCAGTAGCATCGTATTGTATAACATATAAAGTGCTTTCTGATTAAAAATATACTTAGCTTTCCCCAATAAAGCAATGCCCCGTGCAAGCTTCCCCCTAACATATTTGATGTGTGGCTTCCAACAGATTCTGCTGTCTATGACCACCCCAAGAAATTTTATTTCATATACTCTCTCAATTTTTACATTATTAATTACTATATCTAATTCATTGTGTCTTCTTTCATTACCAAACAACATAAATTTTGTTTTCTCTAAATTTAGTGACAGTTTATTTACATCAAACCATTTTTTTAATTTATTTATTTCCTGTGTGACCACATCCAGGACCTGTTGCAATTCCACCCCCGAGCAAAAAACATTTGTGTCATCTGCAAACAATACAAACTTCAAAACTTGTGAAACCCTACAAATGTCATTTATGTACATTATGAATAGTTTAGGTCCTAAGACTGATCCTTGAGGCACCCCACATTGTATCTGTCTTAGTCCTGATTTATGTTGATTTATTTGCACGTATTGTTGTCTATTTGATAAATAACTTTTTATCCAGTCCAATACTATACCCCTGAAACCATATTTTTCCATTTTTCTCATCAATACATCATGGTTTACTGTATCGAAAGCTTTCTTCAGATCTAAAAACAACCCTATTGCATGCTTCTTTTTGTCAATGCATTCTGTTATTTCCTCATTAAGATCAATCAGTGCCTGGACTGTTGACCTATTATTCCTGAAGCCATACTGGCATTTCGTCAGCAACTCACATTGATCAACAAAATTATCGAATCTTTTAACAAACAGTTTTTCTAATATTTTGGAAAATTGTGATAGTATTGACACAGGTCTATAATTTGTAAATTGATGCTTATCTCCTGTCTTGTAAATAGGAATTACCCTTGCTACTTTCATGTTATTTGGAAAAAATCCCTTTTGAAAAGAAAGATTACAAATGTGTGTTAATGGTTTTACAATGCCCTCAATAACATATTTCAGTGTTTTCATGTCAATATCGTTCCAGTCTGTACTGGTTTTATTCTTCATATTTCTAACTATCTCATAAATCTCCTTCTCATCAACTGCTCTTAAAAAAACAGACTTTTTATTTCTTTCAACATACTCTGTGGCATCCGTTTGTATCTCATCAACTATTATTTTTTCCTCCAATTTAGATCCTATGCTTACAAAATATTTGTTGAATTCATCCACTACTTCATTCATGTTTGTAATATTATTTTTTCTCTCTATAAAATGTTGTGGATAGTTATTATTCCCTGTCTCTTTCCTAATTACGCCATTTAATACTTTCCAGATGCCTTTTATGTTGTTTCTATTGTGCTCTAACTTTTTAATAAAATATTCACGTTTACAGCTTCTCACTATATTTATGAGTTTGTTTTTATATCTTTTGTACTTTTGTTCTGCTTCTGTCGTTCTGTTTTTTATAAATTCTCTGTAAAGTGTGTTTTTTTTATTGCATGCATTTTGTAGACCTTTGGTCATCCACGGTTTTTCTTTATACTTATTCCTCTGAATATTTTTGATAACTGGACAGTTTCTGTCAAATTGACTTTTAAATATATTTAAAAAGGTATCATATGCTTGGTCTACTTCATTTTTTTCATAAACAATATTCCAATCTTGTTCTAATAGATCATTTTTAAGACTATTTAACCTCTGTTCTGTTTTCATTCTTTTATACATATAGTTAGTTCCTTCTATTTCATTTTTATAATGACAGTCATAAGAAGCAAAAACCGGTAGATGGTCACTGATATCGCTTATTAATAACCCACTTTCCACCTTTTCTTCCATTATATTAGTGAATATATTATCTATTAAAGTAGTGCAGTGTAATGTTATTCTAGTCGGTCTGGTTATCAATGGAAATAAACCTAGACTGTACATTATATCAATAAATTCCTCTGTACTTTTGTTTTTATTTGGATTTAGCAAGTCTATATTGAAATCTCCACAAATAAACACTCCCTTCTGGTACAGATTTGTAAACATCTCCTCCATTTTATTCTTAAATGTTTCAATCTTAGAGCCTGGCGTTCTATATATACAGCTTACTAATATGTTCGTCTTCTTTTTCATGCTTATTTCTACTGTTACACATTCCATCACTCCCTCAATAGTAGTCGTCATCATTTCTACTTTTTTGTAATTAAGATTTTTGTCAATATAAAGTGCCACCCCTCCTCCTTTTTTTCTTATTCTGTCTTGGTGGATAAAGTCATATCCATACAATTCAAAATTTCCTTCCTTTTTATGTGTTATCCATGTCTCTGATATGGCAATGACCGTAAATGGTTTCTTGAATTGTGCTATATATTCCTTGATGGCGTCAAAATTTGCATATAAGCTTCTGCTATTGAAATGAGCTATTGTCAAACTATTTTCTGACTTCATCTTTATATTGAATTGTTCTTCATTGTAATAATTACATTCATGTATTTCATTATTAAAGAAATTGTAATCAGGATCAATATTGCTGTCAAAGTCCCAAAACCTATCTTTACAGCCTATATTTGTGTCAATATGTAGTTCATTTGTCATCCTGTCAATTGTAAATTTCTAATCTCCCTCACACTAATCATGTTTCAAAATCCAAATATCATTGAAAGATCAAGTCCTAAATGAAATTTCATTATCCTCATATTCCATTCCTCCATCCCATCATCTCTTTCACTGAAATTGATCCAAATCTTCTAAACTTTTAATCACCAGTATCTTTGCTTCTTCTGGAGTTCCATTCAATTTAACAAAAATTTTACAATTTGCAGTCCAGGTACCCTGGATCTTTTTCTGCTTTCTCAGAAAACGGGCTTTCTTTGCAATTTCTGCATTATACTTTGTCAGATGCTCATTTACATAGACCTCAGATCCTTTCAACTTTTTTGCCTGCTTAAGGAGTGAATTTTTCATCTTTCTGCTCACAAATCTCATTAACACAGACACTTTTCCCTTCCTATTCCTACTTGATAAAACATGACATGCTTCAATGTTGTTCTCACTGATTTCAATACCCTTTGAGTGAAAGAAAGTTGTTACCTGCCTTTCCACATGATTCATATCTGTTTCAGTTGGTTCCTCCCCATTATTATTTGCTACTGCTCGAGCATATGATCTAGGTTTTATATCAACTCCTGTAATGACAACATCATTTATTCTTGAATATTG